CATTGTCAGCTTATCTGTTATGCAAATGGTATTGGGTTTCAGACCAAATTGATTGGAAATAAGACAACAAAGGGGAAAATAACGAATGTGGCAAGGAACCATTGAACTAATTAAAACACCTTGCGTAACCACATTCGATGCTGCTTAACCGGGTGACATAGTAATTAGCTAGATGGTGACTTTAGTTCTGGGAAAACCTTAAATTGTCGAGTGCTAAATTATGTTCGGTAAATGTTGTTTCAATGTTGAGCTTGCTCTCTGCTATCGCTATATTCCTAGCATGCGAGTTCCTTAGATAACAGAACATTCTTCCCGGCTACTTTTCATGCACTAATAGTTGATCAGAATTTATGGGGCCACCAGGCAACCAACCCGCCCACCCATCAACCGCCCACTATTTTGCATTGCACCCAGCGGAGCTGCGTTGCCAACCTTGGTAAATATGCTGTGCTGGCTGCTGCATTGGACCTTTGTTGTTAATGCAGCTATTGTTGCTGGCGGGTATGACTGCTCAGCGTTGTTAACTTGGCTAGTTTCTGAATCAATCTGGTTGACATTAATACTTAAAATAGTTAGACATACAACCTATTCAGTTTACTTTTAAGCACTTATTTAATTAGTTAGACAATTCACAATAGTAAAAATAGAAAATCAATGCTCATTATTGTAACCAAGCCATATCAGCCCTTAAAATGTACTTAAGATTTGTATTAAGTTTTGAATTTTTGTTTAAATGAATTTAGTAAATTTGAAATTAATTGTAACCTTAGGGTGCTTTAAAAATAAACTTTCTTTGGCCAAATTTCATTTTCATAATTTAATTTAACCCATTAACTACAATGTATCTAACATCATCACTAGATAATAAACCAATTATATGGTGAAAACTGGACAATTTTCACTGGCCATCGTTGTTTTAAGTTAGCATTACTGGCGGTGCTGCATGGCTGGTTAGCGTTATGGTTAGGTTTTAGCGGGGACTGGTCTTGGGTTTGGGTTTTGATTTGAGTTTTGGTCTGGGCCCGAGTTTCGGTCGGGCTTTGTCAAGTTCGACCCTGGGGGCATGGCTCATAAATTTCCCGCTGCTATTGCAATATGAAATATATGCAACATAATTGAATTGCGTCTGTGTGGGTGCAGTGTGCGGCGTACTGTTAATTTTTAATTTATGCTCATAAATAATCAAGGCATTTTCATTAGACAACAGTTTTAAGAGAATGAGAAAAAAAGAAAAGACAAAAAATGCAAACTCATGGACCAAAAATATGAAACAGAAATTGTAAAGAAATGAAAAAAACAAATGAGGGAGGTAAAAATGTATAAAGTATTGTAGTCAATGGTTTCATAAAGTTTGGTTCATGTTATGTGAGTGCAACCTTAAGCTGCTCTCTACTGGGCTTAAAGTTTGAAGAAAATAAAATTTCTGCATATTTAAAAAAAAAAGAAAACGTAAAATTCCTGCTCAAATAACTTTCTTTCTTTTCTTCTTCTCATAGCCCTTAAAATATATGTAATTCATACCATTTAAGAAGCTTTGAGAACAATAATAGCGTTAACAAAAAGAATTTCTTTAACATTTGGCTTATAAACATTTTTAACCAGCTTTTAGTGCCAGAAATAGAAATAAAAGTGCTAAATTGGCGGAATAGATTCCGTTTCTGGTGTTGAACGCCGCGTAATCATTTTTTCGGAAGCCCATGAAAGCGCAACTAAAAGACCAGAAAATGCGTTAAAAAAAAAGATGAAAAATAACAGCGGGAAATAGCGAGGGAGTCAGGTGGAGTTCAAAAGCTGTGCAAATAATCGTAGTCAGCTACGTCAGCTGGGCTATATATGAACGTATATATTTATATATATATAAATTGTGTACCTTGTGACATTCGAAACAGCAGCTCGAAAAACGAGCAAGAAAAAACAAAAGAAATAAGGCCAATGATGCTTGTAATTGTAGCTCCAGTTGGCTCCACTCTTGTTGGTTTTGCAACTGCTGTGCTGTGTTTTCTACCCATTTTCTCCCCTTCTCCAGTATTTTTTTTTTTTGGCCATGGCGGCCAATTGCAATTTCAAGGCTGCAACTTCAGCTCGAGCACTTCATCTTCTTCAGCCATCGCATCGCATCACATCGCATCGTATCGCCCACATGCGCAAACAAGTCTTAAAAACTCATTAACGTTTAATAATGTGAAAAGCGAGACGCCGCCGGCTAAGCACTTGGCCACTGACTGTCACCAAGTTTGTGGTACACAGCAAAATGTAACTACTTTTTATAACAATTTCATTTCTAATCGCAGTTGATATAGTAGCTCATACTTTGTGACGTTGGAAGTTAGTCTATGATCAGGATTAGATAATTTGTTATAATAAACGTTTATACATCAGAAAGATCTATTGATTCATATACTCCCCCATCTACAAATCGGTTTCAATACGATCCCAGTATTTCTTCCCGTGCACCTTCCCAGCACGCTATGTTTACTGCCCTCGATGGACACTTGCTGCACTCAATCAAGCTCGAAAACCCAAAGAGGGTTGATATGAGAGGTTGGTGGCAGGCAGGAGACTAAAACCGGGGAAGAGTTGTCTTCATTTTGCCATGAGTGGCAAGAGGCAACTGCAACAGACTGACCATAAAAGATGACAACAGCTATCGCTTCATTTTTTGCTCTACTACCAGTGTTTTTTTTGTCGAGAAAGTGACCACAAAACAACGAATGTGAACATGAGCTAATGGACTCTAAAACACTCTCAAGTTTAATAAAGTTGAGTAAAATAAAAACACCAATCATTGCAATTCTAAGACATATTGTGGTTTTTATCATAATAAATTGTAATTTTTCTTTATTAAACAGTTTTTATCGGTTACCAGCCAATCATAATAATGTTATAAGGGCCTTTGGCTCTTTGACTAAAAAGTATCATGGAAATGAGAAAGAAATCAACGAAAAAGAAGGTTTGGTTAGAATTCTATTCTCTATAAAAAATGTTTCAATTAACAACATCGTAACGCAGGCTGAGTTCTTTAACCCAGATTTTTAGCCTATAAATAACACCTGACCACAGAGACATACCAACATACCATTCCATCGAAAACTCGATCATGAGCAGGAAACTGTATTTAAGACCCCGGCATTTTGTCATTTCATCTCTGTGTCCGACTTTATCACTTCTTGGATGGCACACGAAAACGCAACAAAAACCGCATGACAGTGCTATAAAAACCCAGCTTCATCCTAGACAATTACGATAGAGTAAAACCCGCTTTACTACGGGGAAATCTTTTCTTGTACAGCATCTATGTATCTGCAGCTTCTTCTTTATACGCTGCCAGCCATAACTGTAGTTGCAGGTGTGTAGGTAAATGTACTCGTAGTGTTGTAGTTTCGGTGTTTGCTCGGGGGAATTTACGGAGCGTTGATGGCTTTCTCCTCTAAGACTCGATTTTTTAGAAGGCAAGAGGATGAGGAGGGGCAGTGTGGAATGAATAACATTGGACATAGTGCTCCAAACTAAACTGGGGACGAGGATGGGGGAAAGGTGGCACAACAAGAGCACGGGGAGATGATCTCTTGGCCATTAAGAGTGGCCAGCAAAAAAGTTTTCGTTTATTGGTGGCATGGGCCAGTTTTATAGCTTCATTTGCACACAACAACTGCTGCAAAAGACCGAGGTCAGGTTTGGTATAATGAAGGAGGCAGATGGGAGAACTGTGGGCGTGGTTCATCAGCAAGGTGCAAGGTGGATCGGTATTCTTCAAGCGGAACGGTAGCGAAAAGCCTTCAGGGTCTTCTACCTAATCGAAAGCTTTAAGTTGAAAACAGACTCATTACCTAGAATTTTCTTTATCAATGCTTTGAAATGGTAAAAATAATAAACACTAGATAAAAGTTAAGCTAAAAAAAACCTTAAATTCCTTATTACCTTCAACAAAATCTTTCCATCAAAAAGTTGTTTTCAGCGACAAATTCTTTAAAATAAGATTACGATAACTGGAATCGTGTTTAAAGTATTATGTTAATTAATACCTAAAAGGAAATGTAAACATGCTTTATTTTCTTATCCAATAAGCTTTCAAATAAATAACTTTTCATTCTGAACGACAATTTAAGAGTTCTAGTAGATAAGGCGAAATGAGTAATACTTCGAAGAATTTGTCCGAAAAAAGCACCAAAAGAAAATAGCAATCAGAATAAATTTTAGGATTTTGCCGTTTCCGTGAAATCTTTCCCACAATCAGTGTGTCGTCTTGCCATTGGCTGTACCCAACGAAAAGTCACGACCCAAGAGAGCATTATTTCCCGACGATCCGGTGGTCACTATCATCATTACAGTACGCCCGATAAGTACGTGGCCCATTGTCATTGTTAGCTGTGGGCACTAATTGCAGGTGGAAAACGGCGACCTTAATGCTGTCGGTTCCACAGTGCGGCTGATAAAAAGAAATGCATTTGCAATGCTAAGATAGGAGAAAAAAAACATGAAAATTAGGTGTACTTAAGTGCTACGACGAAGAGATAACCCCTAATTAAGGCCATGCTGAAATATATAAAAGTAGCTTTCAGTAGTTTTATAAATTAAACGTTTTGGTTTCCTTACTTTTTTAATTCTAAAATAAATAAAAAGATATTTAAAAGAAAGAGCTTTGTGATTGTGGCTGACAAAACTGAAAATTCCAATTCTTCAACTCTCGAGATCTTGATAATCAAACAAACAGACAACATATAAGCTGAACTGTTGATACTGATAACAAATATATTTATTCACTTGATAAGTGCCAACACTATATACCCATTAAACCCAAAATGTAACGGGTATTAACCAGGAAAACTGCATTTAGCCAGAAAAACAAGAAGAGGAATCTTCAGCGGATTTTATTTACACGAACCGGTTTAATTGGCTCGACCTCCAATCAGAATCAAGTTCACGAACGCACTGGCATTAAGAGACCAATAAGTAAGTGCATGGGGGAAAACAGATGAAAAGTTTCGTTGAAAATCGCTTACCCAAAGGGAAAATCTCTGGAAGCTGCAGGATGTAAGGAGAGAACAACAAAAAATGTTGCAGGATTAACGCGAGTTTTTTTCTGCTTTTTGTTTGAGAGTGTGTGTATGTGGCGAATTAAAGTGACCAACAAAAACAGACACACGCACGGCCAGGCCGCTCACTAACTAACACACACACTCGCACGCACCGAAGAAAGAGATGAGGAGAGGGCGAGCGAGGGGAGATTCGGAAATTGAACACGTTTGCCGCGATTCCGATTTCAATTCCGGCGGAGGGCGTAGTACCGCCCCTAAATTGTGGGCGACCCGGTTTATTTACACGTCCGTATGTCCGAATTATATATATATTAGTATATATTATAGACCGCGCCTGCTGCACTTTCTACTACTACAACTACAACTCTCTGTTGCGTACGAGCCTGTGTGTGTGTGTGTTTGTGTATGCGTATCAAGTGCACACGTATGCATCTGCTTGGCTGTGTGGGTGACTTTGATTTGTTTAATTTGATTTTTTTATCCCGAAAAAGTGGTCAACAAACTACTTACACTTGCACTGCACAAGCACTTTAAATCTCGTTTGATTAATAATTTATTCACGCGCGACCCTCGTAGCAAAAAAATTTCGAAGAAGAGAGCGTGCGGGTTGCTTAAATAGATTTTTCAGGTTTTTAAAGTGACCAGCAAGCCGTCCAAAAAAATACCGGCGCGGCTACACAGATTTTTCATGTTTTTGGTGTGACCATAATGATGATGTTAAGATTTTTAACAGAAATTATGACAACAGTTGCTAAACAATTGTTTGAGGGACCGTGAAAAATTTCGTTTTCGTGAGTGATATCGATAGTTATAAAGCTTAAATTTAATTATATAAATATTTGATGCTAATAGACCAAGACGATTACAAGGCTTAAAATATGGTTTTCTTTTTATCATTTATGATTTTTTCTTCAAATTATAAATTTGCACATTTCGGTGTATGACACAAGGGGACTTACAATTTTAAAAGCCATTTGTTTTTTAAACGGTTTTTTCAATTTTTTTCCATAATCGTTACGCAGTAAATTAATTACTTTTCACATCCATAAAAAAAATTATCTGAACGACCTATATTTAAATTATGGTGTATTTTAGAACTTTTGTTAACAGCGTTATTATTTAGTACGATAGTTTGCGGCTTGAACAAAATTAAAAACATTAATTTATCGATTGCAACTTGCAATGCCCTGGTCACACATGCACTTATTAATTACAAAATTAATTACAAAAACGGCGACTAACTCTGCGCTTAAAGTCACTCGCCTCGCGTCTTCCCGCGTCGCCATGCACAGCCGCAGTTTGCTGCCGGATCCGGCTGTTTACCAGCCGGACACCCTGGACCTCAACACGGACGTAAAGGCGGCGGATTATTGGTTTAATTGCTTCCGGGACTTGGCTGCGAAGTTCGCTAAGGTGGCGGCCGGGTCGCAGGAGGAGGATAAAACGGCCACACAGCGTGCGGAGGAGTTTAAAGCGGCTTATCTGCAGCAGCTTGATGAGCACCAGCGGAACGTTCCACTCAACAGGGGCAAAGTTGTCCTGGGCACCAGTGAACTCCTTACACTGAACGAGACCCTGTTGCGCCGCTACGGATTCGCAGATCCCTGGCTCAGACAAAAAAAATTGGAGAATGCCTCGGCGGTGGCCCGTCTGAAGCAGCGTATCCAGGAATTGGACGCCATTGAAAGTGACGACGCCAGATGGACGGAGTTAGTCCGCGGAGTCCTCGCTGGTAACATGTTCGACTGGGGTGCCCAGGCCATATCAAATATACTCGAGCAGGATAGCAATTTTGGACTTCATTCAGCTTTAGAACGGATAGAGAAGCGTCCTTGGCTGTTGGACAACCTGGACAATTGGCTAAATCGACTTAAGGGCGAACCCCACAAGTGCGCCGTGGTCTTTGTGGATAACAGTGGAGTAGATGTGGTCCTCGGAGTGCTGCCCTTTATTCGAGGACTCCTGAAAAGAGGTACCAAGGTGCTGCTCTGCGCCAACAGTGAACCCGCTCTTAATGATGTGACCAGTGAGGAGCTTAGATCCTTGCTGAATGACTGCGCGCGGGAATGTGAGGTGCTGGAGCAGGCCTGGTCGAAGGGACAACTACTGGTCTACGCAAATGGACAGACAGGTCCCTGCCTTGACATGCGCACCCTGCCGTCAGAGCTGTGCGACGCCATTGCCGCCAATGAGACTGATCTTCTCGTGATCGAGGGTATGGGACGGGCCCTACACACTAACTTAAATGCTACCTTTGGTTGCGAGACCCTCAAGCTGGCCGTGATCAAAAACAGATGGTTGGCCAAGTACCTGGGCGGCGAGGCCATGTTCGCCGTTATCTGCAAGTTTGAACCTGCTGCGCCTAGCTAGTCCAGGAGCCACTGCGTCCATTGTTATCCCCTGTTGACAAACAAACAAAACCCCTCGCACGATGATCAGCAGCCAGGGGTCATTGTTGAGTTCGAAATTATTGTTATGGTCCACAAAACCCACAACCCGCAACCAAATCCCATCCCTCGATATACCGATGAGATTCATAAGTGTATAAATGTAATCTTAATGCAAGTGCTTTCGTGGTCACCTCACCCATATAACCGCAAACAAAACTTTTAATAATTAAAAACAAGAATATATAATAACAAAGCCTTTTGTTTATCATGACGGCGGTTTATTATCGGTCATGGTTATATAGACTGCAATTTCTGATAAGCGCCGAATGGTGTGGATTACGCGCTGATAAGATCCTCTATTCGCTGCCAACTGAAATTTCATCAGGTCGGGGGCTCAGAGACATTTCCCACCATAAAACTTGGATAATGTCTGTTTTTATTTACATACGGTCTCGTCTCGTTTTTATTTTATATGGCCTGCTGTGCGTGCCAATTCTTAACTTTTGTCTATCTCTCTTATCTTTCCATTCGTGGTCAAAATAAATAAAGCAACAACAAAGAAGACAGTCATCATAATAATAACTGATTGATAAGAAACCAGTTAGATAAGATCCAAGACCGTGCGAAGCCAAGACCAGGAAGTGCATGGATCTTGAGCTGAATTTAAAATTAATTCCGATTCACAGAATTAGGCATGAGAAGCAGAATCATCAGAAAAGCTATTATTATAAAATATGCCATTAAAAGTCCAAAAATAAACATTCAGAGTCAATAAAAACATTTGTGGCCTGTGAATAGCTCCTTTCATAAGATGATTGGGAATTGGGAATATTGGGTTAAGAGGTGATTAGCTTATCGGTAATTCTTACTTTGTAATAGTATAGACATATATTTATACATGCATATATAAATAAAAACATATATAAGATAAAAGTTATTAACAATTATCTTAAAGCTTTAATTGATTGACTGCGTTATGGCAAAAGCTCAATATTCATATCATATAAATATTAAAGGTAAGTGATTGCCTATTGCGCAGTTTAGAAAGGTAATTGCTAAATGGTTAAAAAAAATTAATTTTGCCGGCATCGGATTTTTTAACATTAACATTACATTTTCTTTAAAAAAAAATTTTTTTAATTACTTTTAACTTGTAACTTGTCTTAAAGATTCATTAGGTTTTATTTTAACTTTAAAATCAACCTAATAAATATTTGCAACGTTGGTAAATTATGTTTTAATACGCTGTTAAGTAAGTAAAAGAATAAAAATAGGTACTTGATGGCTTTAAATTATAAATATATTATTGGTGTAAGTAAAACACCCACCTTTTAGTTAAAACTATATGCTCCCCGACAAATATTTCATGGAAAATTTTCGAAAAATTCAAATTGAATAAAATTAAATTTATCAATGTAACGGTTTTTTTTCAAGCTAAACAGCGTGACGTGCCATTAACAGAAAAGTTTTGTAGCGTTAACAGTGGGTAATCTAACATCAGCTGTTGGCATCTCGTGTCACGAATTCACCCCTTCGAATCGTCAGCTGTTGTCAGTTTTTCGGTCGTGTGAGAAAATTAATGCAAAAAAATTCCCGAATAAACAATAAATAGGCGTGCGAAGAAATAAAGCCAAGGATTTGTTGGAAATCGCGTCGTTTTGGTTCTTTTAGTTTTCCTTAAACCACTTTGGTTTGCGCTCAGTCAGGCATTTCAGTTTCAAGTGATTATCGGCAAATCAGCAGGAGATTATGGATATTCTAAAGAAAATGTTCAATTCCGAGGCGGAAAAGGAGCCGGAGTGAGTACTATATGGTTGGAACTGTAGATATTATGCAAGTTTTGGGGGCCGCTCAAAGTTCAGGGCATAGTGTAAAAATTTTAAGGGGGCCCCATCAGCAGAATACGTCGGCGTTTTTCAGGCGAAGACGGATCGATAACCAGGCACCTGCCATGATAGATACATTTTTAGCAGGATACACACACGCACATGGAAGGGAAAAGCGCCCGGTTCTCTCTGTGAAAACGGAGGCTGCGTATTGAAACACCCGAGGGTTGGAATTCAAATCCCTTAATCTCATCCCTCCTTTTTTGTCATTCTCTCTGTTATTAGCTCTTCGGTTTCCGCTTCTAATAAGGATGAGTTCCGGAAGCCCCAATGGTTTGAGGAAGCCGAAACCGATGACGAACTTTTCGACGATGATCGGAAGTTCGCCTTCCAGGTCTTCACTAGTCCATTGGAGATGCAGAAGCACTTTGAGAGCCAGTTGCAGCGTCTTCTGGAGTCCCTTAACGATAATGAAGGTAAGCGGAACTATCCAAGGATTATGGCTGGTCACTTGGTAAAATATCTGATTGGAAAATTTATTCCCGAAGAGATTTTTTTATAAGTAAATATAAATCGATCAATACATATTTAACTACCACAAATACTTGTCTTGAATTCACAGTCAACATAAGTAATTGGTCAATTTAAATGCCATTTTCCAAGTGACACAAAATCCATAAATCGTATAGTATTTAAAGCAATTACTTTAATATTAACACTTATATACTAAACATTCATAAATTACCTTGTCATTAATATCTTCTATAAAATTTAAATTATCCAGATGGCTTTGAGCGTGACTTGAAGGAGGACTTCCTGAAACCGGGTTTTGAGAGTAAGATCCTAAAGAAGTTTGAGCAGCAAAAGGACTTGTCCCTGGATACCGATTTGGATGGCGAGTCAGTAATCTTACACAATATACACATTAGACCAGATTTAATGTTAATATTATTTATAGGATCTATGCCGACCAGTTACACTCGCTTATCCAGCGTTTGAATCCGGAGGAGAAGTTAGATCTTGGCGACCAGGCAATGGGCAATATTTTGCCATCGAATCAGCATGGCTACCGCAAGGGCTGTCAACGAGCCAAGCTTACGGATGAGGAGATAATTATGGGTCGGATCCATGGAACCATTTCAGCCGATGGAGAGAGCAAGTCGTGTACCCGTCCGCCGCGTCCCCCGATAAACAACAAGCCGGACATCATGACGCCCATGACCCCGATGTTGCCGCGCAGTGGAATGACTCCATTCGGTGGGGTATTCGATGGCAACTATCAGGTGGGAGAGATCATAGACTTATATTTGTATAACCTTTTAACTCATGATCAATTTTTGCAGGGTCCCAAGCTGTTTAGCCAGAGCGTTATGACCAAGACGGTGCGCAAACCGGATGGAAGCTATGAGACCACCAAGGTGACTCAGGATTCTTCTGGCCATAAGACCACCACTATAACAAAGATGATAGATGGCCGTAAGGAGACTATTGTCACCCACGATGGCGGTGAGGCAACGATCGGATTGGGTGGAAAGCAGCAGAAGGAGGTGGCAGTGGCCCATGGCGAACGTAACATATTCGTGACAAAAGAAGGCTACGCCATGCCACGGAACCTCTGGTGACCAGTGGTGAACAACTATTGCCCCAATCAAGACAAGCGATCTCTGCTGGAGCAACAGAAACAACAGCAACAGTATGAAGATAGGCTAAAGCGATTCGTCGGCAACATAGTCCCGCATCCACACAACATCCAAATTAGAACCTACTACATTTTAGTTTACATTCTCCTTAGTGTTTGGTGTTTTAGATGAAACGCACTTGAGACAACAGATGACGACGACGATTATTGACCATGATTTTATTGACCAGCGATTAGCTGGGCATATATATTATGTGAGACAGGCGCACCAACCCGGCGGCGCCGCACTTTCAGTTCCCAGATCCAGGGCTCTCTGCAGGTCAGGCTCGAACTCCCGTTGATTGGAGATGGAGTTGGTATCAGAGATGGCTCGTGTTGAGCGGTGTGAACGTGTGATTTTCAGTTTTGCGAGCAACAGGAGCAGGTCAGTCGGTCTGGTAAGGCGACTTCATAGTCGACTACTCCATTTCCGCAGAGCGCTGGCATCCAAAACGAAACAACCAACAAAGAATCGCCAGAAATCGGCGGCAGTTATTGTATTATTGTATTGATTCTTCGTGGTACTATCTGTGTCTCAATGCTGCGATCGTCAGCATCTAAAGTGCCCGTAGTGATTTAACAGCGAAAAAAAAGAAAGAAAATGAAACCACTATACAATACATTACCGCTTACCAGGCAAACAAATCAACTTTATATATGTACTATCTACGATTGCGTTAATTTGGTTAGTTCTACTTATACTATATATACATTTATATGCTTAAACACCCGTGTGGTGAATTGATCTGGTTTCTGCCCAAGCAGTCGAGTTCAACTCACAGTATTTTGAATTACAATTCGGTTTTTTGTTTATTAGTTTTACTAATATTTAATGCTTAGGTTCATTTTGATCAGACTTTTAACTTTTAAAGAGGACACAATGCTTACACGCATTAGTTATCATTCAAGAAATATGCAAATAAAGTGTTGTGCAATAAATTGTGGTGTCTGATTTTGGTAAAGGTGTTGGGGATGATCCATGCAAGGATTCCTAATTTTCACTTAAATGAAAGAAATATAATTCTCCTTACTGACTGCATTATCCATGTCTTAACTTTTTTTGTTATAATTTTATTCAGTTTAGTTCGGTTTAAACTAGATCAACAGGATAGACAGGTTTTTAAGATGCTTTACAAGCTATTAGCTATTGGCCACTCTCGATCCTCAATGGTGGTGATCATCTTTCTTGACGAAGCGTAGACCGCAGTAGCCGCAGATGTGATTGCCGGGTTTGTCCTGAAGGTAAGATAAGATCCAATGAGCTGTTCATATCAGACAGTAAGTTAAATAAATCTCACCAGGTTGATGTACACCTTGGGATGACCCAAAGGACCGTCGCCTCCGTCGCAGAAGACAACGCGTTCGGTGCATTCCTTGGGTGGCACCTCTTCGATGAGCTTGATGCCCCAGTTCTCGTTCACATACCGCTTGGCATTCACAAAACGGGCATTGCGGTAGTCATCCTTGTCGTACACCTAAAATTCATATAAATTTAAATATTTTTGTATATATTCAAGACAATGTTTGCGTAATCGCAGGATGGTTGGATTCGAAATCTCAATTATTCTTACTTGTCCTGTGTGTGTGACCTTCTCGATGTCGCTGCGACAGCTGGAGTTGCGGACAGTGGCCAATGGGGACATCCAGTTTTGGCGAGAGCGGCCGATTTTGGCTAAATTGTTTACCAATTGCTTGCTTGCCATTTTTTTTTTACCACAAATTTGTTCTCACAATGTATTTTTGACAGGTAACACCCTGTGCCTCTCAGCTGGTTTAACAGAGAGCTAACCCCGAACTAACAGTACAGATGTTATTTAACAATGTGAGTTCTGTGGTCACACTGGCAGTTTTCAATTTTGAAAGTTTTCATCCCTGATAGACTTTTTTGACAGTTTCTTCACCTTTATTTTTTTTTTTAATTCGTTAAATTAGTTTATTTCCATCCACATTTATAAATAATATATTGTTTACGGTATTTTTATTTAAGAAAACAAACTTCTTTATTTTGATAATCTGAATTAATCTGAAACTAAAAACAATTTCTTAGTAGGTCATCTAAATTTAAAAACAATGTTTGTTTTTAATATCCATTTAACCAAAAAACTAAGAAATTAAAAAAAAATTAATACATAATAAATCTAATTTCATTAGATTTTCCAACTTTTATTTGGCGATCCTAATTTTATAATTAGAAAAGTGTTATAAAATAAAATAAATATTGGTAATAAATAAAGTTGATATTGTAATATACAGTTCATATAAATTCGCGTGATTCACAAGTACAAATTCTTTTAAGAAAGAACACCAAAGCTTTTGTGCGCCACTTAATCGCACATTTTCCTCTCAATTAAAAGTTGTTTAGAACGAAGGGATGTAAACAAAAACCAAAGAAAGAGCACTAGCAGGCGCCACAGAAAGAAAAGCCGGTATAAAATGCTGAGAGAATTATTCTTCGTGTACAATTCCCGAACCGATTCGATTCGAAAATTTTCGAAAATTTCCACCAAAAGATCGTCGACGATTTGCCTCATCCTGGCATTGTGGGGAGCCAATTCAGTTAGTGTTTCGTGCTCGTCGAGTGTTGTTCTCGGTTCTTCCTCTACAACATCTAAAAAGTTCTTCATTGAAAAGTCTTCTTTCCTGCTATCCATGCATATATACACGTCTCTATATATACGCATATATAGAAATTGAAATTGGAATTGTTCGCGCAAAGAATTCTGGCGTAAAATCAAAGCGAATTTACGGTGTGTAATGTTACAAATTAATTGGCGTGCCATGTGTATTAAGATCGCATTGAGAATGCTCAGAAAAAAATTCCCAAAAATTTTCCAATGGATTACATAATTGTCTGTGAAGTGTTCTTTGGAAAAGAAAAACGTGTTTTTCCACGTTTTCCGGTGCTTTGAGAAAAATTAACGAAAAAAGAATATAGAAAGTGTTCCATGCATAAAATGGTGAACCATAATCGATAGAATGTGGATGATATCAAAAGTGGGATATATCCCATAAAGCGGATGGCAATTAAAGTGGTCCCAGAATAAAGTGAAGCATGCGAGGCTGCATCTTTTTGCTCTCGGCATGGTTTCCACCGACAAAAACCGAAAGTTTAACGAACTGAGTTCATTTCTATTTTTGAATAATTCGAAAGCAACCGACAACCGCCGCCGCAAAGTGAAAAGTCTGCATGAGTTTTCCCTCGACGTCGCGGTGGTGTGATTGGGATTGGGGGACGTGTGCTTTTTAAAGTGCTGCCCCGATGGTGGATCCACCAATACTCATATACCTCCAAACCCGCCTACACTGTGCAGTTTTTGGTTTTGTTTTTGGAGAATCCATAAAGGAACTGAAATATCGAAAGCAGATGAAGAACCATTTTTTTTTGGCAACGAAATTGTGCTAAAATTCTGGAATTGTTCTAGAACTGAGAACAGTGAGGACATGATATGAGCAACCAAGATTTTCAAATATATTTTCAGTGCAGAGTCCATAATAAAAATCATTCTGTTATTTTATTTGATTTGCTTAAGACATTTATATTGTTTATGGTTTTAAGGATTCTTTTTATTCAAAAATTTTTAAAAATTAATATTGATTTTAGATTCTAATATTATACAACATTTAAGTATCCAAAAACATAGTTTATTTTTCGAAGAAAGCTTTTAACTTTTCAAACAATAAAAAAAACTTTTTAACTATTAATTTCAATTTCTGTTTATTTATCAAGCTAATTTCTGCTCAGCAAAATTCACTTGAAAAGCAATTATTTCAATTTAGCTCTCAGTACATAATGTTTTTGAAATTCAGCTAATTTCACTTTCACGCAGCATCCAATATGAAATCAATGTTTTGAGACGTTTTCAAGGTTTTCCACGCACACACACTTGGCCAAGAATATATCATAGACTTTTGGGGCCTTCAAACAATTTTGACAGCAGCTAATCCTCAAAATGCCCACTTTTTCCGTCTCCTGACTGCCTGCCTCTTTCGATCTGTAGCATAATGTTAATATGTTCATGCATTGTAAATTATCTGCCAGGAACATGTACGAGTATATATATAAATATATATATTTAAACTAATATATGTGACAACTATCTGAAAAACACTCTACGGAGACTTGAAAGCCGCACACTCACGTCAGCCCCATTTTTAAAGATTGTATAAATGTTTAGACCACTTCCGTTAGAATCTATATCTTTCCTATATGCGGATACTATGTGCGTAGTCTGGTGAAATTAGTTGCCTACCAGTTTTCAAGAATAGGTCATGATTTATTTATGTTTCTTTAGGTTTTTTGACTTTTCTTCTAGTTTTTGGTCCACTTGACATAATTGGGTTGGTTGTTCAGGTGATTGTTTTGGCTAATGAACAAGAGATGATTTATGATTTTGCACAGTTTTTATGGATGAGGAAAAATGTGCTAAAAAGTTCTTGGCTTACTTAAAATATGTAAAATAGTTTTCATTTTTAAAATCTTAAAGTATTTACCGTCCTAAGATTCCCAAGAACAAACCAAATTTTGCGCCAGTGAAAACTTTAAAAAACTTCAACTTATTGAAGACATATAAATATCAAAAAAGGGTATCTCAATGCGTCAACTCTAAAAAATATAATAAATCTATAAAGTAATATATTTTTAAATTATTTTTTCGACAGTGTAATATGTTAAATTAAGCCCCATAACCCCCGTCCAAAAGTCTTTGCGAAAAAATAGCCAAAAATAAATTCGAAATAAAACCAAAACCCAAAGATCTCGATCATCGTCTGATCCGCTTGCTGCGAAAATGTCTGGGCAGCAACCGCCGCCGTATGGGAATGGACCACGTGGCTGGAATTCACGTGCCCACAATCCCGCCTCTCCATCGCCCTCGTCCTTTCTTTATCGTCCACCATCGCCGTGGACAACGGCGCCTAGTCCACCACCGATAATCTCGGGACCACGTCCCTATGGACATGCCATGTCGCCGGCGCCTATTAACCAAGTGAGGGGTCAACGCGGGAGCACCAATATACCCCATCCACGGCCTCAGTGGCCAGGTGGTAACCAATCACCGGCTCCTTTCCAACAGCAAGCACCTGTTGGTGGCTACTATGGTGGAGTGGCAAGTGGTGGAGCATCGCCAGCACCACGCCCTTATCGTCCAGCTCCCCTGCAGCACCAGAACTCGTATGGAGCCCAGCCGACCAGCTCGTTCCAGCTGTCGCCTACACCATCGCCCATCGTCTGCCAAACTCCGAGTTCGGACTTCAACTATAGCAATCGACAGACGCCACTGTCGCACCATCAATACCAACCTTTGGGAGTAACTCCACCACAATTTTACCAGCAGCAGCAGCAGGGAGTGCCGGTGATCCCACCACAACCGAGACAACACGGAGGACACGGACTGGCCCAGGATCAGATCGATTTTGTGGGCGTGCCGCTAGAGCCTCCGCAACCTAAATCCTATGTGATTTACGATGACGAAGAGGAGTTCGGCCCGTCGACAGCCGAAATTATTGCAAATCAATCGCAGGACTACGTCGACGAGAAGCTTGCCGAATATCAGATGACGATATTACAGTTGCAAGGTGAGTTTTGTAAGAAAATATAAAAAATAATTCATTAATAACTAACTAGCAATAAATTGGGACTTTAAAAAGGAAAATCTTACAGGAAACAAAAATTTTTTTTTAAATATTAAATTGTAAGAAATTGGTCGTCAGTTTTTACTTTAATATTGTTAGGATTTTTCACCATATTTTTGTTAAGAAATATAGAACATTTCACTATTGTTTCTCTCAGTGCAGCTGAGTCACCGGAACTCTAGAATTTTTTAAGGTGACAATCACCTATCACTTGGACGCCCCTTCAGCACACAAATAACGTGTAGATTATTTGATTTTCTCTTGGCAAAGCATTGAACTTTGTTGAATCAGAGGAAAAGCGAATGTAAAATGTCAACCGATCTTGACCCAGAGACCGCAAAAGTCCCACTGTCCCCCGTCATCTCTGTATCAACTGAATCTCCGCTGCCGCCGTATCCGCATCAGATTCCTGACATCATCGCTCGAAAGTAGATTATGGCCCAGATTCTTTGGCTCTCATTCACCTTTAGATGCTTTTTTCTGTTAAGGCCTTTGGTTCGAACATTATATTTTGCCTATTTGTTGTGCCGTTAGGTGCGCTTGGCCAAAGGTAATGACATAATGTTGTCGCCAAAATGGAAACGGAATATACATTTTTTGGCAATCGTGCAAATTGCAATTGCCAATACCGAGCAAACACATCGAATGCCAAATGAATCGATGAATTGTTGTTTATATATAGTTTATATATATATATATATATATATATTTATGTGCTTTCTAACAATTTGCAAGTGCTGGGAATGAGATAATCTGTTATTTAATATTTTGCACTGACTATATGAGGGTGGGTCTTTATTGGCAAAGTCAATCTAAATTATTGGGGGATTTACTTAAATGATTTGTATATTTTAGCACTTTTGGTATCATTTTAAAAAGTAAGAGTTCTTGGCAAGAAATTATTAGCTAAAAAAGCTTGTAAAATATAACAGTTTATATATATTAATTATATGTATATTCAATTTCCTTCTTATTAATATCTTAAACGAGAATGTTTTGATTTAAAATTTACAAGAAACCAACGTTACCTTACCACCCTGTTTTAGTTTTTAGTTACACTTCAAACCTTAACTGCTTTCAAATAGTTTTCCTAATCAAATGACATGCCTTTAAACACTCAGGACAATAGAAAAATCAGATTTCCTTTCTGCCACAATGTGTGGCACATGTCCAATATAATTAATTGAATGGCGTGCGATCGCACTTTGTATAGAAGCGATAGGCGAGGTTTCTGATTTTAAGCCTTTTGTTCAATGTACTTAGCCAGATGAGTGGAACGGCCAATGAGATCACTTTTTATATTGAAAAGCAACCAGTCTGTAGACTATAGACTTGGCTATGAATGTGGGGTTATTCGGAAAAGTTGTTTATAGACAGAAGCACAACGCATTGAATGCCTTTTCATGTTCCAATGGTGATGATGCCAGGGTCCGGTGCTGATGTCACAGTGGAAATGGCTTCATTATTTTATTTATAAACTGCATTTGTTCTGTCTGTATTTTATTCCCATTTTCATTGTCTACTTTGACCGAAAAGTTTCCCAAAGGAAAAATAGAAAACTTGGCTGCATCTTGATTCAATTTTGGGCTAAACTATTTTTAGATGCTTGTTTGGCATGAAATAGGTATCTCAAGGAGCCCGTCCCTTGTGCTATTTTCGTCTAATTTTCTCGCCCTGCTTTCTGGTTTATTTTCAAATTTAGCCACATTTTTCTTTTTAGTTATTTTATTTGATTTTGGCTTGCTCTACTCGAACTTGTCTTGTCACGGCGGGAAATGCGATTAAAAATAGAGTTTTTTTCGAGTTTTCTGGGATTTTCAGCTGTTTTTGTTTCTGTGATTTGGTTTTTTTCTACAGCACATGGATCCATTTGTATATTTTCATAATACACGAAAAATGTACACGAACATCCACGTTGGGTTATGTGGTTTTAATGATGGGGAAATATGTGCATTTGGAAAATGTTTTTGGGAAGACTTTCAGATTTAGCTAAACAATAAGTTAAACTGAGAAAATGTTGAAATCTGTAAACTGTAATAATGGTTTTTCTCCCACATTCAAAATGATTAATTACCTCTAATAAATCTTTGCAACTTGTCTGGCATCATAAACTCAAAATGATAGATATATTGAGGTTATTTCAAGTTGACTTTTAATAAATATATTTAAACATGTAATCCTCTGTCATGTTTTAAGTGCCTTATATCACCCTATTAAATGATTTTATATAATACAACAAATCTCTTGTCAATAAACTACAAAAAGAAAGGCATCTTAAAAATTCACATTTGAAAATTTAAGCTAAAATCTTTGATAATTTATTCGTTTCTGTGGAAAATATATATTTTACAATAAACGTTTTCCCGAACACCCACGCGTCTCAACAAAATGGGAAACATATGAGAAATTTACATATATATATATATCTGATTCTATATGCAGATGTAGAATTAGCTATAAATAGGGAATTCTCGAAACTAATTTTATCATTTTTCGCACGTAGATATCGGGCATGGATGATGATATCTAGACGTATGCAAATGCCTCAAATCAAACAAATCAAAATTGTTGACAGTTGCCTAGTTTTTTTTTTTGGTTTTTAATTGCTTTTCGACTTTTGCGAGGTTTGGTCATCTCTTAAACGTATGTGCACTCAAATATTTATGGCTAATAGTTTATCGTTTACATAGCTTAATTTTTGTGCAAATAAACCAAATTGGCTGATCTTAAAAGGAATTCATATACATATTTTTAATTGCCCCTCTGACTAATGCCTTGAAGCTCAGAAATATATATATTTGGCTCTTTCCACTAGATGAATTTCTGTTTAGAGAAGCGATTGTGATGCCTTGAGTCAATATTTGAAGATCAAGAAGTCTTTTTCGTTTGCCTTGCCATTAAACTGAGCTACTTTATGGCTAGGTGTGAACTAAATGAGGAAACATCAAATATATAGATTTGAAAAAAAGAAATAGCATTGAAAGTGCTGAAAATCGAACGGAAACCTTTGTTTATGCGAAATAATGTTTGGCCAAAAGTCGAATTGGCTGCTGGAGATAGATTATAAATATAGATGTTCTAAATTAGGAAATATATATGTACATATATGCAATTGCAACTGAATCATGGGTCTATATTCAAGGTTACAGTTGGTGGAAGAGAACTTATTGAAGGAATTTTGTAGTACAAAATTTAATATGGAAAATTTAAACTGAATTTATACACTCTCCTTAATTAATCATTCTTCAACTCTTTAATTTTCTTGTTTTCTTAATGGAAACCGATGTCTTTACGTATCTAAGTTACAACCGAATTACTCTTGGCCTTTCAAGTGGCTGCCACTTTAAATTTTTACAGCCCGCACAGTGGCTCACACTCATCGAAGCTCGTAAACAAAATGATGCTGTAAAATAAATTTTAACATGTGAATTCCCTCAAGTAGACGCCACTTTGAGGTGGCACTATTTTTGGGGGCGGCCAGCTGTTTTTGCCACCAATGTTTACTTTTGGTTTATGGATGGTCTTACAAATATTGTACATGATTTTATAAGGGGTGGTCGATTGTGTGGTCCAGTATTTTTAGGCATTATAATAGATTTGAAAATGATCATGGAAAAAAAGTATATAGTTTTATTATTGATAGATACTTTTAAGTGGTTAATAAGAATTTCAATATCACAAGTTTTGTTAGTTAAAGTTAAAGTTACATAAAGCATATTACTTTCGAATTCATTAAAATCTGTCGACCTTTGTCCAGTTTTGAATTAGAATTTGCCTATGAATAACAAATTAAACTGCGTTGCAAGCAAATTGCTTTGGGCCATTTGAAGTGCAACTTTATATCTCAGGGCCAACTTCTCGGTGAGACCACAATAAACATATAAAAATATCAGATGCAATGCAATCACCACACCGTGACGTCATTAGTCTAGTCTGACTTACAAAAAATACATGGCGAACTCGTTTGTTTCTCTCTATTTTTTGTGATTATGTAAGCTCCAAACACGAGCTAAAAAACATTTGTTTGGGTTTCGAATTCATGAATGACTTTCATTAAGTGCCGCTGTAAGTTGAGCTTTGCCATGCGCTGACCTATATTTTGTAGGCCTCTCTCAAATCGCGGATTTTGTGAATATTTGTAAAACGATCCATCAGGGTTAATAATAATCCATATATAAGCATAAACAACCACCAGCCAAGGGCTGTGTAATTGATATTTTCTCACGCTCCATGATGTCACGCAGTAAAGGTGTAAGGTAAAAGGTTTACAATTACAGACCCAAAGTACTTGTTAAATGCCACCCATTCATGCAGAAGAGCAGAGAGTCCAAATCTATTGGAGAGAGTTAACAGTGAGAGCGGTGTTTCTCTGAGCGACCTAAGAGTAACTGTTAATATTCGCTCGCTTATCATTCAATATTTTGCCACCCTTTAAAGTTGAGCGCTTTTTGCGTTGTGGGGGAATTCAAAATTTTATTGTATTTTTATGGGTCAAATTAAAAGGGGGAATGACTAATTACGAATCCAATGTTGGGAAGTTGTAACAATGATAAGGAAGATATTCTAATAAGGGATCTAAATATTCACATTTTATTCACCTTAAATAAAAAAACACATAAAAAACATTTTAAGAGTCACAGAAGTTATAAAACCTCAAAAATAGTTGAAAAAAGGTAAACCAAGAACGTTGACCTTGTAAAATGATATTTCATTACTTGGAACTCAAAAATGTTTCTTCAAAAATCCCCCATCCCTTTTACAAAAAGCCGGCTACTGCGCCACTGACCCTAAATAATAACAACCAGTCTGTGCAAACTCGGCGAGTATGTGCTCTTTGGAGTGGTAAACAACATCAATCAAAAGTCGTACAAAATATTGCGTGTGCTCTCGCTCAATCTCTAATACTCTCTGAGATTGCCAGTGTAGTTCTCTCTCGATTAAGAAAAATACCAACACACAGACTCTGGGTAACATGAGCTTTACTACGATTACTATGTACGCTGAGCTGACTCTTCTCTCACGGCTTTTTGGACTGGACAAGGCGTAGCATATTGAACGCTTTTGGGTTTGGGCTCAGTATCGAACCGGCTTTCTACGACAGCGGATTGGAATCGCGGAGCGACAAAGTCGCCGGGCAATAATGTGATATAGCCGGCTGCCCACCAGGCTAAGCAGAAAACAAAAAAATAAAAGTTAAAACAAAAAACCCCAATTCTCGAATCTTTTATGGGGCAGTGAGAAGAATAACGAGAGAAATACAAATTTTCTTACCTAACCGCGTGAGATAATCTCAGGCTGGCATTGTGTCCCCTGAATTAAAGCCCAAAGCTTCAAAGTGTTAAGCATAATAAAAAGAAGAAGAGGAAGCGTGTTTGCTTTTAGGCAAATTCAAGTTGAATTACGTGTGCCGAAAAAAATAATAGACTGAAGGCCATTCAAGGGTTGGTCAAAAAGGAAAATTCGGTGAAAAGTCACGGTGTGTGTGTGTGTGTGCGTTGCGTGAGAAAAATCAATTCTGCATTTGGTGGAAAACCAAAGCAAAGGCAAAGAGGAGAGTAACTCAGGAAAAAAGGACAAACCTAAAGGCTGGTTTTTAGGGCTGAGGAAAACTCGTAACCGATGACAATTTGGCTTGACGAGGGTCTATTAGCGAAATCAATGCCATTATGGCTGATAGTGGAGGACCAGGATCCAAGCACAAGGATCCAACAAGCATAGATGCCGGCGGGGGAGGAGAAGGACACGATGACGTGCCTCCGGTTCCAGCTGTTCGTCGACGTCGTGCGCATGAGCAGAAATCCTCGAGAGAGCAGGTGGAGGAGGAGGAGGTTCGGGGTCAGGAGAGCCAACAGCTGGAGACATCGACGGTGACGAGGACTTATATGAAGACCATTACCACCTCCCTGACCACCTCGAGTAGCTCCAATGTGGAGGAGTTTGTCCTGGAGCAACCGAGTGCTCCATCGCCCAATCAGCAGAGATTGCGTCAAAAGGTGGCCCATTACGAAAAGGTCTGGTCGGATGGCTCTAATCCCGTGAAGCGACCAGCAGAGCAGAGTTCTGATGAGCTTCGATTAGTTGATGACCAGGATGAGTACGATGCCGAGAATCCCTTCGAGATAGATGTTCATGAGATTGAGCGAAGACTACGGCAGGAAAGGCAACGTGGCCTGGCAGAGGCGGAGGCTGCCAAGCTGGCCTTCCAGCAGGTTCAACTCCGGCACACAACGCCTCCTCGTCGTGTAGAGGTGACCAGTGATCAGGTAGCGAGTCCTTTCAACGTGACTCTTCGCACAACCAGTCGCATGAGTCCTGGAGCAGATCACGGCAATGTCGAGGAACATCTCGCCCCATTTAATGTGACCCTCAGAACCACTCGTAGAACCAAGAAAAAGGAAATCAAGGAGCTAGAAAGCTTCCTCGAAGGAGAACGAACTGTAAGGGAGGTACCCTCGGCGGACGGAGTGAGGACCATCATCACCTCCTCGATGACCAGCGATGGCGGCTACACCGAGGAGAAGATCTATCGGCACGGCGAGGGCTATGTATCGCCCAGGGACTCACCATCCTGGTCGCGTTCAAGTTACTCCAGTGAGCGATCCAGTGTGACGCCACCGAGGAGCGTGGATCTAACCGCCGGCGGACGAAGGATTCTAATCAAACTGGAGCAGGAAAGTGAACTAACCGAGGCGGATAGCCAGACGAGGGACGAAACCGACCTGTCGTTTGGTCGGCAGGAAGTGGCCATGGCAACCGGCAACATTGACATTACCGTCGGCGGTAGCAACCCCCGCCGGCGTTTGTACCAGCAAACAACTGTCCAGGTGGGTGGCGGCAACCATACCACCCCAAGCGAGTTAACACCCCAAAGGCCCAGGGACTTAGACCTGGCCGGCACCACGAAGACAATGCTAACATCCACGCCAATTGGCACGAAGGAGCAACCGCAAACGGGTCCGAAAACTCAAGTTAGTCCAGCTGCAACGTGCCAATTGCGTGGTTCTTCGACGGAAGAGCCCCGGAAAATTGTAAGCCACAAAACGATAACCAGCACAACGACCAAGTCCGCATCATCCTTATCCTCCTCCTCGTCCTTGTCCACGTCGCGCAAAGTAATCGAAACGTCGCCGATTGTCGGGAATATCTCGCAGATACGTACCGTTAAATCCAACGCCAGTGACAACGACATCGACATCGATAACGATTCGGACACGGAGGGCAGACCTGCCAGCAGTATAGTGATTGTGTCCACGCCCACGCGCCCCACCACACCGGCATCCGCGTCCGCATTTGTATCCGCATCTGTGACCCCATCCGCATCCATATCCGCGACAGCTGCTCACGCCCTCAGTGGCATCGGCACTTTCAGCAAGAGTCTGCGCCAGGATTATCAGACTCTGGCAACGCAAAGTGGCCGCAGCAACGAATCACCCAGTGAACAGGAATACCAGGAGTTCCAGTCCACTATGGCGTCTATTAACTACGCCCGCAGCAATTCCCAGTACGATAGCCATATCAAGGAGAAACGAGGTAAAAATCGGGGGAATAAGGGATGGGTTAGATCGTAATAATTGGGAAAATATGAGGTAGGGGACCAAGTTTCAAGTTTGAAGATTGAAGCCAAACTGAAGAATTCTAAGAAAATGTAAATTTTTTTTACTATTAGACATATATTTTTCTTATTTTTCGTAACCTTTATCTGATTTGGAAAATATTTAACTTTTTAGTCGAAGACCAAACTAAAACTTTTAATATTTACACAAAAATGTTAGTTAGAACTTTTTCCAAGAATTTATCGTCAAGTCTCCATTCTGTGTACAATTATCTCCTACAATTTAGCAAAATTAATCCCCATTTAGCCTATTTTGAGCCAGATCTTATCTCAGCCAAACTTTATAGCCCTACCCACCTGTGGTCTCTAGATAACGGAAATGGCAATGTCAAGATATTCCGCTCATTCTCAGTTTACACAACGAACACCTTTATAAGCCGAGAAAGCAAAGGTATTTCGAAGATCCTATCGATTGTCAAGGTCAGTCGGCGGTACTTTGTGGTTACATACAGTCAGTTTGCTTAATTAATTATTACACAAAAATAAAAAAAAACAATCGATAAAAAAAATAAAACTGCCGAAATGACATCATCCATCGCTTCGAGAAGCAGCAATATACGAACTTTAACTTGTTTAGCTGGATGTATTTATTGTTGCTGTCGTCGTTATAAGTCAGTCGGTCGGTTGGTCGCGCCCCGAACTTCTATAGTATCTGGCGATTTATATTATTTATATACTGGCGCACAGTGCGTTTGTTATGTATTCGCCACATCGACTGTTGGCAAGCAGTTTGTTACCTCTTTCCTTTGGCAGGAATTTATTGGCAGCCAAAAGCACTCGAACTACCCCTGAAGAATAGGTTTCTGAATGGGATGGGATTTGGATTGGGTTTGGGATTGGTTTCTATTATGTGACCTCCTCCTTGGCTGTTATTATGTTAAGCACAACAACCAATTAAGTGTCTGGCAGGCTGTCTGTCGTCTGTCCCTCCTCGAAAATTTCTGATCTGAGTGGATCGAACAGTCTGTCCCCCAGAATGACTAGAACAATTTTCTTTTTTGGGCTGCACTTGACGTTGCTTATAGTATATGCAAATATTTTTCATATCTATATATATTTGTATCTATAGATACGCCCTGACATTCGTTTGCTTGTATTATTAATATGCGAGCAGTTTGTGTGCATTATCTTTAATATATGATGATTATCGGCGAAAGTTCTATTCGCAGGAGGAATTTTTTATGGAAATTGATTTTTCATGTTTGCCGTTTGGGTTGGGTTTTTATTTAGCTGAATGAGATTGAAGGATTATCCATATATGTATATATTCTCTTATTAAGGTCAAGTGCAGCAATTATGATAATTAAAAGCATTTTGTGATAGAAATTTGAAATTACTTCGTTTTTAATCGATTTGCTTTCCATGTCTTTCTTAACCCTTTTGTTTACCAACCAAACTCCTAATCAACGCTTTTTTAGGGTATCTGTAAAACCTAAAAAGTTCGTTAGATGTCTTCATATGACAATTAGTGAGCATAAATCAAGTTTGCGTGAGTTAAAGTATTAGTTTTCCTCTTCTCGGATCATCGTCAATGTCAGCATAACGGCTTGCTGTCAAATATTTTGATGTTGCGTGTTTCAGCAAACTTTTCGACTGCTTCGATAAATTTGTTTGACAAAGGAGCAAAATGTTGCCCCAAATTTGTGCCATATAACATATATTGGCAGGCCCAGCCACATATACTATACTATATATCTATTATATATCATATAGAGAGAGAGATGGGGGACAGCACTTTATAAATTTATAAGCCAGCAAAAGTACGTCAAGCGTTCACTAATTGATGACAGTCACATGAATATAGTATATAGTAAACTATTGATTGCTGGCTTTTGACTTGGTTTCAATAAATGTCCTCACTTTCCCAGCAATTATCATTAATGCCGTTTTAATAGGTGTGCAAAAAACAAACTACAAAACCCTACAAAAACCTACTACTCTTTCAATATTTATGATATAGTGGCTTGCGGTATATCAGCCATTGAGCTTCATTAAGCCGCATTTCAAAGCCGTATCTGACTATGAAGATGATTTATGGGAGATACTCAATGCTCTGGTCAATGAAAATGAAAATATTTTGTTTAAAACAAAGTGGCATCTAACGATTTCTGAAAACCTGTCATTGTAAGTAATCCATGCAAACGGAACGAGCTAAACAGCAGCCGTACAACTGAGATCATCGTTTGGATTTTTTTATAGTTTCTGATATTGTGACTATGTGTCAGTTTAGAATATTTATAGGGCATGTAGCTTGGCGGCTTTTCTGAGTGATGCCTAAAATGCGGTCCAGAGAAGTTGGCGCCTAGCATTGAAATTCAAGCTGAGGTTTGTAAGTTAAGAACCGAATCAAGTTTACATACGAGTACAAGCCGAACTTGAAGTACCCACAAGTTTGCTCTTAACCCATAAAGTACTTTTTTTTTAGACATTTTTTGATGTGGGAGCAGAGCAGTTTCCCCATCCAGATGTTGATCATCTGGTTGAAAAGAAATTAAAAATTCTACCTCCTCCTCCTTAATTTAGAATTCTGCTCGTGGGCAGAAGATCTTTTGAAGATCTCTTCTAGAAGCCTCTTTTGCGTTTTTCTTTCGGGCCAAACAAATTATCGTTTTTGTAGTTTCTTCTTGCCATATTTATTATCTTTACATTTTAGGTGCTCAATCATTGAGTTTTTCAGTTTTTTGGCTATCGGTTATCTGCTGCTGGTTTAGTGAACGGTATTAATGACAAAAATAAATAAACATTTTTGGTAAACAAGCAGAGTACATATACTAATAGTTATGACGCAATCCCCAGCACTTGACTCTTTTTGAATATGTATGAATCCTCGTCTATCATATTTGCATCTAATATTTTCGAGTAGCTGTGAACTACTAAATGGATGGATAGATTGTGGGTGGGGCTAGCAACCTGTCGAAGGCAATGAAGCGTTAAGTTAAGACTCTTGAACAATTTATGCAGGCTTTCCTCACATATTTGCTGCTCACTTGTCGCCGCAGGTGACAACAACAAGTGCCATTCGGACACACCTCACTGGTTTCCACTGTACTGTATTCTGTTGAAATGTTAAATTTAAACGAAATTTAAACAGTTGATATAATAATCGTACATACAGCCGCCTATGCTGGAGTGATCATCACATGGTTGATTGCCGATGGGGAAGGTCAACATTTTGAGTGGTTTGTTAGTTGGTTTATGGTAAAACCTTATCGAGTGGCTTGCACTTTGGAGTATAATCAAATATGCCAGAGACATTTTAAGCTAAGATAATATTTCGGTGGTTTTTAGTGAAAGAATGTGCGATAGTAAAGGCATTTCCTAGAAGATAAAGAAGGTTTGAGGGAGGTTTTCAAGGGAACTTGAGAGAGCTGAAGTTATAGACTACCATGAACATCAATTATACTAGCCAATGATACGTAACCCCAATAATTAAGCATATAAACATTACAATTTGTATTTCGGAAATCCCCTGCCGCCAAACCCCAAACATTTAATTCACGCACTTCCGTTGAAAAGGCCCCAGCATATGCTCTATATCGTCTGAATTCAGACCCCCTCCCCGCCCTCAACGATTGCCTTTTGTTTATGCAAATGTAGAGGAACATTTTTTCGTATTTGGTGTTTTTTATTGCCTTTTTTTTCCGTTTGGTAGGGAAACCCAAACAATTAGCTATGCGTGAAAGTAAATAAACTATTTTTACCGAACACTTCTTTTTGTTGTTCTCTTTAGCTTCTTTTCTATTTGCGTTCTGTAACTAGGCCAACTCAGACAATCGGGCAACAGAAGCGGAATATATATAACCAAAAGTACCTACCTTTTTTGTTAATATTTTCAGTAATTGGTAATTACTACTAACGGAAAGCAAAGCTTTTAGGTTTCATTCATAAAAGTTTCTAGCCAAGAACTCTTTTTTACAGTTTTCTTTCTATATTCTCCACTACGTTTTGGACGCTTTCATTAAATAGCAAAAAAAAACGCCGAAATAAACATAAATAACAATCTACCGACTTATCATTATAATCACCATCATTAACTCACTGACTGACTGAGCCGTTTAAAAAATAAACTAAAAAAGAACCGACAACCGAAAAAAGGAGAAGAAAACAATTTACTACTCTTTTTGGAATTCTTTGTTTTCATTTCTGAAGAATCTATAATGGTTATATCCCTCTGGCGATCTTGTAATCAGACTTTATACATCATTATTGAAATGGAAATTGAAATTGAAATGAACGAATCTGAAAAGTCATTCAACTTGAACGTTACTCCCTGGCCTGATTTCTGCCCCTTGTTAATTGTTCTACGCCTAATGCGGTGTTTAAATCAAACACGTTTTTCTAGGCTTTTACTTTTGATATGAATGTTTGATTTTGTTTTTTATTTGTTGTTTTTTCTCTATCTCTATCTCTATCATTACTTAACGAAAAAAACACTCAAAGTTGAGCAATTATTATTAGTTTTGAGCTTAAGTGGGGACTATAGGTTTCCTTGAATAACTTTTAACTATTTTTTGGATAGTGATTTTTTGGGATCTTATTAACTATTCTACAAACTAAAAAAGGTTAAAAAAGGTTTTTAAATTATTATAAAATGTTTGTGAAAAAAATAATGTTTACTTTTCCATAAAAAATCTTGGTTTTACATCATTTCAAGACCAAAACCATAAACTTCTTACTAAAAATAAGGTTTTTTTTAAAGTAAGAGCATTTATTAAAACACTTGCTTATTAGTTAGTCGAATGCCTTATCTCTCAAGTACAAACAAAATTGATTAGCTTGACCCGCAACTACATTACTGAACAATCCTTATCGGATTCCAACATTTCAAGTGCATTTCTTCTTATCTTTGCCATAGCTTGCAAATATTTTTGCTGATAAAAAGTTTTGGCTAAAAAAAATAACAAAAAAAGTTCATGATTTATGGCCAGCTAAAATGTTAACTAATCAACATGTGTCACAGATATACATTTATTTTTGGTCAAGACCAAAATAGTACCAACTAGTTTTTCAAAGAAAATTAATTCAGTAAGCCAAATGCGGTAGTTCAGTTAATATATTCGCTAAAAACATTTAAGATTTGTTACCAAAAATATCAGGTTTACTCCAAACGAGTCTTTAGAGAGGCGTCTAACGTTTTTTGAGCAAAACAACTTAATTTTTTGGTTATAACAAGAATATGTAAAAATATATTTTATAAATCGGATAAAAGTTTGTTTTAGAAGAGAAATCAATTTGTAATTTAAGCTTTTATACCTTTTTTATTGAAGAATTAGGTGAATATGTTGTAACTCAACTTAAAATGAAATCAAACCTGTTTTTTGGCTAAATTAAGAATGATTTTAATTTTTATTTAAGCAATAAGAACAGGTTATATTAAAAGCAAAAGTCTATAAAATGAGTTCGCTTTTTAAAAAATATATGCGGTAACCTAAAGCCTTTCAAATCTAAATGCAGTTACAAAATTTGTTTATTATATTGTTTGCTTTCAAACATTTTACAAAATTTATTTGGCACCCTAAGAGTTAAATAGAAAAAACGCCACATTTGTGTTAATTTATTAGGGGACCTGCTACATCGTATCTTTACAAGCCATTAGAGCATTTTTAGCTGTCTGAAAGAGCCATTAAAATGGCCATTAGGTTTGATTTGGTTTTTACCTTGCCTCAAGTTCACCAAATTGCACAAAATTGTGGGTTTTGCACTTGCCTGAATGTTGGCTAAATAATTTATTTCGCTTTTCGAAAGATTAATATATATACGAGTATATAGACACGACTTTCAGTTGCTTTGCAAATTGCGCAACCTTGAACTAATTTCTATTTAAATAATCTTTTGTCAACATTTCAAAAATTGCGTCACTTGGCCAGCAATAAAATGAATGAAAATTGAAAATACAAGAGAAAAGTTGAGCGAATCATTTCAAATTACAATTTGTGTGCTGTTCTTACTTTATAAATTTGTTTGTTAATTGGCTAGGCATTTGACTGCGTCGATTTATTTTATGTAATAATTCTTATTCCAAGCATTCCTCGCTCGTTTAACTGTAGAAATTTTCCATTTTTTCGAAAATGAGTATTTCATATTTATTGCGGGAAATCTATTTTGGTTTCATGTTGTTGGCATGCGTTTGGCCAAATGCCAGAATTCGTTTAGACCACGCACTGGGCCAAGTATTCTTGGAGCTAACAGTGGGATTATGGCCAGACAGCTGCTGGCTACCGTTTTTTCCAATTTTTCCATTTTTCCATTTCCATTTCGGTTGCACTTTTCCATAATGACTCTGCTTAATGCGTTTCTTTATTTTCACTCTCTTGTGTATATTTTTATAATTGTTTACAAATTGATGTTTTCAAAGCTTTGTTTATTTTCTCAATTTGTCGGCTAAAGAATGAAATTGAGGTAATTAAGGCACAAAAAAAAAAAGAAAATAAATATTTGGTTTGGCAAATCGGAGTTTTCGTGTTTACAAATTGCGGTCTACCTTTTGACGCACGGAAAGGGTCAACGAATGTGGGGAATATTTTGAGCTGTTTTGTTTATGGGTTGGGTTTTATATTTTAACATTAATATTTAAATGATTCAGTGGAAGAAATATGTAAGAATTTGAAACAATTTCGGTTTTTATATTCATGAAAAAGTTTGCTAGAAAAATGTTGCTAGGTAATATAAAAGGCAAAGAAATCTGAACTCTAAACTTTAAGTGATAATATCACGTCAACAAACATGATGTCATCGTGTTAATTTCGTTTTATACACCAACTTAACTGATAATTCAATTAAGGCAAGCAAAACTGAAATGAAAACCTTAAAAAAAACTGGTATTTATACGAGTATACAACCTGTGCCAAGATACCAAGAAATGTATCTTATCGGTTGGGTTTCAGTATCTTTGTTAGTATCGTCATGTCTCCGATTCGCCTTTCTTGGCTGCCGACACTTGTCCAGCAATTAATCGAAAATGAAAGAAATGTTTTTCTCATTTACTGACATTTATCTTATTTTCTCTTTTCTTTACATTTTCAGAGGAGCAAGAACGTGTGCAGAAGAAGACATTCACTAATTGGATTAATTCATACCTATTGAAGGTGAGTCTAGTCTATCTACGTATCTAACTATCTTTTTATCCATGAAACGTCTCAATCGATTCGCCATTCGTCTTGAGACCGCTGCCAATGACTTTTGTCTACATCAAATGGCATTGGAATTTGCATAGACGAATAGATTTGCATTTGATAAACCAAGCGTGAGAGGTTTTGTTTTTTTTTGTGTCTGCCAAAAACTGAAATAAAATGGGTTAAGGGGCGTGACATGTCCATCACTCTGAATACAAAATCACAAATTAAGCGTGATAAGCTTATTTAAGCATTTATTTGTCATGTAATTATGAGGGAATAATGAACGAGAAGTTGTTCAGAGATTTTTGATAAACCAGATATTAAATGCGTGCAATTTGAAGGTTGTTTGCGGGGTTTGTCATTGTCAAGTAATTGTCAGAGAAAAGGTCTTGCAAGCTGATTTATGATGGTTTCATTTTTAATTGCATATTATTTGTAAATTTTGTTTAAACAAATATGAGCACTTTCTGTCCTGAGAACAACAATTAACAAATTAGTCTCATAAATGTTTTCTATCTCAGGGTTTTTGATCTTATATGACTTCCCATTAAGTCTCGCTAAAAATTTATAAAGTCCACATTCATTAGCATAAATGTGAGTAAATATGTACGAGTACATACCTTCAGGTTCTGCACAAACATTTGTCATGTCTGAGACCCAGTCCCATTCTTCCTTCCCTGGATAGCTTCCAAGAATATGTTAAAGGCACACGCAGGCCAAAGCTACCTACCAAAGCTAGAAATTCCTCAGCACATTTGTCTAGAGCTGCTCTCCATCTTTCTTCGCTTCAGTCTTTTAACAATGTATAAAAAAAGATTGAAGGAAAAATGGTTGAAAGAAATCCAAAAAAAGACCGAAGCGAAGTTGGCCTGAAAGCCAAACAAAAACCAGAGAGTTGCATTAATGCCAGATACATAGTTCCGTTTCTGGCGGGGATCGGCCGGTGGCTTCAATTGCATTGCCATTAACCCGCCAGAAACCCACGCTACACGCCTACTGACTTACTTTCTTGTCCCGAACCCGAACGTAGCTGATTTAATGCACTTTTGAGTCTCTTAACGGAGTCTCGCAGATTGAACGTGAGCCATGTTGCGTTGGGTGTCTCAAATGCGTTATCTTTTAATACCACAACGGCAATCGGCAGACATAAGCCGGCAATTTTTTAACCAACCCACACTAAAGTGGTTATATAGTTAGTTTTTTTTTTTAATGGAAGATTTCAAAAGTTATAACTATTTTTATAGAAAATACCATTTATTGGTTAATTTTGGGGTGAACATTTTCTATGAAAAGTTATCCATCAGTAAGTTAGCTTTCATGAAGTTTTGTTTTTATAATTAATCTTTGAAATATTTAATTCATAATAACGCGGTAACTTTTCGTTCTTAAACTCATGTAAAACTATATATTATCTATATATATTTTCAATATTTATAAATAAGATAAGTCTTGAATACGAGTATATAACAAAAATAAAACATTTATATAAATATTAGCTTTTTGTGAAACTTAAAAAAAACTTTCACTTGCATACCAGAGGATATAAATTTAAAACAATTTTTATAAATATTGCAAAGTTTTTTTTTAAACACCATTAGGTTAACTTTATTCCCCTTACTGTACAGATAGTATATTGTATAAGTGCATGTGCGAAAAGCTGTTGCCGGCCGGCCGGCAATTATTCCAATACAATCCTAACCGGGCAGCCATTGAAAACCAGTTCCTCGACTTAGAGAGTGTGCGGCTCGATAAGGCTTGTATGTGTCTACTTTTTATGCCACATAAAAGGAGCAGCAGACATGAAAGGGTCTCATACCCCGCCTTTTGGAATTGATTTCCAGAATGCGTGGGTTGGGCTTCCCAGATTGAAGTCATATTTCAGTCGTCCAAGGAGTTGAAGAGTTGCAGATGCAACATCTACATCAGAGTTATGCAACATATGCAAATGAGTCATTTAATGTGCATAATGACAGGGCAAATTGCACAACGATTGGCTTGACACGTCGTCTCAGTGAGGCAATAAATCGTACTCTTGCCATTGCAAATAAAAAGTGATTTATTTAATTTGTGGTTTGTATCTATTGAAGCTTCGCTAGACCTGTCAATTAGCAAGCATCTTCCACTTTTTTTCCCCCATTTACTAAATGGTATCCAACAGATACACACCCGTAGGGTGTCATGTAAAAAACAGAAAAATATTTGATGGGGCAGCCGAAAAAATGTTTGTTTGGTATTCGTTTGATTTGAAGCTCAGTTCAAGGTGAACGAGGTTTTTTTATTGCTGGTCTCGCTGGCGACCCAAAAACCCGCTCTGGACGCTCGCTTTTCATAGAATTTGATTAAAATTTATGAATTAATTTAGATATATGTAGATGGGTCGCAGTGACAGAGCTCGTTGGATGTTCAATTTTTGAGTGGATCCACATTTCCAGTTCGCTTTCATTTCTTTATGACATAATTGATGGCAACGCCCCGGCACGAGTCGTGCCCTCCAGTTGGCATTTTCAGCATGAGAAACCCATATCACGAATCCCCGTATAGCTAAAGTGAAAGGATCAAACCATTAGAGGTGCTTAAATTAGAAAGGATTTTGTGGCTGGGAAAGTGGGTTATGAATGCTGCGGGTAGAAACATTTCTCAGGTGCTCATCTAATTGTGTTGGACAGGTGACAGGTTGGACAGTAAAAAGATTAGAAAAGATTTACAATACTCTAGAGTGTGGACACTGAATCACCTAGGGTGACAGATTATGGTTATGACTGACTGGGAAATTAGGTAAAGTTTATTGCAATACCCGTTTTTAGCAAGATTTTATAGGACAAAAGCTTATGAGAATACCTAATAAGACTATTATAATCAAAAAGATGACACATTTTTGTATAACTTGAACTTGTTAGAAACATAAGAATGAGTCTCATCGAAATATTATTTGTATTATAATAGATGAAATAGTTTACAAAACTAAACGAACTTGTATGATACAGCTCTAGCTACAGGGCCTTCAACGTGTATTCCAATATAAACCAGCCTTTAGACTTGTTAAAACACTCTAAAAACAACTCACCACACCTCTTCTTATCAACTTATAGCAGAATTAATTATAATCCCCAGCGGCCTGATCAAGGCAAGGTACCCATTTTCCGATTAACCCAGAAGACCCACTTATTTTTTTCGATGTCATGTTCGTGGAGTATTAAGTTCCTAAGAGACGCCCAGGCAACGGCTGTAATGACATATGTCAGCCCGAAATAAACAGCGGAAAGACTAAAGAAAACTTTTTATATAAAGCACTATGACACCATAAATTCCGGAACTAAATGGGAAATGTAAAAGAAAGAGGCGTAGCTAGTGGAACAGGAAACGGAAGCATTGAAATTGATTTCGCTATGTCTGTTCTGAAGGAGAGAATTCACACAAAAATGAAAAGTTTTTCTTTGCTGTAAAAAAGTTTTACCAAGCATTGTCATTGTCTTTTGCATGTTGGCAACAGTTGAATAAAGTTTTTTGCACAAACTATTTACCCACAAGAAAGCTCAATTAAATGCTACACTCAATTACAATTACCTTTGTTGTTTGTTAGTTTGCTGCTTTTGGTGGCACTTCCGTTTGCTGCGGCCTTAATGGTATTACCTTAAAAATTGTAATCTTTTGTGGCGAATTCAAGTTAAATGCCTGCTCGTGCCAGTTGCCAATCTGTCTTGTCCGCACTGAAGTATCACCGCGAATTATCGCAATTTAAACTATTTTAATTGATTTAATGCCATTTAATGTTGCATTTGATTGATTAACCGAAAATAAACTTATGCAAAGCCTGAAAGAGCATTCGAAATTGACCAAAAAACCAAAAGCATTAAATCCGTTCACTGCACCCCATTAAGTTTTTATATTTTCTTAGCTATGAGTGCATAACGTGGGGATAGTGCTTGTGATATAGTCATAAAAGTGGTTTTAAAAAGTAAACTAAAAGGCACTTGAAGGCAATTTTGGTCTATTTTTGACCCCTTTGAGTGAGAGTTGGCTAAACGAATTAAGTGAAAATTAATTAGGCGGGAAGAATTTGATTAAAGATCTACTTTTCATGGTTTTCAGCTTATCTAGTTGATGATTCAAAGCTTAGAATAGAGAGTGTTAATTATTTTTTATGGTTTTACAAAAATTTCCAAGTCTAAGGGTCTAAGCTAGAAAAGTACAACCCAACCGGATGTATCTAAAAACCCTTTAAACAGACCCAAACTTAAGCTTCTTAATGAGACATTCACTCCTTAAGATGATTATATCTGAAATATTTAGTCTAAAAACAGTATGTAAGTTTTATCAACTTTAATCATATTTAATCTATAATCATACTTAACCATTTCAGCGTGTTCCACCGCTTCGTATCGATGACTTAATCAATGACTTACGCGATGGTACTAAACTAATTGCATTGCTTGAAGTTCTGTCCGGGGAACGTTTGCCCGTGGAGAAGGGCCGCGTCCTGAGACGTCCACATTTCCTTAGCAATGCGAATACGGCTTTGCAATTTCTGGCCAGCAAACGGATCAAGTTGGTCAATATTAATCCCGCAGATCTGGTGGATGGGAGACCACCAGTTGTGTTGGGTTTGATATGGACGATCATCTTGTACTTCCAGGTAAGAATTTTTATATCTTTTTTATAAGTTAAAAAACACAAAAAGTGCACTAAAATCACGAATTGAGAGCACCATAGAAAAATTGGTTGCTAGATGTACACCTTCTCACGAGGCTACCACCAGTAGAGATGTACACTGAAAGTCATAAAATGAAGTCCACAAATGTTTTGAAACTTTGAACGTAATTAATCCTATGAACCTTCTTTTTCTATATACTTTTTTATATTGGTATCATAATCTTTAAACCCACACACACAAGCTTCGTAAAAAGAGGCGGAAAAACATAGTAGTAGTTATAAATTATGCGCCACAGGTGGGTCCAAGTCGAAAGTGTAATTGTTGTTATGTCGTGTGTAGTACCTCATTTTTTGGGTAGTAAATCGTTTTTAAGTTGGTAGCCAAACCTTTTAAGGCACTTCCATATCTTAAGTTTAACCATTACATTGCATAACATCCAGGAAGTATAGAATTTATTATTAACTCCATTATGTATTCATCATAGATCGAGGAGAACAGCCGAAACCTAGAGTATTTGGGTCATGGTATTGGCGGTTCGGTTAGTTCCCTCGACAGTGTTGGCAACCAGAAGCACGGCGACCTTAAGGCTGAGAAATGGAAGCAGGGTGCCAGGAAGACCCTGCTCAACTGGGTTACCAACGCCTTGCCAAAGTGAGTTAAGGTTAGATATAGATTCATATGGATATTAATTTATTTCATTTAAAAAGGGACAGTGGTGTGGAGGTTAAGGATTTCGGCGCCAGCTGGAGAGATGGCGTTGCTTTCCTGGCCCTCATTGATGCCATCAAGGCAAATCTGGTCAACTTGGCTGAGCTAAAGAAGACCAGCAACCGTCAGCGCTTGGAGACTGCTTTCGATGTGGCCGAAAGCAAATTGGGCATTGCCAAGCTCCTGGACGCTGAGGATGTGGATGTACCCAAACCGGACGAGAAGAGTATCATGACTTATGTGGCGCAATTTTTGCACAAGTATCCCGAACCAAAGGTGAGTTCAGTCAAAGGAGAAAAAAATAATTTAATACTTATTAATTTATATTTTTACAGGGTGCTTCCCGCGACCAATCGCATGCGCAACAGGAGGCGGACGAGCTGCGTCGTTTCCTGGTGGAGAAGACCACTGAGTACGAGCCCATGGTCATGATGAGCTCGTTCCCACGCGATTTTAGTGAATACTTATTGGCACGTTCTGAAGTCGATGCCCATCTGGCGGCCTATAACCGCTTGAAACAGCTTATTGAGAGCCAAAGCGGATTCCTGCAGGTCTCCCGCCAATCTTGGGAGGAGATTAACGAGCTGTGGCAGCGCCTCCAGTACCAGATGATGTACTGGCTCTGGCTACTGGACTCTGAGCTGCCCGGTGACTTTGGCACCGTTGGCAAATGGTTAGCCGAAGCAGAGAAACTATTGTTGGACAACGATATACCCAATGCTATGAATGAGGAGACGGCCGCTGTGATTAGCAGGAAGCTGGAGGAGCACAAGCTGTTCTTCGCCGATCTGCCACGCATTTTGGCCATGTTTGATAATGCCAAACGGTCTCCGTTGGCACAGCAGATACCCCTGGAGCAATTGCGTAATATGGAACGCCGTCTTCAGGAAGTCGGACCCAAGGCAGCGGAGCGAAGGATTCGTTTGAAGTTCCTTGAGCACAAGTGTTGTCTGATTGCCTTCCTTAATCTTGTGGAGAACAAGATGCGTGGCTGGACATGGAAAGTATGGTCATGAGGAGAAGGTGGCTCAGCAGCTGGAGCAATACAAAAACTTTGTGTCCCGCAACAAGATCTTCCAGGAGTTCCAGAAGGCCTTCGTTGATATGCAACAGGTGGTGGAGGAGTACAAGCGGGATGGTAATGTCCCACGCAAGGAAATCAACGAAATTGATAGGTTTATGTACGAAACCGAAGAGCGTTGGAAGCGCGTTTCCTATGGAACTGAAGTGCTGTCAGAACTCCTTGGAGGAAGTGGTCAACTGCTGGCGTAGCTGGAACCAACTGGCTCCCTCTTGCGAGGAGTGGCTGCTGCTGGCCGAGCAGAAGGTGAACCAGAGCGAGGATGAACGTCTGGACTTCTTCCAGGATATACCCGTGTGGAAGGATAAGTTTGATGCTCTGGCCAGTTCTGCTAATTATCTGATTGCCTCCTGTGAGGAACCCATTGCCCAGCAGTTGCGGCAACGTCATGGCGCACTCTCGGAGCGATTTGAGCGTTTGTTTGCCAACACCAAGCAGTATATGCATGCTGGTGACATTATCCGTTCGCGACAGGAGTACAAGTCGGGCATAGAGCAGCTATCCAGATGGCTTAGAGGAGCTGAAAGCGTTCTGGACCAGAGACAAGTCCTGGGCAACAGTGAACAAATCAAGCTGTATGGCCAGCAGCTGCAGCAATTGGCCAGCGAAATCGATGACAATGAGGAGCTGTTTAAGACAATCAGCAGGAACTTCCAATCCCTGATACAGGACCTTTCCCGCGACGAAGTGGACAAGATGATGAAGCTGCTGAAGCAAGAAAAGGAATCTTTGGTGCGCATACGCGCCCAGTTGCCTGCTAAGCTGCATCTCTTCCATCAACTTCAGATTCAACAGGAATCTCTGGAGGCTGGTCAAAAGGAGATCCATCAGTGGTTGAGTGAGGCTGAGCAGCTTTTGGGAACCCATAACTTATCAGGTGGACGTGATGCCATCAATGAGCAACTGCAGAAGCACAAGACCTACTTCTCACGAACTGTCTACTACAGGTCCATGCTGGAGAGCAAGAACAAGGTGTTCCAGAATCTTCTAAAGGCTGTATCTGCGGATGACAAGATCGACACTGCTCCTGCCTCGCAGCAAATGCAGCAGCTGAATGAACGCTTTAACTATGTGATTCAGAATGCCCAGCAATGGGAGCAGCGCTTGGATTCGGCTGCTGGTGGATGGAGCAACTTCAAGGACAACGAACGTTTGGTTAGTGAATGGCTCACCCAGGCGGAATCCATGCTGGTGGAGAAGCACATCGAATCGAAGACCACAATCGAAACGCAGAAGTACTTCTTTGAGCAGGTCAACGATCGCTGGATGAACAATCTGGTGGAGTCCGCTCAACATCTTCTATCCACTCTGCCCGCTCAGGAGCAACCGGCTGTGGTGAATAGTGTAGAGCAATTACAATCTCGCTGGAAGAATGTGCTTTCCCAGGCTCCTTTGCATCTACTGAAACTGGAATTCAGACTGGATGAGAATGCGTTCTATCAATCCTTGAAGGATGTGGAGAAGGAGTTGCAGCTGGAGCAGCAGGCCCTGAATCGCAACGAGGATGTGGACTCCATTTTGCAGCGCAACCAGCAGTTCCTTCTCCAGCAGGATACAGTTCCTCGCCTAGAACGTTGCTTGCAAAACATGCAACGTTTGGCTAATGCCCATAGGCAACAGCAGCCCGGTGATATAAGCTTGGACCAGGCCTATGATAATGCCAAGTCCCAGTGGCAACTGTTGTCCAACAAACTGGGCGACATGCGACAGACCCTTCAGCAGATCCCGGCCCAATGGCAGGGATATCATCTGAAATTCAACGACATGGTGGATTGGATGAACGGAGTGGATCAGAGCTTGAAGAATATCGTAAATGAAGTGAATACCATGGAGGAATTCGAGAAGGAGAAGGTTGTCTTCCAGGTGAGATTCAAAGAATGTTTTCCTTTAAGCTTTCCATTTCAATCATCTTACAAATAATCTTCTCATTACCCCATCACGCATGCCTTAAGCTGAGGGAGCTAGTGGTAACTAATCTGCTTTTATTTATAACTATTTTTAATATTATTAAACTATAACCTTAACTAATTAAACATTCTTTAATTGCAACAGAAAATCTGCCAAGATGCTGACAATAAACGCGAGGATATGAAATGGCTGGTAAAGACCTTGGATTCCCTGCTTAGCTACGCCACCGAAGACGAAGCTAATCTTGAGCAGAAGAAGCTGGAGGATCTGATTGCTCGCTACAAGAACCTTATCCCGACGATTGAGATCACCATGGTCAAAACAGAAGTCTTCTCAAAGTGTTACACTTACCGACGTGAAGTTCACGAGGTCGTTTGCCTGTTGAACAAGGTCAAGGATGAGACAGCCAATATACCAGCTCCCGACAGTCTGGAGCGTGTGAATCACCTCATTGAAGACCAGCAGTATGCCGTCAATCAGCTGGATCACCAGCGTCCGCACATCATGTCTATGCTACAAAGAGGACGTGATCTTATCAAGGATGTGCACGCCCCGGCCTTTGTTAACAGTGAGGTCAAGAATCTGGAAACTGGATGGAATGAGGCGTACACTAAGACCACTGACAAGCTGCAGGCCCTGAAGGGCACCCAGGCTGTATGGAGCGAATTCGTTGACCAAAAGAACGACATCTTCTCCATGTTGCAAACTGCGGAAACGGAGCTTCGTTCCTTGACTCCATTGCAAACCGACCCGAAGAACGTTAGCCAGGATCTGAAGTCGAAGAGAGATCTTAATGTGCAACTGCAACAGGCTTCCCATCAACTTTTGCCTAAGTTGCATGCTCTCAAATCAGAATTGGCTCCTCTGGCTGCTCCCGACAAGCGTCCTATTCTGGAGAAAGAGGTGACCGAGGTGGAGAAGATGTTCTTTAACACCATGGAGCATGTCAAGGATCGCGTCGGCTATCTGGAAGACTACAGTGCCAAATGGAACAACTATAAGACTCGTCTGGCTGAACTTCAGGAGTGGGCCAACAAGGTTGCTCCCAAGAACATCGAAGCCCTTCAGTCCGAGGATCTGACACCGGAGGAGCGTGTAGTCAAGGTTCAGGCCTTCAAGCGTATCCTTGGGGATCGCATGAAGCAACTGGATCTCTTGGCCGCCGATGCCTCCGAGCTGGCCCCCAAGGAGGGCAACATTGCCGAGGCCAAGCGACTTAAGGGAGAGATCACCAAGCTGCAGGAGGTTCTCAGTGCCATCAATCGCAACGTGGACCATCAGGCACAGGCTGTGCAGGAGGATCTTATCAACTGGCAGCAGTTCCAGGCCGGTCTGCAACAAATTAAGCCAGCCGTGGAGCAAAGCGAAGTCAAGGTAAATAATGTAGTTTCTAAGCCCATCTCCCTCGAAGAAGCCGTTGCCATGCAACAGAATGCCCAACAATTCGAGACACAGTGCCAGGAGCAATTGGACAAGCTCCATGGCATATCAAACATCAGTCATAAAATGTTATGTAAGACCAATGCACCCGACGAGTTGGACGCCATGCATTCCCGTTGGACGGCTGTCCACGAGAATGCCAAGCAGGCGAGTGCCAAGCTCGAGAAGTTGGTGGCTAATTGGAAGTCATTCGACGCCGATGCCGCCAAGCTCGAGGATTGGGTTGGACAGGGTGAGCAGCTAATGTCCCATCGTCCAGCAGTTCTCAATACCCCACACATTGACAAGCTCGAAAAGGAGCTGGTCAAGCTGAAGTCCTTCAACAACGAGATCTCACAGCAGCAGGCAAAGCTCGTTACTCTGGGACAGAATGCAGATCAGATTAGCTTGCACTTGGCTCCTGAAGGAGCAGCGGCTTTGAAGGATCGTGTTAACCAAATGAAGGGAAAACTGCAGAAGCTCTCGGAAGCCACTCGCGGTCACATCAACGAAGTTTCCGATGCCATCATTTCGCGGCAGGACTTCAATGCCAAATTGGTTAACTTTTCGAACTGGATGGAGCAGCTGCGTAACCAGGTCACGCAAGTGGAAGAGATTAACCCAGAACGTGTGGAAACTAGTCTTCATGTCATTCACGCCTTACTGCAAGAGCATGCTGATAAGAAGCCCAGCTTTAATGCCATCTACGATGAGGTTAAGCAATTGGCTTTGGGAGCCACTCCCGAGGAGTCAAATGCTCTGAATGATGCCTACACCGCTTTGGTGGTGAACTATCAAAACCTGGAGACCAACATGCTGCAGAAGAAGGCAGCTTTGGAGAAGTGGACCGAACTGCTGGGCTGGAAGAATGACACCGAATCGCATTTGAATTACCTGAAACATCAGCTAGATAAACCAGAAGGACCCGCTGCCGAGGAACTGTCCAAGGTGATCGATGATATCGACAACTTAGGTCAGGGTATTGGTTACTGGAAGGGTCAGGCCAAGGAGATCGATGAAAATCCAGCCATCCAGCTGAGAGATGCCTTGTCTCGTCGTCCACTGATCGCCACCCAAATTGTGAATGATGTTGAGAACAAATTGGAGAATCTGAAGCTGCGCTCGCAGAGCCAACAGCAGCAGATTCAGCAGATGACCGTGCGCAAGGACAACTTCCATGCTCTGGAACATAACTTTGGACAGGCTCTGCAAGAGAATCGTGCCAAGCTGGATGAGATTCTCAGACAGCATCCAACTTTGAACAACATCGATCAGATCATTGCTGATTTGGTGGCTCTGAATGATGCCTTGAAATATCAGGCCGATCTGAAGGATCGCATCCATGACGAAGGTTCTTTGCTGATGCGTGAGGATATTGCTAGCATGCCTGCCATCCAGGAGAGCCTTCTGATTATGGATAAGAACTATGATTCCCTGCAGAACGAGATTGCCGAGCGCATTCAGAAGTACAATCTGATCAGTCAAGCTTTGAGGGAGTATGCCGACTCCAAGGATAAGTTCTCCAAGGAGCTTAAGAAGGCAGAAGATCTGTTCAATGCCATACCACAGCAGCCACGTGATGAGACTGAACTCCATCTGGCTTCTGACAAAACAAGAAAGACCTTGGAGCAGTTGCGCAAATCCAAGCTAAGTTTGGATGAGCTAGAGCGTAGGGGCAGCAATGTGGGCAAACTTTTCAGTGCCATTGGAGAACCAATTCCTGAGGAAGTGCCACAGGAGGTGACTGCTGCCAAGCAACACTGGCAGGATCTCCATGATAAGACAGCCAAAAACGCTCATGTCTACGAAACGGAAGCTGTGATTTGGTCTCAGATCGAGGATGCCAAGAAAGATCTGTTGCCTTGGTTATCAGAAACCAATCAAGGACTCTGCGATGCTGCCGATAACTCTATTGAAATTGAGTTTGGCCCCATGCGCTTAAGCAAATATCGTACAGAGTTGCCTTCCTATCAGGCCCTAAAGGATTCCATTGTAGAAAAAACCAATGAGTTGGTTAAGATCAACAAGGGTGCCGAGATTCCAGCTCTGTCTGCTTTGAATAAACTCTTGACTGAACAGTTTGCTGAAGTGAGCAACAATGCTGACCGTCTTAGTGCTGTTACCACTTCGTTTAATGATCAAGAACAAGAGTTACGCAAGCGTTCGAAGGAAGCTGGCGAGCGGGTGAGCAAGCTCCGTGAGCAGCTGATCAAGTGCGATGACATGTCTGGTGATAATAACAAGATCATGGAACGTCTCCTGCAATGCCGTGCCTTGCGTGGTGAACTCGATAATAGCGGCAACGAAATTGACAATATCAAGCAAAAGGTCGATGAGTTGCGTAATCTCTATCCCACTTTCAGTGAGTCCATTATACCCAAGGAGCTCAACAATGTGGCTAAACGCTATGAAAACGTTGATCTTTACGCTAAGAAGATTGAGAGTTCTCTTCTACAGTTCCTGAAGAAATTCCACGCCGACAAGGTGGGCATGCTGAAGCGCATCGTTGCCACCCAACGTGAAAAGGTGGCCTGGTGTCAGCCAGAGTCATCCAGTGACAAATACAACCTGGATGTGAAGAAGTCCTCGCTGCAGGAGGTGAGCAAGAGCATTGATGATTGCAAGGCGCGACATGCTGAGACTCTGAAGTCACTGGAGATGCTAAAGGCTGTGGAATCGCCACAAAATCTGGCAGAACTCACCAACGACGCTGAACTGCTGCGCAAGGACATGCAGGCCCTGCAGGATAGCTTTGACAAAATCAAGGGAATCCTCGATGAGAACGTAGACTTGTGGTCGCAGTATGAACAATCGAACGAGCAGATATCCAACTGGTTGCGAGACGTTGAAGGACGCGTTAAGGCGGAGACTAGCAGCCAAGTTAATCTACCCGAAGTACCACAGAAGCTTCAGGAGCTGTCCATTCTCCAACAGGATGTGCTGGCTCATGAGCCCATAATCAACAACCTTGAACAGACATCCCAGCAGCTAATTGAAAAGAATCCAGAGGCAAGAATTGGACAGTTTGTAACCCATTTGGTGCAGCGTTACCAGGCCGTGGCTAAGGCACTAACTGGCTATATAGATAAGATTCGTAGTGCCCAGTTGTCGAATGCCAACTTTGCCAAAGGCAGCCAAGGACTTCAATGAATGGTTCGGAGATGCCAAGATCGAGTTCCAGGAATTGGCCCGCATGGGATCACCTGGATCTTCATCAGCCACAGCTCAGCAACTGCAGACCGTTAAGAATTACATCAAGACCTTCGATAATGGCCAGGTTCTACTGAACAACGCCGTGGACATTGGTGAGGCTCTCTATCCGGTGGTTTCCCCTGAGAATCGCGAACGTATCCGTTCTGATCTTCGCCAAATGCGTGAGAAGTTCGACTATCTGCGGGATGAAGCGAATGCTTTCATGCAACAGGTTGAGGGTGTTTTAATTCAGAAGACTTCCATCGAAGAAAGCTATACTCAGGTTTCGCACTACCTTAACGAGTCCAAGGCTAAGGTTCCTACCGGTGACGAACTGTACCCAACTTTGGCCACCAAAAAGGCTGGTCTTCAGAACTACAAGACCCAGCTGCAGGAGATCACTCTCCACAAGAATGCCCTGAAAGCAGTTGCACGACAAGGCTGTTACCCTTTGCGATGATGAATCGGAGAGGAAGACCGATGAGTCTATCCAAGAGTATAATACACTCTCCAAGAAGATTTCCGATAGGATTACAACCGTGGGTAACCATGTGGTTAAGCACGAGGCCTACGATCAGGTTCTGGAGAAGGCACAAGACTGGCTTAATACCATTAAATCTGAAGCCATTGACATTCTTAACGAGACCACATTTGAGAAGGAGGGCGCAGAGGAGAAATTGCTTGTGGTAGAAAATCTTCTGCAACATAAGTCCGAAGGTGATTCCATTTTCGATACCTGTCATAAGCTATTGGAAACAGTGCTCACTCAAACCCATCCTAGCGGCCATCCAGCCCTGCTCAAGGGTTTCGAGGAACCGAAACAGTCTTGGGAGGACTTCATGACTCTGTGTCAGGACTCGTTGGTGAAACTGAAGCAACTCTGCTCGAAATGGGATGAGTTTGACACAATCATTGAAGAGCTGGACAACTGGATGAAGAACGTCGAGGCGGTTGTTAAGAACCAGAACCTTAAGAGTACCTGCAGAGGCCAAGAACGCCCATTTGAAGCAGCTCCAGGACATTGCCAAGGATATTGAACGCCGTGGTGTGGCCATCAATGAGCTAATGGATCAAGGGCGTGAGATCGAAGGTGAAACTGATTTGAATCTTAAGTTGTCTCGCTTGAATACTCGCTATCAGACTCTGAAAAATCTGTGCAAGGAATCGATAGCCAAATATGTGAACTATGTTAAGGATCACGAAAGCTTCGATAACGATTTCGATGCCTTTAAGCAGAGTCTCCAGTCTTCTGTGGAAGAGTTAGCTAAGGCCAATGAAATTGTGGGCGATCAAAGCTTGCTGCAGGATAAGCAGAATAAGCTGCGTGAGATGTCTGATAAGCGCATTTCCGATTCCACTCTTTTCGAGGGACTCATCGATCGCGGAGAGAAACTCTATGGTCACACCAGTCCGGAAGGTCGTGAAATCATCCGTCAGCAACTGCGTTCTCTGCGCACTCTGTGGGACAACTACACTGATGACCTGAACTCTGCCACGCAGAATATTGATCAATCTCTGCTGCTATTCAATGAATTCAGTATTGCGCAGGATCAGCTTACCAAGTGGCTGAAGGATGTGGACAAGGCTATGCAGAGCCACACCGAGCAGAAGACAACGCTGCAAGAGAAACGTGCTCAACTCCAGAACCACAAGCTGCTCCATCAGGAAATCACCACCCACAATGTTGTTGTCGATAATGTCTGCGATAAGGCACAAATACTGGTCGATCAGATCAAGGATAACTCGTTGAATGTGTACCTCGCCTCGATTAAGCAACTTTTCCAGAGCATCGTCCAGAAGTCCGATGTCATCCTGCATAACTTGGAGGATTGCGTCCAGAAGCATAATGAACTGAACAATGCATTGTCCTCAGCCAAGACTTGGATATCCAATGAGAAAGCCAAGCTCCTGGAGTGCGACGATGCTTATGGCGAGAAGGCCGACATCAAGCGAAAGATCGAAACTTTGGGTCAGTTGGCTCAGAACAAGCCACAGGCCTTGAAGTTGATTGGTGATATTCGTGATCTGTTTGAGAAGGTGAAGCCATCGACCTCCGACAAGGGCAAGGAAGTCCTGGAGAAGGAGATTGAGGAGCTGGAGACCACCATGAAGAGTCATTTTGATGACATCGAGGGCATTGAAGGCAAACAGAAGGATGTGCTAGCCCAGTGGGATAAATTTGAAAAGGCTTTGGAAGAACTTACCAAGTGGTGTCGCAATGCTGAGGCTGTTTTCCGAGAGCAGCAGCTTAAGTCTACCCTCCACGAGAAGGTGGAGCAGCTGGAGAAGTACAAGATCCAAAGGGAACTCATTCTGCAAAAGGAGAAGGAGATCGATGCCTTTGGAGATGCTGCCCATGCCTTGCTTAACAACTGTGGAGCCGACCGTCTGAAGACGCTTACCACTCAGATTACCAACCGGTATCAGCTACTCCAGGTCCTTAGCAAGGAAGTGGTCAACCGCTGGTCCAATCTCGTTGACGATCACCAATTCTACCAAGATAAGTACAACGAGGTGGATTTGTGGCTGCAGCAGATTGAGGCCCAGATGGAAAAGGTCCTTTTAGATGAACCCGCTCAGAGCTCTAACATTCTTCAAGTGCTGCTGTCGGAGAAGGAACAAGCAGAGAGCTTGTTTGCTGGCTTAAATGCAGCTGGAGAAAAGGCTCTGCCAGAGACATCGACTCAGGGTAGGGAGAAGATTCGCAAGGACTTGCGTGATATTCGCGATCGTTGGGATAAGCTGGACGAGGGCATTCGCAATCTGGAAAAACGCCAGGAGGCCCAGGGTGTTCAGCTGTCTAGCTACCAGGACATTCTAAATCAAACAGTCAACTGGCTGGATCAAGTGGAGAAACTTCTTCACAATGAAAACCCAGCTAGCTGGACTAGTGCCCAGGAAATCCGTTCTAAGCTGTACAAGTACAAGGCCACCAACCAGGACATTAACTCCCATAAACGCATCGTCGAGGCAGTGAATGAAAAGGCCGCTGCTCTTCTGGGAAGCGCTGCTCCTGCCAATGCTGATGAAATCTCCAAGGCTATTGCTGAGGTGAACAAGCGTTATGAGCAAGTGGGTCAAGATTGCGCCAAGTTAGTTGCGGATCTTGATGGAGCCTTCGATGTGTACCAGCAGTTCAGCGAGCTGCAGAAGGCCCAACAGGACTACCAGAAGAATCTCTGGGATCGCCTTACCGGTTACTCTGACTACTCTGGAAATAAAGCAGCTCTGCAAGCACGACTCCAAAAGATTAACGAGATTCAGGATGCTTTGCCCGAGGGAGTGGCCAAACTAAAGTCCCTGGAGGATCACATTGAAAAAGAGGGTAGTAATATTCCCGCCCGTTCCAAGGAGGCAATGGCCCGTGATCTTGCCAACTTGAATGTGGACTTTGAGAAGTTTGGTGTATCTTTGAGTGACGTCAAGAGTGGCCTGGAGAATCGTATTCAGCAATGGAATGACTATGAAGTCAACTTGGATCGTCTTATCAACTGGTTGGGTGAAGCCGAGAATGCTCTGAAGAACTACAATCTGAAATCGTCGTTCGAGGAGAAGGAAGAGCAACTGAATCGCTTCCAGTCCTTGGCCCAGAACTTACGTCAAAACGAAGCTGACTTTGACAAGATGAAGGATGATACCTCAGAGCTGGTGCAAAGTTCTGGTGAGACCAGGATTGCTGTAAATGTTCAGCAGGTCTCTTCCAGATTCCAATCGATTCAGGCAACCGCTAAGGAGATTCTTGAAGAAATGCGAACAGGCTGTCCAGGATCATGGTCACTTCAATGACAAGTACAAGCAGTGTGCCGACTGGTTGGCTAATGCCCAGGCTCGTTACGATGATTGCTGTGATTTGTCGACAGTGGCATCTCGTGATGATCTTCTGAAGAAGCAAATGGTTATCCAGGAGCTTTTAGCTCAGCAGCCAACAGCAACTCAGCTTCTTAATAGCACCGTTGAGCTGGGCGAGAAGTGCTATGGATCCACGGCAACCGAAGGACGCGAAGCTATTCGCAGTCAGCTGGATGATCTGACATTCGATCAGTTGTTTGATAACATTGCTATTACAGCAAGGAAGATCCAGGATAAGATTGCCAAATGGTCTGGCTTTGATGAGATTGCTGATAGTCTGAAGAGTTGGTTGGATCAAACGGAGAATGCCCTTCCAGCTGATATTGAGTTAAAGACAACGCTGGATGAGAAGCGCACTAAGCTGCAGACCTATCGTGACATTCTGAACGATATCAACAACCACCAGGTGGAGCTGGGTAATCTTCAGGAAATTGCAGCCAATCTGCCCGAGAAGACAGATGCTGTGGACCAAATCCTTAAGGAGATTTCTGATCGGTTTGGCAAACTTCAAAAACGTGCCCAGAGCTACGTGGAGCGGTATGAGAGCATTGTGAGTGCCCATCAACAGTACTCCAAGGCTGTGATGGATGCCCAAGAGTTTATCGATGCCACCCTGAATACGGTTCACTATTGGGGCGATCTGGATCTGGAACAGATCTCACTGCACACGAATCTCGATCGCCTGAAGAATCTTAAGGCCAGTTTGGCAGATGAATTCCCTCGAGTTGATCAAGTGAGGGCTTTGGGCGAGAAGGTGATTCCGGGTACAGTGGATGTGGGTCAGGTAAACATCAAGTCCCAGATTGACAGCACCCAGCAGGAATGGGAATCTCTACTGACCACCATCAGCTCAACCATCGAGGCTATTGAAGCGCGTCTACAACATTGGTCCGAGTACGAACAGTTACGTGACCAATGTCTGGCTTGGATTCGTGATACGGATAACAACCTTCACGCCATTGACCTTAAGGAGGATTTGCCCAAAAAGCGTGCTCAGTTAGATTCGCTAAAGGCTCTTCAAGGAGATGTACGCGCCAAGGAATTGGAGGTAGATAATGTTACGGAGAAGGCTCAAACCCTGCTGAAGGGTCCCACCAGCACACGAGCATCGGGTCCCGAATTGGTGACCAAGTACCAGCAGATCTTCCACAAGGTCAAGGAGCTCAACAACCGTTGGCAGCAGTATGTGACTTCTCATGAAGATTTCGACAATGCCATCTCTGATTGCTCCTCGTGGATCAATGACATCAAGGAGAAGTTAGACTACTGCTCCGATATGTCATCTATGAGTCCCAAAGAACTGGATAAGAAACTGGCCACCATTCAAGATGTTATCTTGTTAAAGGACGAAGGCTCAGCTCGAGTCTTAAAAATTCTTGAGCAGGCTCAGCACGTGCTGGCTAACACCGCTCCCTGGAGGTCATGAGGCAATCAATAAAGAACTCACAGATCTCCAGGACCTCTGGTCAGGCATTGCTCTACGCATCATGGATGTCAAATCTAATTTGGATGACTCCATCACCCAATGGTCTGGTTTCCTGGATCAAGTGCAAAATGTACGCAAGTTCAATGAGTGGCTGGATGGTCTGGTCAAGAACTTAGTGAGCATCAAACTACCATGACAGAGAAGCGAGCTCAGTTAGATCGGGTTAAGTCCACGGAGGAAAAGGTTCGCGTGGAGAAGATCGATGTGGATGCACTCAAGATTCAAGCCAAGGAGATGATTGCCAGCGGTCAACAAAGTCAGGCTGCCTTCCAAGCTCAGAAAGTTTTGGATACTTTCGATGAGCTCTTCGCTAAGACCCAGAAACTGCTGTCAGATCGCCAGGATCAGTACAGGGATCATCGATTGTTCAAGGAGTCCTACGATGACTTGGTAGGCTGGATTGGACGTGCCCGCGAGAAGTTCCCTTCGCTGAAGCAAAGCAGCCTGAGCGATAAATTAGCCATAGAAAATGCTGTGCAGGCCACCGAAGCTCTGCTTAACAAGCAGGCTCAGGGTGAACTTCTGGTCGAGCATCTGGTTCACACTGGTGAAGTGGTGCTGGCCAGTACCTCTCCTCAAGGTCAGGAGATCATCAGGAACGATATCCGTGCCCTGCGCGATAGCTTTGAGGGATTGTTCCGCGAGATCAACCAACAGAAGGAGAACCTGGAAGTCACCATGGTGCAGTGGCGTGCTTATAAGGAGGAGTATGAACGGCTAATGGAATGGTTGCAACAGATCGATATCCTTGTGAAGAATCACAAACTTAACCTGTGCCCCAGTCTGCCTGAAAAGGAGAAGCAGGTGGCTGACATGAAGGATGTTATGTCCCGCCTAGAGAAAGGCAAGGATGATATTGACAAGTTCAATGCATCGGCTGCCAGTCTGCTGAAGTCCCATCTGGATACTTATGTCAATAATCAGCTCAGGCACTTGAGTTCCGTCTACCAAGTTCAGGTTAACCTGGCCAAGGATGTTCTTAAGAAAGTTGAAACTAACCGCGATCAGCATCGTGAGTATGATGCCAATATAAAATCTGCCAAGGATTGGATAGCCAATGCCAAGGCCACGATTCAATCGGCAGGGGAAGGAGCTGGCTCTAAGGAGGCCCTGCAACGTCGTTTGGAGCAAATACAGGACCTGATCCGTAACCGTGAGGTTGGCCAAAATCTGGTACACACCGCCATCAACAATGGCGAAAAGATAATCAGGAATACTCGCTCTGATGGACGTGATGCTATTAACACCGAGATGAAGGAACTCCAGACTGAATGGGATCGTTTGGTTAAGAAAATGTCCACTGCTAAGGTGCAACTGGAGACGAATCTCTTGCAATGGGCTGACTACAGTTCCAGCTACTCGCAGTTACAGCAATGGATTACCGATAGGGAGGCCAAGTTGCAGCAGGCATGTGAACAGAAGATTGTCAAGTCGAAGCGTGGTCAACCTGGTCTCAGCAGTGGTTTGAGCGAGCGCAAGGCCAATCTTCGCCAGACAAACAACATTGTCCAGGATATTGTGTCCTTTGAACCAATGATTCAGTCGGTTACCTCTAAGGCATCAGTTCTCCAGCAAGGTGCTCCGGGCACTGAGATTTCGGATAAGTACGAGAATCTCACCAAACAAGCCAAGGATCTGTATGAAAAGCAGAAGAACACCATCGAAAGCTATCAGTCTTTGATTGATGCTGGTAATGAGTTTGCTACCTGGCTGAGGAATGCCAAGGAACGACTGAGCAGGTGCTCTGAACCCACCGGAGATAAGCAAGCTTTGGCCGAGAAGACCCACCAGCTGAAGATTCTGCAGGGTGAGCTGCCAGAAGGTGCCCAGAAACTGAAGAATGCTCTGGAGCAGGGTGAGATAGCTTGCCGCAGTGCCGAGCCCGAGGATTGTGAAATCATCGAGCAGGAAGTGGCCCTTCTGCAAGAGGAGTTCGATGCCTACAGGGAAGCCCTTAACAAGGCCAAGGATTATCTGGAAGTGGGCATTGTTAAATGGTCCGACTACCAGGATCAGTACACCGAGGCTTTGGAGTGGTTAAGCAAGACCGAAGCTTTGGTGCAATCCTACAACAAGTTGCAGGACAGTTTAATCCAGAAGAAGGTGGTCCTGGAGCAGTTCCAGGGACACTTGCAGACTCTGTTCGACTGGCAGAAGACTCTAGATGATCTGAACATGAAGGCCCAGGTTCTCCTGGAAACTTGCTCCGATACAAGGATCAGCAATGCCATCATGCAGTTGACAACCAAATACAATGCTCTGCTGACCCTGGCCAAGGAGGTGATGCGTCGTCTCGAAATGCACTACCAGGAGCATCAGCAACATCACAGCCTGTATGAGGAGTGTCAGTCTTGGATTGAGAAGACTCGTGAGAAACTTTCGGAGTGTGAACAAATTCCCGGAACTCTTAACGAAGTTCAAATTAAGTTGAACACCGTGAAGAACCTACGTCAAGGGTTCGAAACTGGACAAAACAAGTTGCGTTACCTTTTGGAACTGAAGGAGAAGGTGATCATGAACACCGAACAAAATGGAGCAGCTAAGATCCAGGAAGATACCGAATCCCTCAAGCAGGACTTCGACAAACTCTTGGTGGATCTGAATGATGTTCGTCAGAAATTGGCCAATCGCCTGGCCCAGCTGGAAGAGATATTCAAACTGTACAAGATCTTGGTCGAATGGCTGGAAGATGTGGAGCCCAGTGTCAAGGCCAGTGATGAGTTCTTGAATGATTTAAGTGAGAAACGGGCTGCGTTGGAGAAGTTCCGCGTCATTCAGCGTGACATCAATGGACACAATGATATTGTGGAAAAGATCAACCAGCGTCTTAAGGAGGATAACAGCTTGGATCTGAACGACTTCCAGCCGGGTCTGGGCAAATTTGATGAGCTGCAGTCGCAGGTCAATAAGATCATTGAGTCACTGGAGAACCAGGTGAACAGCCATGAGAAATACAAGCAGGCCTACAATGAGCTGCAGGATTGGCTGCGACGCACTCGCATCGAAGTGGAGCAGTGTGCGGATTGCCATGGCGAGAAGGATCAAGTGGAGAGTCGTCTGAATCGATTGGGAGATATACAATCCTCCTCTCTTGAGGGTAAATCGCTTCTTGAGGCCTGTGAAGAGCTAAGCCAGGCGGTGATTGCCACCAGCGGAAGCGAGGGTCAGGACAATGTGGCCCAGGAGATCAAGCATCTCACCTCGGAATGGGAAACTCTTCAATCCCTATCCCGCGATGCTCGCAGCGGCTTGGAAACCTGCTTGGCTGCTTGGCAGACCTTCTTGCAGAAGTTCAATAAGATCAATCTTTGGATCGAGACGATGAGCAAGCGCGTTACCAAATCCCAGGAAGGCGAGAACAAGACCCCCGAAGATTTGGTTAATGCCAAGGTAAGAACTCTTCGTCAAGTCGAGATCTCGCAACTGTCGCACGCACCTCTAACCAAAAAAAAAATACTAAAAAAAATATATTATCAAATATCTATATATATAGCCAAAGCGCGCACGTAAAGTAGAACTCACCGACAACAAAATTGATATCTAAATACCTCGTAACGTGAGAGATTAAATCATTTACTAAACCCTCACTAATCACTATTGCTAACTTTTCAGCTAATCACTTTGTATACTCAATTGCAGCTAATCATTTACACAGACTCTTGTCTAATGCCTAATTGCTTTATGTGCTTACACTAACTGGTCTTAGATCATCCAACTAAAGTGTTTTTCTTCCCTTAGAAACTGCTTGAGGAAGTGCTGGCCGAGAAGGATAATGTGGAGGATCTGAACGATAACTGTGAGCTGCTAATGGAGCAGAGTGCCTGTACTCGCATTCGGGATCAGACTATCGAAACTCAAGCCAACTATACCAAGCTCTTGACCTCTGCTCAGGGATTGGTGGCCAAGATCGAGAAGAATCTATCAGATCACACTGAATTCCTGAACTACAAGAAGGAAATGGACGCTTGGATAGAAAAGGCTCAACAGGTGCTTGATGACTGTTCCACAGATGGTGATGCCGCCATCATTGCCCAGAAATTGGACACCGTCAATGTGAGTTGTTAAAATTAGTGATAATATTTTTTAATTTTTATAATTTTTTATAATTTGTAAACTTATTCTTAAAATGTTTACATAATTTTTGCTTATTTCGCAGTCTTTGGCTTCGCGTTTGCCCGAGGGTCAGCATCTGTTGGCTTTGGTGCAGGATGCCTATTCCAAGGCCTCCAACATCACTCCGGAAGATAAGCAAGAGAAGCTGCGTGAGTTGATGACCAAGGTCCGTGAGGACTGGGATGCCCTGGGTCTGGCAGTCAAGCAGAAGTTGACCGACCTTAAGCAGGCCCAAAACCGTTGGAACGATTTTGCTGCCAACAAGGATAAGCTTGAGAAATGGCTGACTGAGACAGAGAAGACCCTTAAGGTGGCACCGGAAACCAAGGGTGAACTGAGCGAGATGAAGACACTCCTGGAGCGCTACAAGACCCTGTCAAATGAACTGAAACAGAAGGGTAACGACCTGGAGCAGCTGCAGTCCGAGGCTCGTGAATTGGGCACCGAAGTGGATGCAGTGAATCGTTTGCAATCCCGCTGTGATAAGCTCAAAAACGATTGCTTAGCTCATATTGCGGCTTTGGAACAGGAGATTTTCGATTATAACGCCTACCACCAAAGTCTGCAGGATGTGGAGAAGTGGCTGCTGCAGATTTCCTTCCAGCTGATGGCCCACAATTCCCTTTTCATCTCGAATCGCGAACAAACCCAGGAACAGATCAAACAGCACGAGTCCTTGTTGGGTGAAATTCAAAAGTATCAGACTAACTTGGATGACTTGAATGCTAAGGGTCAGGCCCAGATTAAGCGCTACGAGACCTCAACTCCTGCCATTCGTCCTACTGTCGAGTCCCAGCTAAAGAATATCCAGGATAGCTATAACTCTCTTCTGCAAACTTCAGTCCAAATTAAGAACCGTCTGCTGGAATCGCTGGCTAAGTTCCAGGAATACGAAGACACTTTGGATAGCATAATGCGTAATCTGGAGACATATGAGCCGATAATTCAAACCGAACTGGATGCTCCAGCCACTAGTCTGGAGTTGGCTCAAAACCAATTGAGATGTGCCCAGGAAATGCAGAATAAATTGAACAATGAAAAGTCCCGATTGGCAGCTGCTGTGCAGGCTTGTGAGGCAGCCACTGCCTCCATTAGTCGTCCCAGCTCTCCGCTGGAAACCGCCATGCAGGCTATTCCCGAAAGGGAACTCATTGTGCGCGCCAAGCTGGAAGATCTGCTGGATCAGGTATGATATCGATGAATATATCTTTTGCGATGCATTTGTAGTTTTGTTATCAAAAATTCACAAATTCTTTATAATTTTTGAAAATTAATGGATGGACTCTATGACAGTAGTTTGATTGCTATACAAATTTTCTTACTTTGACTTTTAAGCATAAACGTATTATTCCAAATGATAGATTTATTCTGTTAATTGCATTCTTTTATTATTCTTTTAACTTTTTAACCAACGTCTTGTTCTTTTTAAAAATCTCTTAACCCAACACTGCCCTAACTTTTGTTGATTTGCCACACAACCCCGTAACTGTTGTATAATGCACTACCCACCCATAAAAAAAAATCGCTATGCCTTGCGCTTTGCTGCTATAAAGAAACCGCCGCCAAAGACTCGGAGCTCAACCGAAGGTGTCAACAAAGATGATGATGAAGACGAGGATGATGTTGAGATTCGGGTTGAGCTCAGCGATGTGAATGAGGCGCTTATGGATCCGATTGCCCATGAGCGTGTTAGCAACTATCGTAGGATAGTCCGCTTGAATAGCGCTCATGTGGGCAAGCTGAATGAATTAGTTGCTAAGGTAAGAGTAAGAATAATTCCAAGGATCCAAAAGGTGGCGGACTGCATGGCTATGCTTGTTTTTTTCTTTTTGTAAATGAATTAATAATATAAATGATATGCTAATTATTTGCTTTTCTTCCTTTACTTTAGGTGCAATCCCACTTGGGTGGTTTGACTGCATCCGTTAGTGAGCTAGAGCAACAGCAGAAGCAGCGCGCCGAGCTGCAGGATTGGGTTAAGAAGCAACAGAGCTCCGTCTCAGATTGGATGATGCGTCCTAGCAAACTTCGCCCTGAGGCTGCCCAACAGGAGCTGGCTTCCATGAATGATTTGCTGAACTCCATCGGTGACAAGCGATCGCAGTTGATGTTGGAAATGACAGGATCATGTAAGTGTTAGCTTTAGGATATTGCTTTAAACTTAGGTGACCCCAGAAATCTTGATCCTTGGTCTCTTATTGCCCTTATGAATTTATAACTTAACATATTTACCCAAATATTAGTGGCCGATGAGGACACCGATCTGGATGACAACATTGACAAGTTGGAGTCGGAACTTATGGATGCCATTGCCAAGAAGCAAGCTGGCCAGAATGTAATCGATGGCTATCGCCAGGGTATGGCAGATGTCCAGAACTGGTTTGATACCCTGATCAAACGCATGGACGTTCTGGATCGTGGTTCTGGTCTGAACTGTGCCCAGAAAACGGCGGCCATTAATGAGATCAAGAGCGAATATGAGCTGCAAGGACATCCGAAGATTCAGGAACTGAAGGGCAAGGCCGCCCAGGTGGCGGAGGTTATAAGCAACCTGGATGGTCAACAAGTTGAGGAGCAAATGAAGTCTCTGGATCGTCGTTTTGCCGATCTTGGCAAGCGCATCGATCGTAAGGCTCAGTTGCTGGATGTAACCAACAAGGGCGTAGAGGGAGCCAAGGGCGAGATTGACCAGCTCCAGAACTGGGTCAAGCAGCAGATTGAGGAGCTGCAGGCACCCACTCCTTTGGGCTTCACACCCAAGGATGCCGAGGCGCGTCAGCAGAAGATCAAGAGCCTGATGAAGGATGCCGAGGCTAAGCAATCGCTGGCCGATGTTCTGGAGAAGCGCGTCGCTAATATGCAGCAGGAGTTGGAACCCGTAGAGTATTCCCAACTGGAATCCGCTTTGCGTAATCTCAACTCTGAGAATCGCAATTTATCTGGAGTCCTTAAGGCAGAATTGGACCGTGCTCTGGAGGCCAGCAAGGCTCGTAAATCCCTGGAGAACGATCTGGACAAGGCTCGTCAATGGCTGAAGACCAAAATCTCCGAAGTGCGTAAGTTGCCGGTGTATCACCCACTAACCTCCACTGAGATCGAGAAGAAGATCCAGGAAAACAGGAAATACGATGACGATGCCAAGCAGTTCAATGACAGCGTTTTGACTGATGTTCAGCGTCAAGCTGCCAACATCATGAAAGACTGTGATGATGCCGATAAGGCTGCACTCCAGCAGATCCTGGATGAAATCGCTGCCGATTATCAAACTTTGAAGGATGAGAGCAGTAAGAGAGGAAAGTCGCTGGATGATCTCCTGCAAGGTCGCAAGGCTTTCGAGGATTCGATGAAGAACATGGGCGATTGGTTGAACGAAATGGAAACAGCCACTGAGGGTGATCTGCGTACCACCAGCCTTCCTGTACTGGAAGAGCAGTTGGCCCACTACAAGAAGCTCCTAACTGATGCCGAGAATAAGGGAGGTCTGATCAACGATGTTTCCGAGCAAGGAAAGAGCATCTTGCCCACATTGAGCAATGCCGATAAACTAAAACTCAATGACGATATCAAGAACATGAAGGATCGTTATGGCAGGATCAAGAATACCATTGATGATCGCGTGAATGCCTTGGGAGATCACATCAAGAAGTACAAGGATGCCAAGAGCAGGCTGGCCGATTGCAGTCAGTTCTTGGGTACCATTCAGCAGAAGCTCAGGGAACTCAATCGCCCGATTGGTTCCAGGATCGAAGATGTCCAGGATTTGTTGGGTGCCTATGAGGGAATCCTTAAGGAACTCAAGGACAGCAAGAGCAAAGATGGGCGATATGCAAATGGACGATTTGCCAGAGCTGCAGAGTATACTGGCGCAGCAGGATGATATGATTAAGCTGATTGAAGACCAGTTGGCCCATCTCCGTCAGCTTCTTCTGCTCCGCGAGCAGTTTATTGCCTTGATCAACGAGATTATTGGCTTTATAATGAAGTACACCGATGTTATCATTGATATTGAAAACTCACCAGACAGCTTGGAGGATAAGATCAACAAGTACGATGATGTCATTGTAAAGATCCAGGAGTGCGAAGGTGTCTTGGCCTCGGCCAACGATAAGGGTCAAAAGATCGCCTCCGAGGGCAATGCTGCAGACAAGAACAGCATTACCGAGCAACTGCAATCCCTGAAGAATCAACTCCAGAATCTCCGCAAGGCAGTGGAATCCCAGCGCCAGAAGCATCAACTGCAACTGGAGTCGCACAAGAAGATGGCTGCCGAGCTGAGTGAAATCCTTGACTGGTTGCACAGCCACGAGGGAGCGGCCAAGTCGCGTCCTCTACTGGACCGGGATCCCGAATCCGTGGAGCGTGAGCTGCAAAAGCACCAAGGACTCAGCCAGGACATTGAATCCTATCTTAATAAATTCAACAAAATCAATGATGGCGTCAAGACCGAAATTGGCATGCCAAGTTCCTTGTTGGAGATGCTTTCCGAGGGCCGTTCTCTGGTGGCTTCCTTGCCCCATGAACTTGAGGAGCGTGAAAAGTATTTGAAGAACAACCGCGACTCACGTTTGGAGTACATGCAGTTAGTGGGCAAGTTCAATGACTGGGTCCACGAAGCCGAACTGCGTCTGCAGAACAGCCAGCATGGCATTGACTATGAGCATTTGGTCCAGGATCTCGATGAACACAAGATCTTCTTTGGCAATGAGGCTCCCATCCGTAATCTGGTGCACAAGCAAATCCAAGAGGCTGCCGACAAGATTTGGTCTTCGCTGAACAACTATGAACAGTCAGAGCTTTCCGCAGAGTTAGCTCAGTTCCAAACGAAGTTGACCAATACTTTAGCCAATGCCAAGACCCAGCAGAGTGAATTGGAGAAGGAGGCCGAACGCTGGCGAGAGTATCAGCAGTCCATTGATCGTGTCAAGGCCACCATTGAACGTACCAAGTTCAGTGATGAGCCTGTTCAGAATCTGGCTGGACTTCACTTTAATATTCAGAAGCTGTCCCATGCTATAGGAAATGTTCAGGTGAGTTTTGTGGAATTTTTTTGGTATATTCTTTGGTATAAATTCCAGATTAAATAGCATACATGAAAGTTTAGGAATAATTTTGAAAACTTCTATAGAAATGGAAAATTTTCGAAATAATTGCTTATCAATCATAAATCTTTTATTCAAATTTTATTTTTAATTTCCTTTTAATATTATGATAATGTTTAAAAAGAATATGAGCAACATATGAGCTCCATAATTGCCACTTTTTAGGCACTTTTTAAAATAGCCATGAATATTCAGCTGTTCGCTTGCATGCTTTGCTCATATAAGTGTGTAGCCGAAAGACCTGTTTTCCAAAAAATGACACATTGCACAAGGATGTGCCACAAACATACATAAGCGAGTATAACCACTTGAGAGCAACTTTACGGTGTGGCACCAAAAAACAACAACAAGAAGCAAAGTGCATTCGTTTTGCGTGTTTTTGCATTTGGTATCATGATTTTGCCGGCCGGCAAAAGCAAAAAACACGCTCTCACACTCACTTTCAATTGCATTTGAGTGCGTTGCTCTTAGGACACTCTCCTCTCTTATTTACTGACTGGTAATCTCTCTTTTTTTTGACTAATTGTTGTTTATTGAACACGTTGAGTGGCCATTTGTTTACTTTCGTAAGCTTTTACCTTGAAAACTCATTAAACTTTTAACCTACTAGTTCACTATTTGTCGGTGTGTCGGCCTCAACGAGCTTATCGTTCAGTCGTCTGTTGACAGACTTCCAGTTCGATTATAATTTTATTCAAGGCACTAGCTCGATTTTTATGCTCAACTGGAAAAAACAGCTGTTGTTGTTGCTGGTGGTGCTGTTGGCTCTGCTGCCGCGAAACGAATTAAGCTCATGACATCATCAGCAGTAGCAACACTGTATCTGGCAACCAGTTTTGAGCCAGGGATGGGATAAATGTACCAACCGTAGGAATATGTTTAGGGATATTTTTTGAGTGAAATTTTTAGGATATTCGCTTTCTGTCATTATTATATTTAGGAAGCCTTGTTTGTCTTTACTAAGGTTCTAAAAATAACTTCTTTTAGTTACATTTTTATACAACTTAAGTTTAAGATATGTTGTTTTTTTGAAAATAAATATTTTTATATATTTTCAACTAAAATTCCAGTTTAAAACAAAACCTTACGGTAATTCCTGATTAAACAGAATAAATTAATTTTCCAAAAACTTCAAGGCCCAAAAAGTAGTTGTTGTTGCTTTAGCCCTGGTTTCTTAGTGATACATTGAGCCACAACAACAGGCACACTTTAAATATTAAGTGGACCTTTGTTGGTGTTTGTTGAGCGAGCTTTAAGAGCTTCGTCGGCCCTTTAAGGTTTCCTCTCTTCTTGCTCTTTTGCACACAGCTGTTTGGTTGTTGTACTGGCCGCTTGTTTGTTGTTTTTGGTTTATAGGGCATGCCGGCAACTGTTGTTGTTGCCATCCATTGAGAGAGAAAGAGAGGCAGAGAGTGAATGACGTGCACGCGGTGGCGTATGCGTGATATACATATAACGTATACGAAGCCTAACTTTTGCCGCCCACGCCCACCCAAAAAAAAAAGAAGAAGAAAACGATTCTCTGCATATATTATGCGAAACTGAAGCAAAAAACGTGTTTGCCCGGCTTTTTAGCTCTCTTTGGCCAAACTCTTTGGCGAAATTAAGAGAACGAGATTCTAACTCGTGCTTATTTGCTTTTGGGGTCTGTTGGATTTTTTTGAGTTCCAACGAATTCACTTCAAGTTGAGAAGTTTATCTGTGCGGTTGGCAGCGTGTTTTTGTTTTGTATACGCGATTCGCGCATTGCTACTTCTATATATATGTATATATATGTGTAGAAAGAGAGAAGAAAGAGGAGAATCGCTACATTTGTTAAATTTGAATTACCCGTTTCGTTATACAAAAAAAAAAAAGAATGCCATGTGCTTGAGGCAGGGGGCAAATTGAAACAGAACGGCAATAAAATACAACCAAATAGCCAACCAGATAGACATCAATATCTCAAAGCTAAAGGCTAACGTCATCATCAGCCTTTTCAAATCTATAAAAGACCAATAAGAAACCAAACAAAATAAAGTTCGCAAATCAAGGTGTGTGTGTGCGTGTATTTGTGAAGAAAAATCTATAAAATTTTGTATGAATTAAGCAACGTTCGCTTTTCAACTCCCTGGGTCAGACATATGTCAAAGTTGAACTAGGGCACACTAAGTGGAAACGACCTACACATCTGCGTTTATAGCGTATCCCTAGACTAAGAAGATAAACTGGAATTTATATCAAACAACTTATATATTTTATACAAACCGCAATTCCGGAAATTGGTGTTACGTCAGTCAAATTAATTTCACATCGCTCTTGTTCTTGTTCCTCACACATTTCAGAGCCAAAATAGCGATTTAACGCTAGTCAATCAGCAGGCCCAATCACTTATACGGCAGGCCGACGCCCGCAATCGTCAGCTGATCGAGCAGGATAACGCTGCGCTAAATAGATCTTGGCAGGATCTGGTACGTAGCCTGGAACAGCGCCGTGACAATCTGCAACAGTTGGCCGAACATTGGGACGGCTTCGAAAATAGCCTGCACGCCTGGGAGAAGGCACTTGGTCGACTTGAGGATAAGTTCCGCAATGTCGATCCGACTGTAAGATCCCGACGTCATTTGGAAGATACGAAGAATGCCATTCAGGTGAGTTAACGCCACGACACGTCCGCCTTTTAAGGTCGGCTTGTATATAGTTATTTACATGCTGGCCATACATTTCGAAGGGTACACTGGGAAATATTATAGGTTAAAATCAATACTCGATTTATATAGTAAAACATGAAGAAATAATGATAAGTGATTCAATGTTTACTTTTTGAAAGAATTAATTTCATAATGGCTTTATCAACGTAAGTTTCTTTACTTCTTAGAAAAGTACTTTTGTTTTTATCTTTTTCTGTTTTTTCTTGTTATAAACATATATTATTTTTCTTTTTAATTGAAGCCCATAAGATAAAGAATATATATATTTTTAATTCATGTTCGTATCTCAGTGTATATGTATATATTATGGGTCACCCATTCATTCATTTAGTTTCGTTATGGCAAATCCGCCCTCCCTTGGGGGCTTTTATGTTTGTCAAATATTTTTACCAATATCCATGCATAAACACAAGCCGACAGACATGTAAGTGTTAGATATATATATATATATAGATATATATAGCCGTGAACACCATGCCGACATCAAGTTCATGGTCACGTTGTGGACCGGAGCGGAGCTTGCGCTCTCGTGGCTTGTCCCGCTCTTTGGGCTCTCTCTCTCCTCCGGACTCGAGATTCACGAATGCCATAAAGCAGCTGAGTGGCTGAGGCAGGTCCGAAACAAATATAATGATGTGTTGTGAATGATTAACACGGAAAGCCACTAAATCATAGTAATCAAGAGGGGAGGAGGGGAATGGCAGACAAAACAACAAACTAACTTTCGGTTTCTTACAGTTTTAGACTCTTGATTTTAGTTTACCCAGAGAACTAGAGAGGTCTGATGATTAATTAGCTATAAATAACATATAAAGCTGTTTGAATATCTCTGTATTATTTATATTTACATATTAATTGCATTTTTTATAGTTAGTTTATATACTCAAGGTAGTAAAAGCTTAGTAGATTCAGAAATTATCATTTGTACTACTTATCAGCAGCGATTTGAATGATTTGCTGTCGAGTGAGATCACTGTTTCGTGCGATAACACCTTTTTGATGTTTATTTTCAATTCACAACAACTAAAAATAGTACAAACATACAAATAGAGTCACTAAAAAAAGCTAGTCCCAATGGCAGGCTTTCAAATCAAATTTCAATTGAAGCAATTTGTAGCCATAAAAGCTAGGCCCGTCCAAATCGAACTAACGATGTTGTCATACATGTGTGCCATATAAAGCGTTGATAACGACCAAAAACAAATGCCATCAAACTAAATGATGATAAACAAACGCAAACACATAGTTAGGGTTTTTAATTTTGTCTCTCCAAATGAGACAATAAATTAGAGAGACTACAACTTAGATCAAATATTTCATTTTGTTGAAAAACATCGAATAACCTCAAGCTCAGAAATGCTGCAAAGTCAAGTCAACAAATTTATTTTTCTTTTATTCAATGTTGACCTTCTGAAAAACTGGAAATGAAACCGAAATTGAGGGAGAAATACTATGCGAGGTTTATGCAAGTTCTATAAAACGATATTTACTCATCCATTACACTAATTAATCTTAATTGAACAAACATTGTAATTAATAGATGTTTGTAATATTTATTGTTTTTTATTTATAGGAATTACGTGAAGAATCAAATCAACTTAAATCATCACATAAAGAAATCGAGGCGCTCTCTAAATCCATCCTCACATTCCTTGGGGAAGTACACAAACCCTCGGCGGAGGCCATACAGGCCAAAGTGGATAAGTTAGTCGAACAGCAGGCCAAGTGAGTACCCACTGTAAACCCTAATTATCTGAAACCCTATATATATGTATCTACATTGTGTGTTAAACTACGCGTGACTTGGGACCCCCTCCCCCCAAAAAAAGAAAAACAAAACCAAACAAAAACACAAACAAAGGTTCTGATCGAAACGTTTAATTCCGGAAATTGAATTGGCTTGCATACATTATCAAGCTGCCAAACTTGTTGCCTAATGAAAATGAATGGCAATTTGAGGAATTTAACTGGTTAAAGTTGAATATCTGAGTGACTTTCATATAACTACTTATATCTTAAATTATATATGAGATTTCCATAACAGTAAATGTAACTTTTTACGATTTCCCTTCATAGTTAGCTCTAAAAAAGAAATTGTTCTGCCTTAGTTTTTAAGCATTTTCTAAACTCGTTTGGGCCCTCGAAATGCCATCTTATTGTTATAGTTGTCGAGTCAAAAAACTGACGTCAGACCAACTGTTACGCTTCGTTGTCGGCGTTTTCTAGTGTGTGCATTACGTAATCTGAGGCTTATTATTATATTTTTACCCCTCATAGTTCTCCATTTTCCCAAAAACATTAAGTTAAATCATGACTTCTAGGAATAGAAATGTTTGCAGGGAAAACTCTTTTTAGTTTTTTTTTTTTTTGTATTTCACGGGGCTATCCCGTTCTTCAAAGAACTGTGCCAAAGCTTTGGTCTTATCAAAAGCGATATGGGGTCTTAGAGCAAACATATATATTATTTATACTCTTTTTTGTGATAAGCAATAGCAACCGAAGAAGAATTCCCATGCCTTGCCTTTGCGGAAATGCTTGATATATTTTGTATATATTTAGAAATAAAATCTGTTGTTGTTGCCTGGCGCTAGGAAAAACACCGAAACTGTGCCAATATGCCAATTCAATTTGTTTTTCTTGTTTTTCTTGGTTTTCTTTGAATATTTGCGGATTTTCATTCGTTTAAATTATTTATCACGTGCCATTAGCTTGGCAACATGTTGCCAGCAACAATTGTTGCTCGGCATAGAAACTCACCACACACCCGCAGATCACGTAAACACTTTTTCCGTTGACAGCGGCCCACTTTTCTCCCTTTTGGCCTTTCACACTGACACAATTTTTTCGGGAAAGATCAGCCCCGCCTCTCTCTGTTTTGTTTTATTTTTACACACAATTAGTCGTTTTTCATGACAGCCGACTGTTTGAAAAACGAGAACAGCAGCTGTGGCTATACGTTTCCTCGCATTTTCCCCTCAGAAAACCAACCGCAATGTGCGTAAGTTTTCAGCAGGCTTAAAGCGAGTGAAAGAATGATAAATGTTTTGACTGTCACTGCCAGGCGATGACGGCTTCGATACATCAAATACTAATTTTTTGGATAATCACGTTTCTGTGATGATTGAGGGAATAACAAATAAGGAAACGTGATAATATGAATGAAATTTGTATATTTTTCAGATTGTATTTTATACAGAAACCATAAAACTGACCAAACACAAAATTTATTTGTTTACTCCTAAGAAATTAATATTAATATTAGTCTACTTTGCAATTAGAAATGGTAATTTATATTACTATTATTAATACGATATATATTATTATTTTTTCTTTTACATTGTTCCCAAATAAGATTTTCAAAAAAAAAAACGTAGAACAAATAGTTGCAGAAATGGACCATGAAATACTGGTCCTGAAGGCCTCTGCAACTTATTTCTATAATGATTGTTCCCCTTTAATAAAATAGCATCTTTCTTAAATATCTTTATGAAATAATAATTTCCCAATTAATTCCCAAAAGGCTTCCCCCCATTAATTCTCTCAAAATATTGTTTCCTTTAATTGTTTTCGGCTTCGAATGCGTCTGCCCCGAACAGAACAAATAAACTATGCCATCATCTGGCCGAAAAGCATGATCTAATATACCTCCAAGCGACATGTCATCGATAATTATATAGTCCCAACTGAGATATATATAATATAGATATATATCCCAAAATGCGACGTTGAATTTCAATGCATTTACACACTTGTGATATTAATAACACTGTTTCGACATGCAAAAATCTAATCAGCGAAAAGACATTAAATATTTCGTAAGCTCTTTGCGTTTTTTGGGGATTTCATAATTTATTTTTAACAATATCTGGCATTCCGTGTGTTAAATTGTTTATCTAGAAGGCGACAATTTAGTTCCATTAGCAAGTACATTTGATTTTTGCACAAAGTTCTTATAGAGAATCTCTAGATAAATCTATAGGCCATTGATGAAATGCTGGGAGAGGAAATACGCAAAGCAATTTCATCAAAATGTAAACAAAAAGCCAGCAAAAAGAATCATAAAAAAATAAGTAAATAAAAAGCACAAGTGAAAATGAAATTGTTTGCCTGAGTTGGGTGACTTCATCGTTGAGAAATGGTAAAAATATGAATAAAAAAAGGTAAACCCAAAACCATATGTGCAATTTGTTTAAAATGGAATGATAATTGAACTATTGCTGAGTCATCAGAGAAAGACTTTACAATCTTATCAGGCTTATAAAAATTTATTAGGCACCCAAACAAATCCAAAATACAATCTGCCTGTGATTTGAATATGCATTTGCATTAGCAATTTGTCACTTGGATATCTCAGCAGAAAACAAAAAATAAAAAGAGAAAATCAAAAAACCGACAACAACAGAAGCAAATAATAATAAAAACTTTGCCCAAATGAGGTAATCGGGTAATAATAAGTTTGTTTTTTCTGTTAGCCACTGTTAACTTGGCTAACAGAGTGCTGTTGCTGCCGCTTTCAAAACGGTTTTGTGTTCCATTCCACTTTGCTTACTCTCTCTTTTAGTAACTAGCTCTCTCTGGTGGTAAGTTTATTGCCGGCTTTTCTTATCTAAACCGGCAAAATGACATTTGCTTTTATGGGCTTTATCAATCAGGCCTGATAATTTCTCTTGAAAAGGGTGGCATGACCCCGACAAGTTCATTGATTTTAGCAAATTTGTTTTTCAATGTCAAACTTTGTTGGCCTTAATAATTGGTAAAGTAATCACCTCACTCTTGTCCCTAGTTTTATTAAGATTCACATGCAGATATGCCTGTGGTGAATTGGGCTCTTAGCAGTTTTCATTCTTTTATTTCCGTAATGCCTTCGTGTTCGTGTGCTGCTGTTAACCGATCGACAGCCGAGCAAACACGAACTGGCACAAGTTTTTGGCAATTTTTGCGTGCGCCGCGAGCGTTGAGAATCTTTTCGGTTCAGTTTTTATTTAGAGTTAGTTGCAAGCGGACGTGTTTCTCAAACTGGATGGCTGGAAACTAAATGAAAGAGCAAACGAACGAAGCGACCGCAATACATATACGCATATTTTTAAATCAAATTAATTAACTAAGAAGTAGTAAAAACCAGAGAAGCAGCAAAGCAGAAGAAAAAATACCGGTGTCCCCCCTCAAAAGAAGAAGACAGAGCGAAAGATGTATGACAATGGATTTTCTTTTGGGCCAATGCCTTCTAATCGAAATATTTATATATTTCTTTTTTCCCTCCCCAACCGATTTCTTCTATTTTCATGTTGAAGTTTCGAACGCCGCTTTGTGGATTACCAGGCGTATACGTAACGAGCGAAGGAAAAAAGAAACAGCAACGAGTCATAGAGCTAATTTTGCCATTTGTAGCATCTGCTTGGGTTTCACCGAAATTCCTCTACCGGAATTGAGGCACTGGAAGTCAAGCAGAGGGCTCGGAAGTTCCAAAAAAAAACAGAAAAAGTTGAGCACACTTCTGCCTCCAAAGTCAAAGGAGGTCCGAAAGTTGTCGCCAACAGCAGAGCCAAAATCGCAGACAGAAGACTGACTGAGCAGCAATTAAAAATTGTAGCTAATTGCCCGCCACTTACGCACTTGTAGTTAAAGTCGTGAAAAGCATAAGGTGATTGTTTGTCCCCTCCTTAAAAAACAAAACAGAAGTACTTAAATCAAAACGAGAGCTGAGTAGAAATTTCCAAGACTTGATTAAGTCATCGCAGAGTTTAACCCCTCTGAGCGCACATAGCGTATGCAAAACAACACCGGTCTCTGGTACTCGAATACTCGTATACTACCTGCCAGGGTCGTCAGGTGTGATTGTTTTTGTTATTTTCGCTAGAGAATCCGGAGAGAAAGAGCCGAGAATATGATTCGCACGCGTTTCTACTTTAAACGATGACGTAGCCAAGGCGACAGAAATAGCCAGCTTATCGTTGTCGAGGGAATGATTACATTCCTTCCGTTGCCATAATTGATCAAACTATGTTTCCCAAATAATTCGCAATATATATATATATATATATATATATATATATATATATATATATATATATATATTTGTTTCGACTTGGAGCTACACGCGTTGCTATTTATTTTGCCTTTCACTTTCACTCGTGGGCTCGCCACGGCATTTCTAGCATATTTTGCCATTTAAATTAGAGCCATGCACTAAATTTAAATCGTTAATTTGTACAAAATGGCAGACCGAAATAGCTTAGAGAGGAAAAATAATTTTCCTTTTTATTTTTATTTATTGTGTAGACAGCAGCGCGGCATCCCAAACAAAAATTGAGAACTCACTAAGTTCGATATTTGTTGGCTGCGAAAAATGACGCCGAAATAATTCTGGCTAGTTTATACTACGGGTATCGTTTATTTCCGCTGCCCGCTGAAATTTCTCATCGCCGGCGCGCACATTTAACAATTAAATTTGAAAATGTTTTCAGTCGACTTTTCGGCCAATTGGCCGAGAGCCAAATGTGTGTTGACTTGGCCTCATCTTGGGCCGCATTTCGCCTCGGTCCTCGAGTCCTCGGCGGCTGTAAAGGGCAATAGACGTTCCATTAACGAATCCGTCATTCCATGCCAAGTGCAAGCACTGATCACGAACACTTGTTGTTGTGTCGGCATAGAAAATAAACTTCAAATGCTGTTCCTCTAGGCAGCCGTGGCGTATGAGTGATATGCGTCATGTGCTGGAAATACGGAACGGAAATCAATGCTAAATTCATATCCGATCACCGAGTAACTCATTGATTCATCCAGTCTCGCTGCAACGCCCCAATGACGTCAGCTTGTCTACGATCTAAAATGCAAATCAGAGAAAGAAAAAACTAACATAAATAAATGAGGGGTATATAAATTTAAACATGCGCCGCTTTTAAAAATACACACAAGCTAAAACTATAAGGAAAACAAAAAGAAAACTTTTAAAAGTTGTGCGTGTCCAAGCAGTAGTGGGAAAATATTTTTATTTTATATTTTTTTTGTTCCTTTCGGTGGCTTTTAAATGAAAAGTTCTCGCTCTTTGCCGCCTCTCAATGGGATCAAGGCAATTTCGAATTATGAGCAATGTACGAAAAATCTTTTTCGAATTCATTTTCGAAAAATTGCTCAGGCCCAAGAAAATGTGCTCGAGGCATTTCATTTAGAAAACTCTCTTGTAGTCAAACGGCAGCATTCATTTTTCACGGAAATCTTCGCAGCCTCGAGGCCAAAGCCCAGTGGATCTTACACACAACTATATATATATAGCAAGATATATCTGCGCAGCAAAAGAACATTGAAAACTTCAGAGATTTTTCAGCCTTTTGTGCCAGAAGAATAACTTTTCGCCCCTGCCATATCTCTATAGATAGATATAAATCTATCTATATAAAACCAGGAACCGCGTGGTTTTCACACACTGTCTACCACCAACTATCTCTTGCCATTGAATAACGTGCCCCTGAAACTTACCCCGCTCTATTTTTTCAGATTGAACGACACTCTGCGCGATAAGGAGCAGCAGGTTAGCAAGGATCTCGAGGAGATCGAACAAGTCTTCCGTCGCATTTCGCAACTGCAGGATAAGCTTAACGCCCTTCACGATCAACTCCAATCGGTTCACGTCTACGACGAGCACATAGCCCAAACGGAACAGCTTCTGATCACTTTGAATAGCCAGGTACAGCAGGCAGCCGAGGAGAGCAAATCGCTGGTGGCCCAGACAACGGCCCAATACCAGGCCAAACAAAACCAGCTGCCCAGCGACATTGCCCAGGAGTTTCACAGCCCTTGAGCTACTTGCCGAACGTGTCCAAGTGACAATGGAGACCAAAGAGAAGGATTTCAAGCGGGCCAAGACCGTACGCACCGAATATGTGGCCGGTGTGGATGAGATTCAGCGTTGGCTGCTTCAGGCCGAGGTGCAGGTGCAGGAACGAAGCCTCACACCCACACAGATGAAGGAGCTGCTGCAGCGCATCAATCACGAAATCACCGCCATCTACGAACGCTTCACCCTGGTCAAGACCAATGGTCAGCTGATCATCGAAAATTGTCGCAACAGCGAGGAGAAGACGCTGGTGCAGACGACCATCGATCAGTTGGCCGCATCCCTGGCCCAAGTTCGTGCTTGGCTGGATGAGAAGAAGCAGGCGGTGGGTGATAGCTTGGACGCGTGGACGAGGTTCATGAACCTCTACCAGATCGTGATGTCGTGGGCTGCGGAGAAGCGCACCTTCATCGATCAGACGATTGAGCTGCATACCCTGCCCGAGGCACGCAACAAACTGAATGACTATGTGACGGCTGTGAAGAGTATTAAACCGATTGTGAAGCATCTAAGCGAAATGGATAAGGAACTGGAGCATATTGGCCAAGTGACGACTGTGGGCGATCTCAAGGACAAACTGCAGGAGGCCGAGGATGCGAAGATATCCGTGGAAGCGGTGCTGCTAGAGAGGGTAAAGTGGTTGATCTAGGGGTTATCCCTACTAAGTACCTATCAAGTTAATAACAATTTCCCTCAATCTTTTATCGTTTCTCTTTTAGAACTCCCTACTGCAAGAGGCCTGCGAGGAATGGGACCAATGTGAACGCAAGATTAAGGATATACGCTCGTGGCAGGAGAAGACGAAGCAGAGTTTGGACTCCTCGCAGCAGCAGAAGAAACCGCTGCGCGATCAGCTTGGATTCTGTGAGAAGACCCTGGCCGATATTAATGTGCAGAAAACGAAACTTAGACTGTCTATTGAGAAACTGGAGGTGAGTATGGGGACCGGCGGCCTGGCTAATTCCCGCTTATCATTCCATTCACAGGTTCATTTCCGCAATGGCATGGGCGGTGATCCGCGCCTGAGCGAGAATGTTGATGATCTGGTACGCGTGCTTGACGGCCTTGGCGAATTGGTTAAGACCAAGTCGCAGAGCCTCGAGCAGACGCTAGCCCAGATCGATGTTTACCAGCAGCAGATGCAGACCCTGCGCCAGCGCATCATCCAGGAGGAGCAACAGCTCCGCCTGGTGATGGCGCCCACGTACTTGCCGCACGATCGCGAGCGAGCATTAGCCGAGCAACAGGTACGTACCGTCCAAGTCTTTGAAAGATTTAGTAGACCCGTTTTATAAAAAAAAAAAACCAAACCAGCTAGCTGTTCAGATCAGATATTATAGCAGATATTTATTGCCAGGAGAGCTCTCTCTTTAGTTAAAGTCGTTTTCCGAATAATGAATCCCCTTTATATATCTATTTCATTTTGTCATTGCTGTGAACAATCCTTCATCGCTATGAAAACCAAAAAAAAAAAACAGTTGACAGAACAACCAAAGAAAGTTATTAACCCTACTATTACCCGAATATATAATATATATACTTGATTAATCTTTGAAATCGTTTTGTCCCTTTACGCTTAAATGTGTGCGGGTAGGTCTGAAGAAAAACAGTTGCACGGTGGCTGCGTATTTAATTTAATTTTATTTTCTTAGTTTATCAAAAAAAAAAAGAAAAACAACAACAAAGCTCATTATCTTTTTTGAATTTTCATTTTATTTATATTTTTTCGTTTGGCAAAATTCTATTACGTTTTTATTTTCGAATTCGTTTTTATGTCATTATTTTCGCACACACAAATGCTCTCATACATCAACATTTATCATACACATTTGATCTTTGTGTTTCCTTATGTTTAAACATTTTTCATCTCCCATCAACCGACCGTGCAGCTCTCATTCTCAAAACTCATTGCTATCTCATTGGAAAAATTTATACCTCATCAATATCAGAGCTACCTCATCATCACCCACCATTTGTCACGTGCTGCGGCCCAAAAGTATTTCTAATGCCCAGAAACAAATAAGTTCTTGTTGTCAGGGTTAGGCCACCCAGGCGAGAGAAAGCCGAATTCCACCTCCAGATAATCACTGGTACTATTTTTAGAGCCAAAACGTTTCCCATTGTTTTTTTTATTGGCTCATAAACAAAGTGATTATATTTAGAAAAGCAGGTGGCCTAGCAATAGGTTAGCCTGCAGATTTTCCTAGTCTCTTAAATAGCTTGTAATTTTATAACTTAAATTTAAACTTTACATTGCGAACTGCAATGTTGGCGGTAAGTGGCATTTATGGAATTCATTTCAATTTTCTGGGACTGTAGTTCAATTTTTGATAAAATGCGGGGTCAGCTCTAGCTATGAGAACTTTTTTGATTCCTTTTCACCTCTCTGACCTCTCATACACCACACACACTCACCCATCATCACATTTAAATCGTCACATTTTATGGCACAATTACACATTAAGCTTTGGCTTAGACATTTTAATGAGGTTTTTGATTTGTTTTAATTTTTATTTGATTTAATTATTTAGCCAGCTTAGCCAAGCAATCATTTTCTTTACCACAAACAGCTCTTACTCTTACTCTTTCTCTATATAAAACTTTTCTATATCTTTCTGGTATTGTAATAGCGAAAGTCGGTTATCTTTTAGTTATGGTTACGGTTTATAATTTGATTTTTTGGTATTTTATTTTTGACATTTGTATTTCTCTTTATCTTTTCTCTACGTAACTTTTGTTGAAAATAAACAAAAATCCTGGTGTCGTTGCGCTGAAAAACCAATCGAAAAAAAAACAAACAAACATGCAAATTATTAAACATCCATAAACATTGTTCTTTTACTAATATTAATAACTTAACTTAAACTTTGGGCTTTGCTCGCTTGCCTGTGCCGCTACTTACAAAACTGTGACTAATCCGAATTTGCTACACATCTGATATATAACCCCCTTTTAAAACCCATTGAATAAACCCCTGATCATGCACACACTCAAACATATAAACACACATGGGTACTGCTTACTTCTTCTATAAATTAATCGAAATATCGAACATGGTTAATGGTCGCTTTTCCTGTATTTATCCCATGGCGTATAATGTGCTCGCTGTCTCTACCATAAACGAATCTCAATATATATATGCTGACATCTTTTGTATTTCTTCTCTATATATATATATAAATCTGCTCTCACGCCAACCATTCGAACTCTTTCAAAACAAATAATAAAACATGCACCATATATATACCCAATATATATATATATATATATATATATATAAACAATAGGCATGCCGGGAACGTGTCAAAAATCTGCATTCGAAAATAACTGCACGTAATGAGCGCATCAAGTTGTTAATACATCGCGGCACGCCGGACGATGCCAAGCTAGAGATTTAGGATGCCGTGTACCCTTAACCATAAGCTAAAGCCAATCTAGGACTAGATCAAAGCCAATGCAGCCGTTTACCCTTCGCTGCCGATCTCCTTCTCCCAGGAACGGTGGCCTAAGGTCAAACTGTCAACTGCCGTCACTAATCTAATCAAAATGAAAACATGACCCATGTTTAAGAATTTATAATTATATTTATAATATTTTAAAGAATAAATTAAATTATGCAATTATATTTTTAAAACGCAACAAGCCCCTTTTTTCGAGTATAATTTATGAGGGAGTTTAGGTTTTTTAGGTCTTAGGAGGTAGCATAGCTTCCCCCCTTTTGAAATCCCCTGCAATCATATCAATGCTAACGTTTTTGGCAAATCTTCCCCCTATCTCTCCCACTCTCTCTCTATATATATATCACTCACTCTGATACGTGTGATGATGATGAACATGATGAACAATTAGGCAATGCGAGTATCAATCGATGGCATGCAGCAAGTCTACGATGCGACCGCTCGAAAGTCCTATGCGCTGGATCCCCATTCAGTGGTGACCACTTCATCGACTGTCTCGTTGCTTATGAAGCCAACGGCGGCAGTGGGTCTAACCTATGCTGAAGTGTTGTCGGGACATGCGAGTCCGGTAAGCAGCGGCAATGAACCAACAACAAACCCTCCCCGATCAGAACGAGACCCCTCAACAACGACAACGGCAAAAACGACGACGACCACCCGGCAGAAACAAATGAACGATAATCAGAATCAGACAACAATCACAACCGTTACGACAACCACAACAACGACTTCGAGACGTACGCACGGTGAGGAGACCGAAAGCCAAGAACGATACGAGTTCAATGGCGGTGGCAGCACCATTTCCACGGCCACCTATGAGCGCCAACAACAGCTTAACACCAACACCCAGCGAGAATATCCAAATCTCAGTTTCTAGCACAACGACAACGGCAACCAACCCTAACACTCAGTTCATCGAAGGCGAGCAGAAATACCATCATCAGGCGAATCCCGGTAAGAAACTGCAGCCAACGCGGCCAGAACGTCGTGGCCGCTCTCCCAGGCGAAGACCCCAGGCTACAGTGATACCAACCCAAGAACAACCCGCAATCGAAATTCAATTGGATCAGCAACCCCAACAACAGCATGAAGAACTCTTCCTTCCAATCAATGACCGGACTAGATCTCGTAGCCCCATGTGGGTACCTGGCTCGACCTCTTATGCCGAGGTTTTGCGAGGATTGGAACTTGAACGCCTTAAGGCCGAACAACTAGCCGCCCAGCCGGCTCAGGGTCGTACAGATCTTACAATTCAGGATGTGGTAGATGCCAGTACAGTAGTTACGGGTGGTATTTACGTAACCGAGCCTGCACCAGAGCCCATCAAAGAAACACAACATCAACCGCAACTAGAACAGTACATCACCGAGACCAGCACTGAACTTGATTATTCTTCCACGCAGCAGCCACAATTGCAGCAGCCACAGCAACAGCAACAAACATCCCTCAGTAACTACGAAGTGCCAATGACTGCTGAAGAGATTGCAGCCACTTACTTGCAGCCCGATCCTCAACTGTATCAGACAATGTACGAGAACGTGGCCGATAGTGGCCAATGGAGTTATGTGACAGGATCTGCCACGGATCCGCAACAGCAGCAGCAGACGCAACCGAACTATTACGAGCAGATTATGCAGATGCAGTATCCCATACAGTATCAGCAGGTGGCTGTACCACCAGCGACAACGCAGTATCAGCTTTTGGCAGGTTACTACCAGCCGGTTGCTCAGGCAGAACCATATTCCGCGGTCTATTCCGCAGATCCAAATCAGATCTACTATGCCCAGCAACCAGCTGAGTACTCACAGGAATACCTACAACAACAGCAGCAGCAAAATGAACCCTTGCACGAATATCAACAGGATACTGTTGGCCAGACCTATCTGATTGATTCCTACGATATAGAGAACACAACACTCGCCTCGGCCACGGGTAACAGCGTGCTGGATCGCGTTGTTACCACATTGGCATCGATGGTTCAACAGAGTGCCTCAGAGCCTCTGACCACCAGCACCCAGCAAATCCAATCAACGGTGGTACCAAGCGAACCCTACTATATTGAGGAACATGTTCATATGCTGCGACCTGTGGAGCCACAGGAGTTCGAGGTGGATGAACCGAGACCGGATATTACTTTCGGTCAATTTGATGTTGATGCTATCGAAACCATACCATTGGATGAGCCAAAAGTCTCTCAAATCGAACCCCAACCCCAAATTAAGGCCCAAACAACGACAACAAGCTATGTAACGGAGACCACAATTGTCTCCGAACAGACACAGCCAACTGTGATAATGCAGCAGACTCAAGAAGTCGTCGCAATCCCAGATGTTCCCAAGATCCCAGAAGTACCAAAAACTGTCACCGTGCATCCCCGGCCTCAGAGGCAAAACAATAATGAAGTCCGGCAACAGGACATTAGTACAGGCAGCACTTACGCCGAAGTCCTTTTTGGTCTTCACCACAGTCAACATCCAGTTTTCCAGCCATCCAGTCAGCAACCAACCCCAGTGCGCCTCACGTCCTCGCCGCCCTTGCAACGCAAGCAGGAACAGACTACGATAACTACTTCTACCTTTACCAATAAATCCAATCAGCATGCCAGACATGTCGAGAAATCGCCAACATGGGAACGCAAGTTCGAAAATGTTGATACACGAACATCACGAACAAAGAGGGTAAGGCACGAACCTCAACCGGAACCATTGCCTATTAAACAGAGTACCAGGAAAGATGGTAAGACTGGCAAGAAATCCCAGTCTCCGGATAGAAATGGTGTCGCTTTGGTTGAGACCAAGGTAGTTGTGGATGCCCCAGCTCCCATTCCGATAGTTGAAGAGACAGTTAAGCCTGAGCCAAAGCCAAGGAAATCAAAGAAACCCAAAAATAGCGAGGCCATTATTCCAATTGTGGAGAAAAAGGATGAACCAGCTGCCGCTAATCTAGTGCCATCTAAAAAGGATAAAAAACTAGCCCAGCCTGTTGTGGAGAAAAAGGAAACGGTGGTCGAGACAACTGTGATAACGAAATCAGTGGAACCCGCTGTTGAGATCATTCAGCCAGGAGAATCAGCTCCAGCTCACCCAAAGAAGGAAAAGAAACAAAAACCAGTCAAGGAAAAGGAAGCTCCCAAGCCAGAAGTCATAGTTGCAGAAGTGGCACCTGTTGCTCCAACCCGAAAGGAGAAGAAACAAGTCAAGACGGTTGTTCAGGAAACTGTCAGCATCCCTTCTAATGACCCTATTGTGAAAAAGGAATCTTCAAAGCTTGTTGTCATTGAGCCAAAATCAGAAGTAGAAAGCAAGAAGCCCCAGGCTCCACTTGAAGCTGTTGAGAAAACAGTTGAAAAGGAGATTGTCCAAACTACTGTCGTGGAAGACGTAGAATAAGTTAAACCTTCGGCTCCAGCTCCAGTATCTTCGAAGAAGGACAAGAAAAAGACCAAGACAGTTCTTGAGCAAGAAGTCAATAAGAAGACCGTTGAACCTGTTATTGAAAAGGAAATCGTTCAACCATCTGTAATTGAAACAACGGAAGTTGTTCAAACTATGGAGCAGTCCAAGACAGTAGTGGAATCCTCAGAGCAAGTTCAACCAGAAGTTCCTCCTCCAGTGCCCGCAAAGAAGGATAAAAAGCGAGCTAAGAAGGAACTTAAAAAGGATGATATCAAAACTCCTTCGACACCCATTGAATCTGCTCCAGTGGAAGTTAATACAGTGAAAACCACTAAAACAATTACTGTAGAGAACACTGTGGTATCTGAGCCGATTGTATCTGTTCAGGAAACAGTTAAAGTCACCGAGAAATCACAACCTTTGGTAGAACCTATTCCTGAAATAACCCCTGAAAAGGAAGAACAGTTCATTCAACAAGAACTGGAACCTAAAGTTGCAGTTACTGTTGCCCCCACCGATATTACTGAGACCATGATCGAGGGTGAACCTACGGTTACCACATCGACTAATACCATCTCAACGGAAAGTGGAACTACAACCATCACAACTCGTACTATAACCAAGCACATCACCAAGCGCATAGTAAAGCGTATTGTAGATGGCAAGGAGGAGATCGTGGAAGAGGATGTCATTGATGATTTGCCCGAAGAAAACATCTCCGTTGAGCAATACAACCTGCCAACGATTGAAACCACCACAAGTGAGGTTCCCATTGAGGTCACTGGATTCTCTACAACACAGGACACCATTGTGCAGCAAGGATCGATTACTAAGACTGTTATTACCAAGACAAAACGCATCCTGAAACGTATCACCGAAGACGGAGAGGAAATTGTTGAGGAAGTCTTCGAAGATGAACCTGAGGTGGAGCGTGATGTTACTCTGCTACCGACCACTGTTGTGACTTCAATGGAAGTGATCAAGGATGCTGCACATAATGTGGTTGAGGAAGTCTTAAAACAAGCTGAGGAAAAAACTCAACAGGAGAAACCAGTTGAGGTGCAAGATCTTGCTGAGCCTGAAGTGACTAATGAAGTTGTGACTGTGATTGCAACTGAAAAGGAGGAAAAGAAGCCGCAGAAGCCTTCGCGAAAGGATAAGAAAAAGCAAAAGAAATTGGAGAAGGAACCAGAAGCTCCCATTGAGCAGAAGGTTGTCGAGATTGTCGAACCACAACAAGAAATCACAGAGCCCCTGAACACAACAAGTGCAATTACTACGGATAATACTAACGATCCGTCGACTGAGCAAAACATTGTCAGTGATGATAGTGGCCTCGTTAAGACGACAGTTATTCGTACAACGAAAATCGTCAAAAAGATCAGCAACAGTCAGCAGGAAAGTCAAGAGATGACCTCTTCCAGCTATTCAGATGCACCGTCATCTCTGGGATCTTACGAACTAGCACAGGAAGCCATCGAACCTGCTAAGGTAGAAAAATCAGAGACAAATAGCCGTGAAATAAGTGATGAGGGCGTGGTCAGAACAACTAAAACCACAACTACTAAAACCATTAAATCACCCAAGGTAGAGGAAGTGCAAGCGGAGCCATCATTAGAAGTGGCATCTAACGATTCACCTTCAGTCGTTGAAGAGCCTGAAGACGGTGGAGTGATTAAAACTACTATTGTACGTACCACCAAAATCGTTAAGAAGATTTCCCATGAATGCGAAAATATCAGCGAGACAAGCAGCGAAGCTGAGCCTTCCTTACCAATTGTCGAGACTGTCCTTTTAGACGCTCCGATTGTGGCTGAATCTGTTACAACCGAGTCCAACAGCGACGGCATTACTAAGACCACAACTACAAAAACAACAAAAACTGTGGCCAAGACTATTAACGAAGCAGAGGAAGACGTTTTAAGTCTACCTGATGTTCCAGTGATCCCTGTTGAACTTGTGGTTGTTGATGAAGCTGTCAAGCTGCCAGAAGTTCCGAAAGAACCTATTGGCATTGAGGATAAGCTCCTAGTCACGGCAACTCCTCTTGATTTGCCCCAGGTTAGCCAAGTAAAGTCCACAATTGCCGATTTTATTGCTGCAGAACAGAATGCTACTAAGACGCAGGAAATCATTGCTGAAGTCTCAGTTATTGAGGAACCTAATAGCTATGCTCCGATTGAGGAGCTTACAGTGCCTGAGCCTGAATCTTCTGGGGTTGGTGATGTTATCAAGACTACAATTGTGCGAACAACGAAAATTGTCAAGAAAGTATCCCAAAATGCGGAACAGAGTGTTAGTGTCGTTGATGTTCCAGAATCGGAAACCCAGAAACCTGAACCAGCAGAGCCTGTTGAGGAGGCCGTTGGTGGTGTAACCAAGACAACAACTGTGCGTACCACGAAGCTCGTGAAGAAACTTAATGAAGATGGGGAAACCATCACGGAGGAGACCAGCACCGCCAGTGATCCAGTAACTGTGCGCGAAGCGTCGCCAACTATTTCGGAAGTTCCGAGCGAAACTTCAACCACATCTAGTCAAATTGACGGTGCAATTATCAAAACCACGACAATTCGTACGATGCGCATCACCAAGAGGATAGCCAATGATGGACGCATTCTTCTCACCGAGAACGAGACACCCAATGATGTGATTGTGACTTCAAGCATAGAGATGCCAGATCAGAGATCAGTTAGTCCGGTTGTATCCTCGCGTTCAACCTCTCCTGCTGTCACGCCTAGTTTCGAACTGAAGTTAGATAACAAACAGTTAGGATTGAAGGATAGCACGACTGGGGTGAAGGTCATTGGCATCGAAACAAATACTGTCGAATTGCCGGAGTCCGGTGAACAAAAATATTCAGAAAGCAAGACTAATGGGGCTATTAACGAGACGGATAGTATTACCACTACTACGACGACTACCAAGAACACGATACTTACGACAACGCAACGACGAAGCTTCGAAACCGAAGATGGCACAAATGTTCTTTTCGTGGGAGAAGGCATTGACGGTGCATATCCACCGGGTACAGTTCAAAAAATCTCCCTTATAACCCATGAAGAGAAACTGAAGACACCTATTGTGAAAATGCATCTTGATTTTCCGGAGGTTAGTCTTCGGGTGACCGAGACCGTGACTGAAAATGTGGAATCCCTACAAAGGACAGCTGAGAGTAGTCAAAATACAGTGATTGAAGTAGTCGAAGTGTCCAAGTCTGAAGTCCCAGAAGCAGTTCAGTCCAAGCCAGAACCCATTCCTGAGATAGTAGAGAAACCATCCCAACCAGAAGAGTTAGTCAAGACCCCAGAGCCCACCCCAATAGTGATCCCTGATAGTGTCCCTGCTGAACTAAGCGCGGAAGAGCAAAAACTTTTCGAGGATATTCAGAAGAAGTTGTCCAAGAAGGATAAAAAGAAGCGTCCCGCCATTCCAGAAGAGTTCATTAAGCAAGAAACGGTTCAGATTATTGTAGGAGAAAGCAAAGGTAATGAAGTTATTAGTGTCCCCACTGTAGCTGAGAAACTAACCAATGTAGTTGAACCCTTAGATCAACAGGAAACGGTTACTTTCAATGTTTCCCAAAAAGAGTCCGTGATCTCTAGTGTTACATCTATCGAAGACACTAAGACAGACTTGAGTCAAGAGTCCGTTGTAGAAGTGAAGCCAGTTTTGGAAACTTCTCCTGTTCCAATCATTGAAGAAGTTAAGGTTGATATTCAGCCAAGTCCTATTCCAGAACCACAAAATTGGCTTGAAACCCTTTCTCAAGACTCGTCCTTAATTTCTACCGTCAAGGTGATTGAGCAATCCAAGGCAGACATTCTTTATAATGAAGTTGCTGTTGCCCCTGTTCCGACCCAAGAAGAAGTGCCAGTAGAAATTCCATGTGAAACTCAGTCAAGTCCTGCTCCTACTAATATTGCTAATCAAACTGTTCCTGCCAAACCAAGCGCATTAATTGCTGAAGCATTTGTGGCTAACACGGTAAGCACTTTGAATATAATCACTAATATTGAGCAAATTTCTCCCCTTGAAAAAATATTTGAAATTCCCAAATTTGACATTTCTAAACTTAATATTGCTGAGGGTAATTATCACATAATCAATTCTAAAGTGAAAGAAATCGAATCAGCTGAGTCTGTATTGCCTCCAAAGACGGTAAGCTTTGGCGATGAAACAGAAACTATAATTGAAACTTCAACTACCGACGTGGGTTCAACAACAACACAGGATTCTGCTCTTTATAACTTCGAGGTTCCCAAATTTGATATTATTGCCCTGAATAAGGCTGAAACCAAACAAAAAGTTTTTGAAGCCTCAGAAGTGGAAACCACATCTGAAGAAACAACAATTATCGAGGATACCAACAAAATCGATGATCAAGAAAATACACCTGAGGAACACAAGACACCTTTGGCACCATTTAAGGACGTAGAGGACATCGAAGAAACTGACTTGGTCACGGCTGAAACTATCATTGAGACCAATAAGAGTGCTGAAAAGGAAGACAAGGAACCACAAGTCGGAGCCCCTCTGGAACCTTTTAAAAATGTCCCTCAGGTTGTACAGACAGTTGAAGTGGTTCAGAAGGAGGTTCCAGTTGAAGAGGCCATAACAGTAAATGAAACTAAGACGGTCACAACAGTCACCACAACAACAGTTACCACTGAAACTTCCAGCGAAACTTCTACTACTGGCGAGTTTAAGAAACCTGAGGAGCCCAAGAAACCCGCATATGCCGGGCTGCCTGTGGACGACTCTTCGAGCTCATGGATGGATGTTCTGGATGAACCAATGAACTTCTCTGACGATGAAGAAGATCCAGTTCCAGAGCCGCAGAAAGAGCTTGAGCCAATTGTTGAAGCTCCGGTTGTGGATGAAGCCAAGACTATTACAATAGATACTACCACAGTGGTGACTACTGAGTCTACCAGTGAAACCGATGTTCCTGAGCAAGCTAAGAAATCTGAACAATCAGAACCAAAGCCCGAGGAACAAAAGACACCATTGGCACCATTTAAGAACGTTGAGGACATTGAAGAAAATTACTTGGTAAAGGTTAAACCTATTGTGGAGACTAAGAATGCTGAAAAGGAAGACAAGCAACCTCAACTAAGTACTCCCCTTGCTCCTTTCGAAAATGTCTCTCAGGTTGCAGAAACAGTTGAAGCGGTTCCCAGAGACGAGTCCACAACTGTAAATGACACGAACACAACGATCACAACAGTTACAACCACCACAATTACAACTGAAACTTCCAGCGAAAATTCTACTACAGCTGAGTTCACGAAACCTGAGGAGCCCAAGAAACCAGCATACGCCGGTCTGCCGGTGGACGATTCTTCTAGCTCATGGATGGATGTTCTGGATGAACCCATGAACTTCTCTGATGATGAAGAGGAATCAGTTCCAGATCCACAAAAGAACCCAGAGCCAAATGTTGAAGCTCCGATTGTGGATAAAACCAAGACTACCACAACAGTTTCCACCACAGTGGTTACTACTGAGTCGACCAGTGACATCGCTATTCCTGACGAACCCAAGAAGTCTGAGGAACCAGAGAAGAAATCTGAGGAGCCCAAGAAGCCAGCATATGCGGGTCTGCCCGTGGACGACTCTACTAGCTCATGGATGGATGTTCTGGATGAACCCATGAACTTCTCAGACGATGAAGAGGAATCAGTTCATGAGCCACAAAAGAAGCCTGAGCAAATTGTTGAAGCTCCCATTGTGAATGGAACCAAGACCATTACAACAGTTACCACCACAGTTGTTTCTACCAGTGAAACCGAAGTTCCTGAGCAGGCCAAGAAATCTGAAGAGCCAGAACAGAAGCCCGAAGAACACAAGACACCATTGGCACCATTTAAGGCCGTAGAGGACATTGTAGAAACTGACTTAGTTAAGGTTGAAGCTATAGTGGAGACCAATAAGGATGCTGAAAAGAAAGACAAGCACCCAGAAACAGGCACTCCTCTGGCACCTTTTGAAAATGTCTCTCAGGTTCCTGTTGACGAGTTCACAATTGTGAATGATTCTAAGACGATCAGAACAGTTACCACCACCACAGTTACCACTGAAACTTCTAGCAAAACTTCTACTTCTGAGCTCAAGAATCCTGAGGAGCCCAAGAAACCCAGCATATGCCGGTCTGCCCGTGGATGATTCTTCAAGCTCTTGGATGGATGTTTTGGATGAACCCATGAACTTCTCTGATGATGAAGAGGAACCAGTTCCAGAGCCACAAAAGGAAATAACTGTAGTAGAAGAAGTAGTTAAGCCTGAGCCAATTGTTGAATCTCCGATTGCTGATGAAACCAAGACCGTTACCACCACAACTGTTTCTACTGAAACCACCATTCTCGAGGAGCCTAAAACTGCACATGAAACCGATAAGGACCTTGTTCCAGTTGAAGAGGCTTTCGTGGAATCGCAGACAATTAGTGATGTCGTTGATCAAGTAACTCATCTGGAGAAACCTATAGAGGAACCTATTGATACATGGTCTAGCGTTTTGGAGGACACAGTTCCCAATACAGGAAACATTGGCTTCACTTCCAACTTATCAGCTGATGCTCCAGAGTTTATGCCTTCCTATTTGAGGCATACTTACTCAGATCAAACACATACGTTCCTTGCAAATGAGAGAGTGTATAACGAATTCATTCCAAGGAATAGGTCAGAGCAACCAATTGTCCCACAACAAAAGCCCAAGAAAGCGAAACCATCAAAGCGACAGAACAAGAAGGTGGAAGTGCAAGAAGTGATTCCTGTTCCACCTGCTCAGGAGACATACATTCCGGAACCGATTCAAGTAGTCGAAGAGGTGGAAAATGTTTGGACCAAGAACCGCGATGGAAAATCCTATGCTGACGTCTTACTCAACTCGGGTGTTACTGGTGATGTTATCAATATTACTGAGTCAGAGACCCAGAAGGATACTGTAACCGCACCAGTTGTAGTCATCGAAAAAACTAAAGAGCGCAAGAAGAAGACGAAGCCTGAAAAACGCCAGACAGTTGAGAAAGTTGTTGAACTTGCAGCGCCAATCAGCGAAAGCGACAAATCTAAGTCAAATAGCGATAGCGAGCAGTCTAAGGCTACGACAGAAAGTGAACTATCTAAGCCAACAACAGAAAGTTCCAAGGAACCATCTTCCGACGAGAGAGATATTTCAAGTACCACCGAACTGACATGGTCAGCTCTTGTTCGCAGACCTGGTGAATGGTCCGACACAACTGTGGCAAAGAAAGATGTTACCTCCACTCCAGTCTTGACCAAAGAAAAACCTCTTCAAAAGGAAAAGGAGGAGCCCAAGAAGACTACAAAGGCTAAGAAAACTAAAAAGTCGAAGAAACCAATTGTTGAACCAGTCTCAACCACATCTGAAGACGAGTTACCTGAGCCTGTGGCTGTACCCGTACCAGTGGAGGCTACACCTGAACCAGTTGAGAAAAAGCCGGAACCAGCAAGAAATGAAAAGACAGAAGCTAGCAGCGGATTCTCTTGGGCTTCACTTGTCAAGAGGCCAGGTGAATGGATTGACAACACTGTTACTCACATCAAGACCGCTGTTGCTACTTCAACTGAGGTAAAAGAACCAGTTAAAAAAGACACTGAAAAGCCTCAAAAGCCTAAGAAACAGAAGGCCAAGAACAAGGCAGAGTCTAAGCCAATTATTGTAGCAGAGCCCGAGTTCGAGATCAGTAGTGAACCGGCAGAAGAAATTGTGGTTTCGCGTGAGGTGGAACCAGAAAAGGTAAAACCTACCGAGAACTCAGAAAACTCCTTCTCTTGGGCATCTCTGGTGAAGAAACCAGGCGAGTGGGTTGATGACATAGCTGCCCGTAAGAAGCCAGTTGAAGCTGATAAGGAGGAGCGCAAGGAGGAGACCCAACCACGGAAAGAACGCAAAAGTATAAAGCCTGAGACCAAACCTCAACCAGAAAAAACTAACAAGCGTAAAATCAGAGAGGAAATTCGCGAGCCCAAAATCATTCAATCCACATCTGATGACAGTGATGTGGTTGAGGTTGTACATCCTCAAGATGAAAATACAATTACTTGGGCTAAGATCGCTAGTCAAATTGATCATATGACCGACCTGGCACCAAAAGCTAAAAAAGAGGTTAAGCCAAAACAACTAGAACCTTTAAAGCAGCAAGCTAAGGCAGATCGATATGAGAAACAGGCAAAGGCGAAGGTTCGTGCTTCATCTCCAGATGTAAGTCAACGTCAGAAAGAAAGCGGTCATTCCTGGTCCTCTGTTGTTAGTCATCAAGTCACTGATTTCATTGAATATGAAAGGCTGGCACCACCAATAAAAACGGAAACACAGAAATCGAAAACGGATTCTCAACGTAAAGTCACTCCAAAGTTGGAGGAACCTTTGGAAGACCGAGAATGGTCACCAGTTCGAGAAAACAAATCGCAAAAATCATGGGCTGAAATGATTGATGATGGTTCAGAAGACGTGGTTGTTGAACAGAAATCGTGGAAGGAACTCATAGAAGACGAAATTGAGATTCCACTTCTTCCTGAAAACGGTGAGGAAGCAAACATCAACAAGATTATTGAAACAATCCAAGAAATGAAATCAACCAAACAAGAAAAGCCCAAAGAAACCAAGTCGATCAATGACAACACAACCGTCTCAGAAGAGGGTTCTGTTGACGTAACCAAAACTGTGACAACCACCATTACGACAAAAACTGTTACTACTGGAGGAACTGCTATTACAAATGAACTCCCAAAAACCGATGAACCGAAGCCCGAGGAACACACGACGCCGTTGGCACCGTTAAAGGACGTAAAGGACATCGAAGAAACTGACTTGGTTAGGTCTGAAACTATCGTCGAGACCAATAAAGATGCCGAAAAGGAAGACAAGCAACTAAAACTTAGCACTCCCCTGGCACCTTTTGAAAAGGTTTCTCAGTTTGTAGAGACAATTGAAGTGGTTCAGAAGCAGATTCCGGTTGACGAGTCCACAAATGTGAATGAAACTAAGACGATCACAACAAAAACAATAACAGCAGTTACCACTGAAACTTCCAAAACAACTACTACTGATGAGTTCAAAAAACCAGAGGAGCCCAAGAAACCCGCATATGCCGGTCTGCCCGTCGACGACTCTTCAAGCTCATGGATGGATGTTTTGGATGAACCCATGAACTTCTCTGATGATGAAGAGGAATCAGTTCCTGAGCCACAAACGGAAGTAACTCTCGTCGAAGAAGTAATAAAGCCTGAGCCAATTGTCGAAGCTCCGGTTGTGGATGAAGCCAAGACTATCACAACAGGTACTACCACAGTGATTACTACTGAGTCTACCAGTGAAAAGGATGTTCCTGAGGAACCCAAGAAGGCTGAGGAACCGGAGAAGAAACCTGAGGAGCCAAAAAAACCAGCATATGCCGGTCTGCCCGTCGACAACTCTTCGAGCTCATGGATGGATGTACTGGATGAACCCATGAACTTCTCTGATGATGAAGAGGAACCAGTTCCTGAGCCACAAATGGAAGTAACTCTCATCGAAGAAGTAGTCCAGTCTGAGCCAATTGTCGAAGCTCCGATTGTGGATGAAACCAAGACCGTCACAACAGTTACCACCACAGTGGTTACTACTGAGTCCACTAGTGAAGTCGCTATTCCTGACGAACCCAAGAATTCTGAGGAACCAGAGAAGAAACCTGAGGAGCCCAAGAAACCAGCATATGCCGGTCTGCCAGTCGACGACTCTTCAAGCTCATGGATGGATGTACTGGATGAACCCATGAACTTCTCTGAAGATGAAGAAGAACCAGTTCCAGAGCCACAAAAGAAAACTGAGCCAATTGTTGAAGCTCCGATTGTGGATAAAACCAAGACTACTACAACAGTTTCCACCACAGTTGTTTCTACCAGTGAAACCGAAGTTCCTGAGCAGGCCAAGAAATCTGAAGAGCCAGAAGAACGAAAGACCCCGTTGGCACCATTTAAGGACGTAGAGGACATTGAAGAAACTGTCTTAGTTCAGGCTGAAACTATCGTGAAGACCAATAAGAGTTCTGAAAAGGAAGACGAGCACGCACAAACAGGCACTGCTCTGGCACCTTTTGAAAATGTCTCTCAGGTTGTAGAGACAGTTGAAAGGGTTCAGAAGGAGGTTCCAGTTGAAGACACTACAACATTATATGAAACTAAGACGATCACAACAGTCACCACCACCACAGTTACGACTGAAACTTCCAGCGAAACTTCTACTACACCTGAGCCCATTAAACATGAGGAGCCCAAAAAACCAGCATACGCCGGTCTGCCCGTCGACGACTCTTCGAGCTCATGGATGGATGTTCTGGATGAACCCATGAACTTCTCTGATGATGAAGAGGAACCAGTTCCAGAGCCGCAAAAGGAAGTAACTCTCGTCGAAGAAGTAATAAAGCCTGAGCCAATTGTCGAAGCTCCGGTTGTGGATGAAGCCAAGAGTATCACAACAGTTACTACCACAGTGGTTACTAGTGAGTCTACCAGAGAAAAGGATGTTCCTGAGGAACCCAAGAAGGCTGAGGAACCGGAGAAGAAACCTGAGGAGCCCAAGAAACCAGCATACGCCGGTCTGCCCGTCGACGACTCTTCTAGCTCATGGATGGATGTTCTTGATGAACCCATGAACTTCTCTGATGATGAAGAGGAACCAGTTCCAAAGCCACAAAAGGAAATAACTCTCGTCGAAGAAGTAGTCAAGCGTGAGCCAATTGTCGAAGCTCCGTTTGTGGATGAAGCCAAGACTGTCACAACAGTTACCACCACAGTGGTTAGTACTGAGTCTACCAGTGAAATCGCTATTTCTGACGTACCCATGAAAGTTGAGGAACCAGAGAAGAAACCTGAGGAGCCCAAGAAACCAGCATACGCCGGTCTGCCAGTCGACGACTCTTCAAGCTCATGGATGGATGTACTGGATGAACCCATGAACTTCTCTGACGATGAAGAAGAACCAGTTCCTCAGCCACAAAAGCAAGTGACGCTTATCGAAGAAGCGGTGAAGCCTGAGCTAATTGTTGAAGCTCCGGTTGTGGATGAAACCAAGATTATCACAACAATTACCACCACAGTGGTTGCTACTGAGTCTACCAGTGAAACCGATGTTCATGAGCAAGCTAAGAAATCTGATCAAGCCAGAACAAAAGCCCGAGGAACAAAAGACACCGTTGGCACCATTTAAAGACGTAGAGGACATTAAAGAATCTGACTTAGTTAATGTTGAAACTGTCGTCGAGACCAATAAGGATGCTGAAATGGATGACAAGCAACCAGAATTAAGCACTCCATTGGCTCCTTTTGAAAATACGTCACAGATTGTAAAGACAGTTGAAGTGGTTCAGAAGGAGGTACCGGTGGAGGAGTTTACAACTGTGAATGAAACTAAGACGATCACAACAGTCACCACCACCACAGTTACCACTGAATCTTCCAACGAAACTTCTACTTCTGCTGAGCACAAGAAACCTGAGGAGCCCAAGAAACCCGCATATGCCGGTCTGCCCGTCGACGACTCTTCAAGCTCATGGATGGATGTTCTGGATGAACCCATGAATTTCTCTGATGATGAAGAGGAACTACCTGCTCAGCCAGAAAAGAAGGTTACATTCGTGGAAGAAGTCAAGACTGAGCCGATTGTTGAAACCCCGATTTTTGCTGAAAACAAGACAATTAGAAGCATCTCTACTGTTACCAAGGAAGCAAATACCGAAACTTCTATCCCATTAGATGGCAAGCACGTTGAGAAACCTGAAATCAAGCCTTTACCTCCTCATGTGTGGGAACTGCACTCGTCGTATGCTGATGTCTTAAGGCATACTCTTGATTTCATAAGTTTAGAAAAGAAAAATGTGGAAGTCCCAACTGAAAACAAAGTGGATAATAAACAAACAAAAGAATCAGAAACAATTCCGGAAGTCCTGAAAAAAACAAAAACCAAGAAGGAAAAACAATCGAAAAAGCCTAAAGAAGTTCCCATTCTGAGTCCTGAAGACGAAGTGCAACCAAACAAAAAGGAATCGCCAAAGGAAGAAATTACGACCTCTTGGTCATCAATGGTTGAAGAAGATTTGAATAATAAATTTGAAGCAAATGTTATGAGTAACACTTTGTGGTCTTCCGTTGTCCGACAAGGTGTTCAGGAACCTTTCACAAAAATAACAACCGACATTGAAGAAGCTGAAGAAATCCCTACTCAGCAACCTGAACAGCAGAACATTCCCGAATTTATTTTGCGCGAACAGAACTCTACAGTGGTTGATAAGCACAAGAAACAAAAGCCAAAGAAGGAAAAGAAACCAGCTAAAATGGAAACTGAAGTTGAGGTGGTTACACCTATTCCAGAGGTAAACACTTATAGCGATGATGGTAAAATTGTGTACGAACCAGAACAACTTCAATTAGCTGCTGAAAATTCTGCGCCACAACCTATGTCATGGTCATCCATAGTCGCACAGACTGTGGCTGTCACTTCACAAGCTACTGAAACAAAAGTTCCTGAAAAACAAAATGAACCAATTAAATCTAAAGTGGTGCAAGACTTCATCAATCAGGAACAAACCTTCTCAACTGCTGTTAATGGCAAACACAAGAAGCAAAAGGCAAGGAAGGATAAGAAATCGAAACAAGAAAACATTCCAGCCCAAGAACCTGTAACTATTGTTTCTGAAAAAGAAAAGCAGCAGTTGAGTCCTGATGTTACAGAGGAAGTTGAATCAGCGCCATCCCACTCTTGGTCATCGATCGTTTCACAGCCATCTCAGCCAATGTCCTGGTCAGCTATAGTTTCTCAGGACGAAGACTCAAGCTCAGAGGCAAAACATATTCATATCAAGACAGAGGAAAAGCCTAAGAAGCAACAGGCAAAGAAGGAAAAGAAACCTAAGGTGGATCCTGTTAAAGAGCCAGAAGTTGAGCTTGTCGTTTCTGAACCTGTTGTTGAACCCATTGTTGAGCCTGTGGTCGAAGTAACCACTATTGTTGAAGAAGTTTCTCCTGAGCCACAACCGGAACCCACTCCAGTTAATGAAGTAGCCCCTTCGCAACCTCTTTCCTGGTCGTCCATCGTTTCCCAGACGGAAGTCACCACGACAGTAACGGAGACTCGAACCAACGATGCACCTGCAGATCCAAAACCCACAGAAGAGAAACCTAAGAAGCAAAAGGCAAAGAAGGAAAAGAAACCAAAGGTTGATCCTGTTCAAGAGCCAGAAGTTGAGCTTGTCATTCCTGAACCTGTTGTTGAACCCATTGTTGAGCCTGTGGTCGAAGTGACCGCTATTGTTGAAGAAGTTTCTCCTGAGCCACAACCGGAACCCACTCCAGTTAATGAAGTAGCCCCTTCGCAACCTCTTTCCTGGTCGTCCATCGTTTCTCAGACCGAAGTCACCACGACAGTAACGGAGACTCGAACCGACAAGGTACCTGCAGAACCAAAACCCACAGAAGAGAAACCTAAGAAGCAAAAGGCAAAGAAGGAAAAGAAACCTAAGGTTGATCCTGTTCAAGAGCCAGAAGTTGAGCTTGTCGTTCCTGAACCTGTTGTGGAACCCATTGTTGAGCCTGTGGTCGAAGTGACCACTATTGTTGAAGAAGTTTTTCCTGAGCCACAACCGGAACCCACTCCAGTTAATGAAGTAGCCCCTTCGCAACCTCTTTCCTGGTCGTCCATCGTTTCTCAGACCGAAGTCACCACGACAGTAACGGAGACTCGAACCGACAAGGTACCTGCAGATCCAAAACCTACGGAAGAGAAGCCTAAGAAGCAAAAGGCAAAGAAGGAAAAGAAAACTAAGGTTGATCCTGTTCAAGAACCAGAAGTTGAGCTTGTCGTTTCTGAACCTGTTGTTGAACCCATTGTTGAGCCTGTAGTCGAGGTAACCACTGTCGTTGAAGAAGTTACTCCTGAGCCACAACCGGAACCCACTCCATTTAATGAGGCAGCCCCATCGCAACCTCTTTCCTGGTCGTCCATCGTTTCTCAGACGGAAGTCACCAGGACAGTAACGGAGACTCGAACCGACGATGTACCTGCAGATCCAAAACCTACGGAAGAGAAGCCTAAGAAGCAAAAGGCAAAGAAGGAAAAGAAACCTAAGGTTGATCCTGTTCAAGAGCCAGAAGTTGAGCTTATCGTTCCTGAACCTGTCGTAGAACCCATTGTTGAGGTGCCTGTGGTCGAGGTGACCACTGTCGTTGAAGAAGTTTCTCCTGAGCCACAACCGGAACCCACTCCAGTTAATGAAGTAGCCCCTTCGCAACCTCTTTCCTGGTCGTCCATCGTTTCTCAGACCGAAGTCACCACGACAGTAACGGAGACTCGAACCGACAAGGTACCTGCAGAACCAAAACCCACAGAAGAGAAACCTAAGAAGCAAAAGGCAAAGAAGGAAAAGAAACCTAAGGTTGATCCTGTTCAAGAGCCAGAAGTTGAGCTTGTCGTTCCTGAACCTGTTGTGGAACCCATTGTTGAGCCTGTGGTCGAAGTGACCACTATTGTTGAAGAAGTTTTTCCTGAGCCACAACCAGAACCCACTCCAGTTAATGAAGTAGCCCCTTCGCAACCTCTTTCCTGGTCGTCCATCGTTTCTCAGACCGAAGTCACCACGACAGTAACGGAGACTCGAACCGACAAGGTACCTGCAGATCCAAAACCTACGGAAGAGAAGCCTAAGAAGCAAAAGGCAAAGAAGGAAAAGAAAACTAAGGTTGATCCTGTTCAAGAACCAGAAGTTGAGCTTGTCGTTTCTGAACCTGTTGTTGAACCCATTGTTGAGCCTGTAGTCGAGGTAACCACTGTCGTTGAAGAAGTTACTCCTGAGCCACAACCGGAACCCACTCTATTTAATGAGGCAGCCCCATCGCAACCTCATTCCTGGTCGTCCATCGTTTCTCAGACGGAAGTCACCAGGACAGTAACAGAGACTCGAACCGACGATGTACCTGCAGATCCAAAACCTACGGAAGAGAAGCCTAAGAAGCAAAAGGCAAAGAAGGAAAAGAAAACTAAGGTTGATCCTGTTCAAGAACCAGAACTTGAGCTTGTCGTTTTTGAACCTGTTGAACCCATTGTTGAGCCTGTAGTCGAGGTAACCACTGTCGTTGGAGAAGTTACTCCTGAGCCACAACCGGAACCCACTTCAGTTGGTGAGGTAGCCTTATCGCAACCTCTTTCCTGGTCATCCATCGTTTCTCAGGCGGAAGTCACCACGACAGTAACGGAGACTCGAACCGACGATGTACCTGCAGAACCAAAACCCACAGAAGAAAAACCTAAGAAGCAAAAGGCACAGAAGGAAAAGAAACCTAAGGTTGATCCTGTTCAAGAGCCAGAAGTTGAGCTTGTCGTTCCTGAACCTGTCGTTGAACCAATTGTTGAGGTGCCTGGTGTTCAAGAACCAGTTGTCGAGGTGACCACTGTCGTTGAAGAAGTTAGTGAGGCAGCCCCATCGCAACCTCTTTCCTGGTCGTCCATCGTTTCTCAGACAGAAGTCACCACGACAGTAACGGAGACTCGAACCGACGATGTACCTGCAGATCCAAAACCTACGGAAGAGAAGCCTAAGAAGCAAAAGGCAAAGAAGGAAAAGAAACCTAAGGTTGATCCTGTTCAAGAACCAGAAGTTGAGCTTGTCGTTTCTGAACCTGTTGTTGAACCCATTGTTGAGCCTGTAGTCGAGGTAACCACTGTCGTTGAAGAAGTTACTCCTGAGCCACAACCGGAACCCACTCTAGTTAGTGAGGCAGCCCCATCGCAACCTCTTTCCTGGTCGTCCATCGTTTCTCAGACGGAAGTCACCACAACAGTAACGGAGACTAGAACCGACGATGTACATGCAGATCAAAAAACCGCAGAAGAGAAGCCCAAGAAGCAAAAGACAAAGAAGGAAACGAAAGCTAAGGTTGATCCTGTTCAAGAGCCAGAAGTTGAGCTTATCGTTCCTAAACCTGTCGTTGAACCCATTTTTGAGGTGCCTGTGGTCGAGGTGACCACTGTCGTTAAAGAAGTGAATCCTGAGCCACAATCGGAACCCACTCCAGTTAATGAAGTTGCCCCTTCGCAACCTCTTTCCTGGTCGTCCATCGTTTCTCAGACGGAAGTCACGACGACAGTAACGGATACTCGAACCGACGATGTACATGCAGATCAAAAAACCACAGAAGAGAAGCCTAAGAAGCAGAAGGCAAAGAAGGAAAAGAAACCTAAGGTTGATCCTGTTCAAGAACCAGAAGTTGAGCTTGTCGTTTCTGAACCTGTTGTTGAACCCATTGTTGAGCCTGTGGTCGAGGTAACCACTGTCGTTGGAGAAGTTACTCCTGAGCCACAACCGGAACCCACTTCAGTTGGTGAGGTAGCCCCATCGCAACCTCTTTCCTGGTCGTCCATCGTTTCTCAGACGGAAGTCACCACGACAGTAACGGAAACTCGAACCGACGATGTACCTGCAGAACCAAAACCCACAGAAGAGAAACCTAAGAAGAAAAAGGCAAAGAAGGAAAAGAAACCTGAGGTTAATCCTGTTCAAGAGCCAGAAGTTGAGCTTATCGTTCCTGAACCTGTCGTAGAACCCATTGTTGAGGTGCCTGTGGTCGAGGTGACCACTGTCGTTAAAGAAGTGACTCCTGAGCCACAATCGGAACCCACTCCAGTTAATGAAGTTGCCCCTTCGCAACCTCTTTCCTGGTCGTCCATCGTTTCTCAGACGGAAGTCACCACGACAGTCATGGATACTCGAACCAACGATGTACCTACAGAACCAAAACCCACAGAAGAGAAACCTAAGAAGCAAAAGGCAAAGAAGGAAAAGAAACCAAAGGTTGATCCTGTTCAAGAACCAGAAGTTGAGATTGTCGTTCCTGAACCTGTCGTTGAACCCATTGTTGAGGTGCCTGGTGTTCAAGAACCAGTGGTCGAGGTGACCACTGTCGTTGAAGAAATTGCTCCTGAGCCACAACCGGAACCCACTTCAGTTGGTGAGGTAGCCTTATCGCAACCTCTTTCCTGGTCGTCCATCGTTTCTCAGACCGAAATCACCACGACAGTAACGGAAACTCGAACCGACGATGTACCTGCAGATCAAAAACCCACAGAAGAGAAGCCCAAGAAGCAAAAGGCAAAGAAGGAAAAGAAAACTAAGGCTGATCCTGTTCAAGAACCAGAAGTTCAGCTTTTCGTTCCTGAACCTGTTGTGGAACCCATTGTTGACCCTGTGGTTGAGGTGACCACTGTTGTTGAAGAAGTTACTCCTGAGCAGCAGGTAGCCTTATCGCAACCTGTTTCCTGGTCATCCATCGTTTCTCAGACGGAAGTCACCACAACAGTAACGGAGAATGGAACCGACGATGTACCTGCAGAACCAAAACCCACAGAAGAGAAACCTAAGAAGCAAAAGGCAAAGAAGGAAAAGAAACCTAAGGTTGATCCTGTTCAAGAGCCAGAAGTTGAGCTTGTCGTTCCTGAACCTGTCGTTGAACCCATTGTTGACGTGCCTGGTGTTCATGAACCAGTTGTCAAGGTGACCACTGTCGTAGAAGAAATTGCTCCAGAGCCACAACCGGAACCCACTCCAGTTAGTGAGGCAGCCCCATCGCATCCTCTTTCCTGGTCGTCCATCGTTTCTCAGACGAAAGTCACCACGACAGTAACGGAGACTCGAACCGACGATGTACCTGCAGATCCAAAATCTACGGAAGAGAAACCTAAGAAGCAAAAGGCAAAGAAGGAAAAGAAACCTAAGGTTGCTCCTGTTCAAGAGCCAAAAGTTGAGCTTGTCGTTCCTGAACCTGTCGTTGAACACATTGTTGAGGTGCCTGGTGTTCAAGAACCAGTGGTCGAGGTGACCACTGTCGTTGAAGAAATTGCTCCTGAGCCACAACCGGAACCCACTTCAGTTGGTGAGGTAGCTTTATCGCAACCTCTTTCCTGGTCGTCCATCGTTTCTCAGACCGATATCACCACGACAGTAACGGAAACTCGAACCGACGATGTACCTGCAGATCAAAAACCCACAGAAGAGCAGCCCAAGAAGCAAAAGGCAAAGAAAGAAAAGAAAACTAAGGCTGACCCTGTTCAAAAACCAGAAGTTGAGTTTTTCGTTCCTGAACCTGTTGTGGAACCCATTGTTGAGCCTGTGGTTGAGGTGACCACTTTCGTTGAAGAAGTTACTCCTGAGCAGCAGGTAGCCTTATCGCAACCTCTTTCCTGGTCATCCATCGTTTCTCAGACGGAAGTCACCACGACAGTAACGGAGACTGGAACCGACGATGTACCTGCAGAACCAAAACCCACAGAAGAGAAGCCCAAGAAGCAAACGGCAAAGAAGGAAAAGAAATCTAAGGTTGACCCTGTTTCAGAACCAGATGTTGAGCTTTTTGTTTCTGTACCTGTTGTTGAACCGATTTTTGAGCCTGTGGTCGAGGTAACCACTGTCGTCGAAGAAGTTACACCTGAGCCACAACCGGAACCCACTCCAGTTAGTGATGTAGCCCCATCGCAACCTCTTTCTTGGTCGACTATCGTTTCTCAGACGGATGTCAGCACAACAGTAACGGAGACTCGAACCGACGATGTACCTGCAGATCCAAAACCCACAGAAGAGAAGCCTAAGAAGCAAAATGCAAAGAAGGAAAAGAAAGTTAAGGTTGATCCTGTTCAAGAGACAGAAGTTAAACATATTGTGGTTCCAAAACCGATTGATGAGGTGACCACTGTCATCGAAGACGTTGCTCCTGAGTCAAAACCCGAACCTACTCCATCTTTGCCACCATTAGCATTTTCCTGGTCATCTATCGTTTCTCAGTCGGTTGAAGTTCCACCAACCGTTACCAAAATCTCTCCGAAATCTCAACAGGACTTTATTATCCAAGAACAAAACTTTTCAAGATCTGGATATAGTGTGCCAAATAAAACTACAAAATCTACCGATAAATCAAGTGGTGACATTTTTGTAGAGGATAAGGCATTTGAAAACAATGTGATTTCAGAAAATACTGCTGAAATTGTTCCCGCCCAAATAACGGAACCTCCTCAAGCCGATTCAGTTTCACCTCCCAGCTTATCTTGGTCATCGATTGTAACGAAAGAAATTATCGAAACAGAAACCGTTACAGAAAACATACAGAAAACTCATACTTCTCAGCACATTAACGACTTTATTGCTCAAGAACAGAACTACTCAACGGCTGTTAATGATAAAGCAAAGAAACAGAAACCAAGGAAGGAAAAGAAAATTGTGCAACCTATTCAACAGCCGATAGTGGAAAATGTTTCAGCACCTAAAGATCAGCAAAGAGAAAGAGTTTCTGATTCTGTTTCTGTGCCCTTGCCCGCGCAGACTTTGTCATGGTCTTCAATTGTTTCTCATAACATCGATTTGACTCCGACATTCACGGAAACGCGAGTCACTGAAACCGTTGATGTGATACCAAGACCTCAAGAGGTTAAAGAATTTTCACCTCATGCACAGGAGCAAAAACAGGAGAAACAAAAGCCGAAAAAGGAGAAGAAACTGCCTAAGACGTCTGCACCCGATTTTACTGAAAAACAAATTATCGAAACTTCCGTCACGTACGATAAGGTTCCAGAAACTGAACGAGTTTCCGGGTCGTCATCGCCCGAATTTAGCATACAGTTACCCACAGAAAACAAACCATCTGTATGGTCATCATCGGAAACCTATGCCGAAGTGGTCAAGAAGTCAGGTTACACCAACAATACAAACATAAAGTATCAAAACATTGAATCGATCGAACCAAAAGTAAAGAGTCAAAAGCAGCTGCCCTCCGCAGTCCAGACAGAGGATGTTGTTGTGGAGTTCCCCGACCCCATCATTCCCTCAATTGAAGAACCAGAAACAGACGACTATCATCAGAAATCCTCCCATTTGTCTTGGAAGGATCTGATAGATGAGGAGGAAGACGAGCCTTCAGAGTTCTGGCACCAGGAAGAATCAATTGCCATCGAAACTCAACCACAAGAACCAGTACAAGAGAGACGTTCAAGAATTAGCGATAAACCAGAAATACAGATCACTGAAGTATATACTGAAACTCAGCAACAGCGCGAGATTGATCAAGGGTTCCTGGAAATTGCTTCAAAGAAGAGGAATCGATCTCGCTCTCGCTCGCAGCAATCGCAGGTTTCAACGGTTGATGAGAAACCACAAAAGAAGAAATCAAAGAAACCAAAGGATAAATCTCAATCCGTACATACTCAGAAGACAGTGGAACTAGCTCAGGAAATACAACCCTTTACGGAAACTGAACCAGTTTTGGAAGAAAAGACTTCTCCAGCACCGGTACGGGAACCGTCTCCTGCTCCTTCTCTTAACACCACTGGTATGTCATGGGCTGCTATTGCCGCGTATAACGTACCTGAACCTGCCCAACAAATTCGACCCCTTCAAGTTGAGGCGAAGTCGACTACCGTTGAAGATGTGAAGAAGTTAAGAAAGGAACATACAGTTAGCATTCCAATTACTTTGGAAGCCTCTGAACCGAAGACTAAAAAACCAAAGCAAAAGTCCAAACGTAAATCCCCCACAGATGTCGTTGACTTCATAAATGCGGAAAAATCGAGCCATCAAGTGATTGTTCCCGAACCTGTTCAAAAAGAAAAAATAGCTGTCGAGAAAACTCCTCTTGCTCCTTTCGCAATTGATACGGAGCCGAAAATTGAGGTGACTGTTGACAAGGAACCAGTTCCACAGCCACAAAAGGAAGTGACGGTTAAAGAAGTAGTCGTAGAGCCTATTGTTGAAGCTCCGATTGTGGATGAAACCAAGACTATCACAACCGTTACCACCACAGTTGTCACTACTGAGTCTACGGGTGAAATCGATGTTCCGGAACAACCCAATAAAACTGAACAGCCAGAACAAAGTCCCGAGGAACAAAAGACACCATTGGCACCTCTTAAGGACGTAGAGGACGTTGAAGAAATCGACTTGGTCAAGGTTGCAACTGTCGTGGAGACTAAGAATGCTGAAAAGGAAGACAAGAAACCTCAACTAAGCACTCCCCTTGCACCTTTCGAAAATGTCTCTAAGGTTGCAGAAACAGTTGAAGTGGTTCAGAAAGAGATTCCTGATGACGAGTCCATAACAGTAAATGATACCCAAACGATCACAACAGTTACCACTACCACTGTTACCACTGAAACTTCCAACGAATCTTCTACTACAGTTAATCTCAAAAAACATGAGGAGCCCAAGAAGCCAGCATACGCCGGTCTGCCCGTCGACGACTCTTCGAGCTCATGGATGGATGTTCTGGATGAACCCATGAACTTCTCTGATGATGAAGAGGAACGAGTTCCAGAGCCGCAAAAGGAAATGACGTTTGTCGAAGAAGTGGTGAAGCCTGAGCCAATTCTGGATGAATCCAAGACTGTCACAACAGTTACCACAACAGTGGTTACTTCTGAGTCCACTAGTGAAATCGCTATTCCTGACGAACCCAAGAAGGCTGAGGAACCAGAGAAGAAACCTGAAGAGCCCAAGAAACCAGCATATGCCGGTCTGCCAGTCGACGACTCTTCAAGCTCATGGATGGATGTCCTGGATGAACCCATGAACTTCTCTGACGATGAAGAAGAACCGGTTCCCGAGCCACAAAAGGAAGTGACGCTTGCCGAAGAAGTAGTCAAACCTGAACCAACTCTTGATGAATCCAAGACTGTCACAACAGTTAACACCACAGTGGTTTGTACTGAGTCTACCAGTATTCCTGAGCAACCGAAGAAGGCTGAGGGACCTGAGAAGAATCCTGAGGAGCCCAAGAAACCCGCATATGCCGGTCTGCCCGTAGACGACTCTTCCAGCTCTTGGATGGATGTTCTGGATGAACCCATGAGCTTCTCTGATGATGAGGAAGTTGTGGAAACTGGAGAAACTGATAAGGTTGACATACCAGAACATTCACGCACTCCATTGGCACCCTTTAACTATGATGCTAAGGTAGAAGAGACAGGTGATGTGGTTCAGAAGACAACCGAAGCTATTGAGGTCATTGTTGGAAATGTTACTACTGAATCTGGAAACACTCCTCTGGCGCCTTTCGAAGTGCTTCCCGAGTCTGCAGGTAAAGACGATGCCTTCATTTGTGAGACATCCTATTGGTCAGCAACACTTAAACCAGGTCAGAAACCTACAACAACGATTGAGACAACCGAAACAAAAACTGAGGAAAGCCAACCCATTAAGGTGACTATTCCAATCGAGGATGTTATTGAGGAGGTTGCGGTCAAGTCACCCACCGACCAGCCTACAACTTGGTCAGCAATCGTTCAAACCGAGACAACAGTTTTCCCAACAGAAGAAAAAGAGGACAAAACTCCCGATTGGTCTACTGTTGTTGTGAGCAAAACTACCGACTTCCAGAAGCCTAAGCAAATGGATGTTGTGGTAGATTCGGAGAACGTAACAACAACGACAACAACTTATGTGACAACAACAGTGACGACTCACAAGGATGTTCCCGTTGTGGAGGATAATTCCCAAACCACATCTTATGTGTCAACTGTGGTAACCAGCCATAAAAATGAGCTGGCATTGGAAACAGAACCTTCGATACAAATTGAACCTAGTAAACCTGAAAACCTTTACGAGAATCTGTATCGCGAAGGATTCAAATTGCATCCTCAATACGACTTGCTGCAGGGACTATATCAACAATCCCAGGTATGCGTAACGGAGGAACCCGCTGTAGTGGAACCCAAAGAAGAAGTTCCTTCTATAGAAGATTATGTGATAATTGAACCCGAAGCGATACCCCAAATCAATTCCGAAATCCTTGCTCTCAATCTTTATCTTGACCAGCCCAAGTCGCATGTAGACGTTGACACCATTAGCCAGTTGATCACACTTGAAAAACCAGTTGAGGTTATTGTAAAATCAGAACCTGTAGTGGAGGAGACCAAAGTAGTAGAAACTGTAGAAACTTCTACTGAGCCCCTTGCTGATGAACCCCTTGCTGATGAACCTCTTGCCCCAGAAGCAACCCAACCCCAACCCCAAGCGACTAGGCCTAGCGATCTGCTCTGGCACCTCAGCCAGGACGATTTCGTCAAACTTATCAATCACTATAGGCAAACGGTAAGCGATGCTTATGCATTGCTGGCAAGGACAACCACAGACGAGACGAAAGCTCAGGAAACTCAAGACGATAAGCAAAAGACTGACAGCATTACAGAAACTGTAGTGACAACCACGACAACTACGATTACGGATCGCGTTGTAGAAAAGACTGAACCAGAAGCATCGTCCTTACCAATCATTCCTACCGCCCAACCACTGGCGACACCAACGGTTGGCAACCTCGATCAGTTGCGTCTGAATCTGTATCTGGACGATTGGCAGCCGGCCAGTGTCGATGCAGATTTGGCCGACAATTTGGTCGACAGACTGAAACGTGATGATGTTGCCAGTAGTGAAGCGGAATTTGACAAAGACAAGAAGCAACCCGATGGTGAAATTAAAAAACCAGATGGTGCCTCTGAAATACCAGACAAGGACGATCATGACAGTGACGATGACGACGACGACGATGATGACGACGAGGGGGGTAAGCCGACTGTGCCAGAAATTCGCAAGCCAAACGACGACGATGATAAACCGAACGACAAGGATCCTGGTAGTGGTAGTAGTGGTAATGTTACCCCCACACCCGAGCACGATGCCCAGTATGGTCAGAACCGTAGCTGCTCATCGGAGTATAGGTCTACTGATCTTCCTGGTGGAGTGGGTCATTGGCGAGATGACAGTACTTATCTGGCTTTAGAAGCCGAACAGCCTCAGGTTAAATTAGGAAATGAACCAGCCGCAGCACCCATAATTTCGGGTGTTGAATCTGTACTAACCGAAACTAAAACCACAAGTCCCGCCTCAGTCCCAGACTCAGCCCCTGAAACCAGTCCCAGTACAACTACTAGTCCCCTTAACGTTGCAAACGCACTAATCCAATTGGCAAGCGCCACAACTCACACGCTGTCCGCCAAGGCGAACGCAGCAGCAACAGCAACACATGCAGCAGCGCTGGCAGCAACCAGTGCTCTATTGCCAGTTGCAACGGCCGTAGTTGATAAGCTAACGGCGACCACACCAGTGGAGACACCATCGGAAACTGCAGAACTTGCTGCCGTAGAGCCAGTGGTTGCACTTGCAACACCGGCAGTAACAGAATCAGCAGCAGCAACACCGCCAGCAACAACACTCACCGAAACGACAACAACTAGCAGCAGTGAAGAGGAGGTGGTCTTGCCCACCGAAAATGTGGGTGTGACAAGGCGCACCACAACAACAACAACAACCGTAACAACAACAACGACTATCGAAACGCCATCGACAACTAGCACCACAACGACAACAACAACCAAAAGCAACAACGATCTGTTGCTGCAACAGCAACGCCAGAAGGTGAACATCACATTGAGCCTTCGTTTATTCATAATTCTAATTTTTGCAGCTTTTCTGTGTGGTTTCGGTATTTGTTCATGGCTTTTATACGGCAATCGTTCGTGTTGCTGTTGTGGCCAGATTCCGGCCAACACATGCTGCTGCAGCGGCAGCACACTGCCAAATGCTGTATCAGCAGATCCGGGAAATTGTCCGCCGTAAAGTTGGTCTGGGTCTGTTCACAATGGCAATGACAAAAATGCATTTGCCTCTAACTACTAACGTAACTTAATTATTGAAAACATGTTTGATTTTTTATGTTCGACTTAAGTTTTTCATTTTTATTATTTTTGTAATGTATGTGTTGTTTTGCTAAATGCATCCAACAAGCTTATGTTTTGTATACCTAAAACAGAAAGTTACTATTATCTTTATAGAAGCACACCTAACTTAGACGTAATCGAAACAAAATATGTAGATTTGTTGTAACTTAGTTCCTTCTACTAATTGATATTAACCTTTGTAAAAGCCCAGTAATCAGAGACTACTACTCATGGTAGTGATAATAATAAAATCTATATTAACCAACTTGCACGTTTTAATACTGAGCTGATTTATATACCCCCCAGCGTATATGTAGTTTTCTTCGCAGATTTTTAACACACGAGAGCACTCAAAGACAAACACACACTCAGAGCACACCACACGATCACGCACATAACGAGCACTTTTCCTGCCCCCAACACACGTACAGTGTGTTGCAATTACCGAGTTCCCAAATGCAGAAAATGTCCATTATGTGTAACGCACGTATATATGAGTTCATTGCCTTGCCTACCGCCCTGCTATCAAGAATTTGCGCGCAGAAGAGCATATTCTTCCCTGCCATAGCTATAAATACCCAACCTAACCGTTCCGATCCGATCCGATATGTGCGATCCATGCGGTGCAGGCCGTCTTACTTGCTCGAAAATAGTCTCCCGTTTATTTTACAATTTTTAGTCTGCAATGTGCAATGAACGCGTTGAGTTTGACTGCGAAACCCGAAGAAGTATTTCAAAAATCTCAATGTTTTCCTAGTGCCAATGTGTGTGTAGTCTAATAGGAAAAAAAAACAAATATAAAAAACAAGATCTGAAAAACATTATTTTCTAGGATTCTATTTTGTAAATAAATTGTGAAAAGAAAGTAAGTTTAATTACCACTCCAGCCTTGCATTTAATTTTTCCAACTTTACCTCAAGACAGACTTTAAGAAACTGATTTTTTTTTTTTGGTACTTTTGTCTATCTGCTGTCTATATATGCCTATATCATAAAGCTGACATTTTAAAATAAGATAATTAATAAATCCAATTGCATGTGTTACGTTACGTTAAACGAAGTTAAACCTAAGAGCTAGAGTTATTTTTAAAAGCATTTATTGGCATTCCCAAAAAGAAAAGATTCCATCTCGTTGTATGGCTGTGCATTGCATCCATTTGAATTTTATATACCTTTATATATATTCTACTTCATGTACATATGTTGTATGTGTATAGAAGCCGGCAACAAATATTTACCTTTATATATTTCGTTCCTTAGCAATAATCATCCAAAATTTGCAATCTTTATTAATATTAACACACTTTCTACACCATCTCCCCCAAAAACAACAACAACATCGCACATATGCGACACTATTTTAAAAAACTCTAGGAACTAATTACGCAAGATCTCGACGAACTGCTCCAATCGCTTTCGAGCGTCGAGGATGGCATCGCGAACATGAACCAGAGCAGCCTGGAGGGCATGCTACAAGGACTGAAGGTAATATTTAATCTAAGGCATAAATAACACACCACCTTTTTGGATGCTTGACTGGGCATGTACATTCAACGTAGCTAGTTTAATTTATGAATTAAAATCTACTCACCACTTGTACATAACTTTTTGTAAACGATTATTGGATGCTGGCGTGTGTCAGAGAATTTTAATAACTCAATCGCATCACTCCATAAAGAATCGTACATTTTTTGTTAGGTTTTCTTTTGTTTCGAACAGAACTTTTTATTGTTGTTAGTTTTGTCCAGTTAGTAGTAGTCTTACCTCTTGCTGTCTACGTATCACATGTTGTAGGCCCTACAATCCTATACAATGATTACAATTTGTACGTACATTTGCAACAAACATATTTCTCAAACTTGTATTTTGTACGCCCGATGTCCAGCTAATCCAAAGCAATCTTGAGGTGTACGAAAAGGACGCCAACCAGTTGAAGGCCCAGGCAAAGGCATTACCCACGGATCCAGCCACCGAACGTTTACTCAACGAGACCGTGGATCGCATTGACTTGCTACTACGCCGTACTCAGCAAGGCGTCACCATGATAGCGGTAAGTAAATTAAGTTAAAACTTTGTAGTAAAATTTCTTATTTTCCCTAATCTTATCCAGAGTGCTATGCATGGTCAGAAGAAGCGCCAGCAGGAGATTGACGAGTACCAGCAACATCTTCTGGAACTAGAACGCTGGATCAATGAGGTATCCGCAGAGCTGGCTTCCTTCGAACCCACCTCGGATAGCAGCACAGATGAGCAAGTTCTCAAGTCGCAGGTGGAGAGGAGCCAGCAGTTATTGCGCACCCTTAAGGATCGCCAGCAGTCCATGGAGGATCTGGTGGAGCAGACACGTCAGCTGCAATCCCAACCCGATGTTGCTCCCTTGGCTGATACGCTGATGGAGCAGCTGCAGAGCATAATAACCGTTCTGCGGGAACAGATCACAGTGGCCACCAAGCGCATCTTTACCATCGAAAAGCGCATCGTGGACTTGCGCAAGGCAAAGACCGAGGAGGCACAACGCCAACGTGTGCTTGCTGATTCACTCATCAAGCCACCAACGGAAGTTCCGGCGAGTCCAGAGCCACATGAATCCATTGAGTCCAACGAGAATACCATCGACTCCAGTTCTATGCCCGAAGAAGAGATCAAGCCCAGTGGTGTGTATGTGGAGACGCAGACATCGCTTAGCCTGCAGCAGCCCCCAGTTCAGGTGGTGACCACCACCACTGTGGAGGCGCAGACAAGCTTCAAGGAGCCAGCTGTGGAAACCGCAGAGGTGGCTCTGCAAACCCAAAAGGAGCGTTCACCAACCGAGAACATTATGGTAACCCAGACGGTGCAGCATGGCCAGGAGACCATACAGATTGACACCACTCGCAACAAGGATGTGCCCACTGAGCCCGAAGATGTCCAGATTGAAGCACGCTACCATCAACGACCCCAGGGCGATGTGGATCGCGCTACTGAGCTGATCCTGAAGAATGTACCTCAAGCATTCGAAACCACTTTCGTGGAGCCAGATGAGACGACCACGGAAGTAATTGTGGGTCCAGATGGCACCAAGCACATTGTGCTTAAGAAGGTCACTAAAACCCGCCAACAGATTGTGCAGCAGCAACAGATCAGTTCGATTGAGACAATCAGCGATTCAGATGGCAACATTGAGGTGCACTCTACTGGTCAGATCAATCTGGAGAATGTGCACACCACCGACACCAAGGCTGATCCTGAGGAGGGCAGTGTCCACACTGTAATTACGCAGCAAACACGTGGTGCTGTTGTGGATTCCTCACAGCCCGAAGGTGTGATCCTGAAGGAGTTCGAAACTGAGCCCACTGTTGAGACGTACGAAGAAGTGATTGCTCCAGGATCTCAGGCGCAACTGATTTCAGTGCAGGCTGGGGATGTGCAAACTCAAGGCACCATACGAGCAGTAGTTCAGCAGGTTACCCGCAAGGTGATCCGTAAGACGCGTAAAATCATTAAGCGCGTGGTGATTATCGATGGAAAGGAACACATTACCGAGGAGGTGGTGGAGGAGCCAGAGGAGGTCGAGATAACCGAGGAGGAGACAGCCCCGCATATTAATGTGAATATTGTGCGAACCGTTGATGGAAAGGTGGTAACCGAAGAGGAGTTCCAGCGATTGATGCAGGAGCCCGGAGTTCAGATCGAAGAAGTTGCCACGGATCTGTGCAAGCCAACAGCAGCAGAACCGCAGCAACAGGTATTTGATATTGAGTCTACCCAAGTCACCACCACCACAAGAACTACAACAGCAACCACACAAGAACAAGAACAAGAACAGCCAGAACAACAGACACTAAAACCAACAACAACAGTAACGACTAAAGAAGCACCTGTAGAGTTGCCAGCACCTCAAGTAGATGTTGAACAACCAGTAGAAGTTGCAACTACCAGTCCCGTTAATGTTCCAACAGCGGATGTAGTTGAGCCTAAGGACTCCTCAGCTCCAACTACTTCCCCAGCTATTGTAGAGATCGAAACTGTGGTTGAAGATATCAACGAGATTTGGCCACTGGAACATCATCTCAAACCCACCAACATTGACTTCTCCCAGCACATCGAAGAATTAGCACCAGCAGCACCAGAAACCAAAACAGAGACTGAAGCCTCCATGCCAGTGGAGGAAATTTGGCCGACTAGCCCAGAAACCGGAAACTCATTGACCCTGGAACACTACGAATTCGAGCCACAATCACCACGTGACGAGAGCACAAAATCTGATGAAATTAAGCCCCAAGAGACTGAACCTGAATCGGTTGCTGAGATTAAGCCAGAGCCCATTACCACTGGAAGTATTACCATTACCAAGACTACAACCACCATTACAAGCTCCACGGAATTGCCAGAGGATACTATTGTGCAGAATCTGTCTGCAGATGAATCGCAGCCTCCTATATCCAAGACCAAGACTGATATTCAGAGCTTCCTAGAAGCCGAACAGACGCTGGCCGCAGCTCTTAAAGAACAATCTTCAACACCAACTGAAACATCTATTGTTGAAATTGTCCCGACTCAGCCTCAGGAAGTTGTCTTTAAGTTGGAGAAGGAACCTGTTCCTGTAGAGACTGAGGAAAAACAACCTGAGCCTTTGCCTGTTTACCCCCAACAGAAATCGGAGGAACTGACAGCCATTGAAGTCATCGAAAAGTCTGAACAGAAGCCAGTAGAGCCAATCCTTGAACAACCGGCTCCTGGACAAATTGACCTGCGTTCCGCCACACAGCTCTTCATATCTGGAGAGGCTGCGGCTGCAACGGCTCCACAGAAAACCTTCAAAATCACCGCCCCCTCCCTGGAGGACAATGGCGATGGTGTATTGAAGGTCGTCCTTGGCAAGGAAAGCACAACCGAGGAGGATACCACAGCTCCAACCACTGGCAAAGTCAGCATGACCATCATTGAGACCGCCGTTGCTCCCGTCACAGACGCCAAGCGGCGTCGAAAGAAAAAGAAGAGAAGAGATACGAAACATGAGGAGGAAGTCGAGCAAGAACAAGAGACTGAGCCGGAGGCGGTGGCCGTTAAGGAGCCTGAGGTTGACTCAGATCTGCCCGTTTCTCCTGAGGATTCGCCACGCGACACCGTGCGTCATGAGTCCATTGTAGAGATCAGTCCCGATAGCGATTTGTCCAGCATTGAGATTGACACGAAGGTGAAGATTGTGGAAGATGCAGTAGTCTCTTCGCCTTCAGAATCACCAAGGGCGCCTTTGGTTGAATTGGTTATTCCCACTGAAGTTTTGGAACTGGCTTTGGTTGAGGATGAGGAACAGCAGACCACACCACGTGTTCCCTCACCCACTGATAAATCCGAAGTCGAGCAGGAAATCAAGTCCGTGCAGACTTCTCCGCAGCATCAACCAACTCTGGATGAGACTGCAGTGCAGACTAGCCTGGAGGTGCAACCAGATAATCAGGAAAACGAATCCCAGACCTTGATTGTTGAGATTACCGAGACAGAGGCCCAAACCACTCCCCGAAGCGAAGAACCACCGGTGGCTGTAGAGATATCTACCACCGAGATTCAAACGGATGTGAGTGGCCAGCCAGCCGAAACTGTTGAGATTTCAAGCCAAACTACTGTGACCACCACCATTGAAAAGGAACTGCAGACCACGCCAAAGGATACGCCCCGCGCACCTGAGCCAGGCAGCAACGATGTGGTGGAATCTCTGGTCCAGGACTTGGTTAAGGATCTGACCACCGATCTGCCAGTGCGTACCACTGAACAGTCTACTGTGACTGAAATTACAACTACCGCTGAGACCCATGTCCAGACTACAACTCCTGAGCCAAGGGAACAAGCTGAAACTATCAAGCCAGAGACTGTTCATGAGGAGACCTCAACGGTGGAACTTGTCCAAGTCGCCGATGGTGAGATGCAAACCACACCTCGTGGAGATCAGCAACCCCCATCGCTGGATGATAACTCTCTGACTGCCACTTCGATATCCGTTTCGGAACCCTACGAACTGGAGGTCAAGACGACAGTGGCCATTCCTGCTGATTCTGATACATCTGTGGCTGAGCCGACGGTCTATGAATACACACAGACCATGCAGTTGCCCAAGCCGGAAAAGAAATCCAAGAAGGACAAGAAGAGGAAGCAGAAGAATGAGCCTGTAGTGGAACAGCAGCTGCCAGAGGAACCACAGATCAGTGTGACTGTAGAAATTGCACCTGAATTGCTCTCCGAGTCAGGAATTATGGTATCCACGAACCAGGAGATTGAAGATGTGCCTCATGTTACACCCGTGGTGGAGACTCCTATTGAACCCGAAGAAGACGGAGCTCCAAAAGCCCAAAGAGTGCAACTTCAAATCACCAAAACTACTGTCTATGATGAGTACCCCGATCTGCCAGTGCACATTACGGAGCAGAACAAGGTGCTTATTGCATCCCAGCAAAGCAAACGATCCGGAGCCGGACCCACATCCTCTGCGGTGACCATTGAAGAGGTCGCCTCACCTACAGAGGAGCTAGTGGTACCTATCACTCCCGGACCGGACAATCTCAGTGGTGAGCCGCATAACATTTGGTTCAGTGCCACCACCAGCGTGGATAAGACACCAATTGAGCTCTCACAGGCTTTGATTATGAGCGAGAGTTTACAGCACTATCCAGGACAACAGAACCGGCAGCAGATCCTAGTCACCACCACCAAAGACGCCATTGGCGACCGCATCAAACACCTTAAGCAGGCTTCGCCGCAGCAGGCAACTCCACTGAGCAACGTCCTCCACTTGGCCACTTTGTCCGAACAGATAAAGGAACTGCCCACGGAGCAGCGCATCTTGGAAATCAACGAGGGTCTACAGGATCTTGATGCTGCCATTAAGAACGGTGACAAAACTGTGATCCAGACCACTGTGATTACGGTCATCGAGAAGGTATCAACGTGGTTGGAGACCATCGAGTACCGTGTGTACCTCATCCGACAGAACTCCAATGAAGGTCCCTCCGAAGAGAAGCTGGACAACTATAACCAACTTAACGAGGAGCTCAGCACCATCAAGCATAATGTCAACCAATTGGAGCGACAGCTGTCCAAGGCTGAGCCGGAGTTGTTGCAATGCGTGGATTCTCTGAAGGATCACGTCGATGCAGTGGAGCAAGTTACGCAACAGAACCAGGTACAGGATAGCAATGATCTGGACAAGTGGCACAGCTTCGAGGTGCTTCTCTACAACGTTTCCACAGTTTTGGCCGACTTGCAGCAGAGCTACGATCATCTGATTAATCAGGAGTATCCTCTATCCGCCAAACTTTCCCAGTTGGATGACTTGGAGCAGCAACATGAGGCGGCACAGCAGCAACTTGCACAGCTCTGCCAAAATGCCCGAGCTTTCCAGCGTGATTTCCCAGGCAAGAAGATGCCGCAGGATGTCCACAATGCCTTCGAGACCAGCAAGAATATTGGCAACAACATCCAGGCAGAACGTGAGCGTGTCCTTCAGTTGCAATCCCTGGCGGAGGAGTACGAGCAGACCCTTAAGGAATTCACCAAAAATCACAGTTCTGGCCGACAAATTGGTTGAGAGCCCGATAGTTTCCAGTTCCCTCGAACAGCTGAACAACGAGGTGCAGAAGCAGAGGAAGTTCTTTGTAAATCTCAGCCACTGTCGTGCCATGTTGGAATCCCTGGAGGAGAACATTGACAGTGAGACTCGCGAAAAGCACTCAGAGTTGCACAAGGAGCTCTACAATAGGGCTACTTGCCTGCTGGACAAGGCTTCCGAAAGGTCATCCAAGCTGGTGCAAGCTGCCTCCCGCTGGACAGTTTTGGAGAAGGGCATGCGAGATGAAATCCAATGGCTGCAGGTGGCTCAACAAAGAGTTCCCGATTTGTCTGCCGTAACATCCGCAGATTATGATCAGTACACCACGCTCTACCAATCTCTGAGCAATGATATCTCGCATCACTATGTGAAGATGACCCAGCTTTCGGGAATAGCCAACAAACTGCAGCTCTTGGTGCAAGCCCCCAATCTCGTAGAGGAAACCAATGAGGCTTTAATCGTTTTGCTTAAACTTCGTGAGGAGGTTGCTTTGTATCTTCACCGCCTGCTGGTCTTCAAGGAAATCTGGGTGCAGTACGAACAGCAAACGGATAAATTGGAGGCCTTTGTACGCGAGGCAGAGCAGGAATTGCGGCAGATTCAGATCCCGTCGCAGCCCACCCAGCAGCCCATTGAGCATATGCGTCAGTTCTGGGAGATTAAGGCCCGTTTCGAACTGCATAACAATGTGAGGACGGAAACTGGTCTGACTTTTGAAAAATCCCTGCAGGTCATCCCATTGGCCGATGAGATGCTTCAGCGGCAATTCCATGCCCAACTGGAGGACCGCTGGCAGGCCGTGGCCCAGGCCATTGAACTTATTCAGCACAATATAGTGGAATGCCTGTCATCGGAGGATATGCCAGCGGATGAGAAACTCAAAATGGTAGAGCGAGAGCTTCAAGAGATCTACCTGACCATGACCAGCATGAAGGGCGTAATCAAGAACGAGGAGGAACTCTGCCTGTACATCGAGCGTGTCCAAGTCCTTCGCACTCGTGTCGGATTTATTGGTAACGAACTGGGCAGGATTGGACTACAAGAACCTGCTATTGAACCCGAAAAAGTGGGTGAACTTTTCGCTCTCTCGCACAAGATCAGCACCCAGATCGCCGAAGAGCTTGAGGGTGCCTCTGTGCTTCGTGACCAACTGCAAGCCATCCAAGAAGGTATAAGCAACCAACGCAAGCACCAGGCCAAGATCTCGGTCATTCTGGATGAGTGTGAAGCCGCCGAACGCCAGGGAGCCGATGTACTCGAAAAGGCCGTCGCCGATTGCCAGGGTGCCGGTGAGGAGTTGGTAACCAGCTGGCAGGAGATTATGCGCATCCGCCAGATGCTCCACACTCTACCCATGCGTTTGAAGATGTCCGTTTCGCCGGTTAAATTGGAAAGGGATATCTCACAGCTTCAGGACGACCATGCCTTCCTCGAGAGCAAATGCACAAATATTATGTCCATTCTGAGAAATCGTCTGGCTGTTTGGCTGCGTTATGAACGCCAACTGGAGCTGGTTCATGGATCCGTCCAGGAAACCGATTTCATGATGGAACTTATCCGGGTGCACGGTCAGGTGGACTACGAGCGCCTGCGTAAGGCCACAGAGCGTTTGGAGGTGAGTTTTTCAGCCCAATATTTTATGACTTTGTTTACGCGCGCTTGCGTTTTGGCCTGGGATTGACCCTTGGTTAGGTTTATATCTTGCTACCTGCTGAGCGGATTTTTCGCGAACCTCTTATCAGCATTGTTTTCCGGTTGCAAATTTACATTTACAAGATAGGCTTCAGTCATATTTCAACATTCGAATCGTTAACATCGTTTGAAAGACCTACAAGGAACAATTATTAAATGTATTTAAAGAATTACATTTTTACTCTTACTCTAATATATAAACGTGGTGCGAAGTAACATAATTATTTATATCGATTATAAAAACAGCAGGCATTATTTGCAAAGTACCGTTTCATATATAATTCACACAAGTTCTGTAAGTTCTGTTTGAATTGTATGCTGTCCGCTAGTCAACGGAATAAAAAGCTTATTTTTAGCCGGAAGCTTTTTCGTAAGCTCTCGCCGTTTGCGGGGCTGTTTACGTAGCAAGTTTTCTGTGCCCGCAGTTGACGTTAACTTCGAACCGAGCGCGTATCACATCCGTCGCGGTCGGAATAACATTCTTATATGTATATTATTTTGCCTAATCCATCTTAATCCGGTAATTAACTCATCGCAGGGACTTGCTGGCGATCTACATAACCGCGAACAATTGATCGATGAGCTAAAGGGTGCCGCCAAACCTCTGATCGAGAGCTGTGATGTCCAGATTGTCGAGCAGATCGAGTCCGCGGTCCAGGAGGCGGTAGTCGCCTGGAATGATACCAGCGAGAATCTTCAGCAACTGCGAACACGCTACCAAAGAGCCGTCGAACTGTGGGATAAGTACCGCAAAGCTTCAGCGGCCGTTAAGAACTCCATTGACCAGCAAATGGATACGGTCAAGTCCCTGGAGCAACCCCTGGATGCCCTGCAACATGCCAAGGTGAGTACTTTCATATGCCGTGACCCATCCGGCAAAACGGGTCGTATTAGTGATATGTATCGCGTGGGTGACAGTGATGCCAACGACCTGTTTGTTGTTAGATTGGTAAAAACGAACATTAAAATGACAATAATTGAACAAACAAAAGGGACAGAATGTCGATCAATATGTAATCATTCAAAACTGAGAGATACAAAAATATTTGTAAGTGCAAGGCGTATATGAGATAGCAAGTTAACTCATATTAAAACGAATATTTCCGGAAAACCCTGTCATCACTGATGGGTCAAAGTTGGGTGGACTATTTTGGCGGCAAACTAGGACAGAAATGTGACGCTTTAATTGCCCCCTGGGGACGCGGCGGGTGGGCCAGCTATAGTAATTACATTGATTTTCTTCGTACTACTAGCCCCATCAATTTTTTCGGGCGCGTCAATGTAATCGGCTCGTAATAGCGTTCCGCCGTACAAACACTTATACGAACTAACTTGGTCCGTTGTGTTTGTGGGATAAATTATGCTTAGGTAAATAAAACAGATATCGTCGTACGATTTCTTTTTCGGCGTTTACTTAAAAAATTAACGCATACTCGGGTCGCCGTTTTCTGTTTATTGATCATTAGGGTCATTATATTATAGGCCTATACGCGATGGTGTAATTATATTTTCGGACAGGCTGGCAAACATGGCCAGCCAACTGTCATTTCACACAGGAGAGTTTATCAACCCGGTGGTGGGGTATATATATATATAAAATATATTTGTATTATAGTATAGCAGCTTTATCAACGCAGAAGTAGCTGAAAACATCGCGGGAACAGGTCCGCAAATGCCTTGAGCTCCCAAAGAAGATAAATGTAGAAACACACATAACGAACAAATCTATTTCTTAATACTTTATGTATTTTAGAGTTTTCAATGCCACTTCTCTAAGCGCTTGTTTGCTTATGTTACGGCTTGATAAAGCATCGGCAAATACTTGCCAGATGATATCATAGGGCGGACATTACATTACTCACACAAGAACCGGCACATTCATGCTCTAAATTAGAGAATTATATTCGTCGGCGGCAAGAGTAGTGACCTGTTTTCCCTCTTAAATTGAAAACGAAAGTGCGCTGGGCACTCGCGGCCCTAATTACCATTTGCCTAGCAGGGAAATGCACTCGAAATTACAATTGATAAGGGTCTGGGGAAACAGCGAATAGAACGCCAGACCGCTCGGCCGGCTTGAGCTAAATACTTTCCGTCGTCGAGTTAAATATAAACGAATGACATTTTGCCAGCCATCCAAAATAATTGGGTTTTGTTTTTGTAGAAGTTTTAGAATTTGTGAATAGAATAAAAGAAAACTTTAAACTTTATTATACAAAAGGAAATTTTAAATAGAAAGATCGGAGATAAAGAGCTCAGGGTTACAAATTATGAAAGAAGAATGACTTCATAACTTAACCTTAAAATAGAATGACATTCTCTGAATGATCAAATGGTTCTTATTTGGCACTTATTAGCCCATAAAATTAACTTCTTTGAAAAGAATAAAACATCACGTATATGGGTAGTAGCATATTTTCGGCTTTTTAAATAATTATTGTAGGTTTTGTAACCTGTTTAGAGAATAAGTTTCTCATTAAGGAGAAATACATACGAAGACATCTCTATTAATTGAGTGATTGTGATGATCTAGACCCTGGGACTCATTAGCTAACTCTCTAACCCCGTATCCATATTCACACAGGTATGCCAAGACAACCTGACGACCCAGAATGATAGAATCTTGGAACTGCGTGACATTGTGGCCAAGATCGCTGCCGATGTCGGCCTGGATGCTTCGGCCCTGATGCAAGGTGAACTAGATGCACTGGGTCAGCGGTTGGCTGAATGCAAGGATGCCATTACCACGTTGGCCAACGTGGCAGAAACCCAGGACAAGGAGCGTAAGGAAGTGGACAAGGAGGTGATCCTGACTAAGGCATACTTCAACAATGTGCAGCAGGTGAGTAGGGAGGGAAAGAAATTATGGAAATTAATTAAATTATGAAAGGAAGTGGGCCATGTGGATGGGATAACAGCCCCATCCTAACCACCTATCGATTGTAGCATTCGACCAAATGGATATTTTGCATATGCTAGTTCGGGTTTGGCGTGTGGAAATTCCCACACTAACGAAATACGGTTAGCCGGCAAGTGTTATTGTTTTTGTTGTAGTTGTTGTTGTTGCTGTTAATCCAATACGAAGGACATGCTATTTTAAGTGGGTTAAAAGTTGAAAAAGTTTTTGTGTACCCTGGTTGGTGGCAACCCATTCAGCGTGGTGCCATCAGTGCACCTCATCATTATTGATTGATAAGAGGCGCCAATATGCTTTTTGGTAGTAAAAGGAGGATGGGTCGTTGCTTATAAAATCGTAATTGACACTTACCTAGTAGTATGATTAATAATTTATAACTATGGATTTTTAATAAAAGGCAAGGTTTGAGGTTGGTAAAGAAGAAGCAAACCCCCTGCTTCGAAGGGTTTGGGGTCAAATTTAATAATTATAGTAATTTGTTTAATTTACAAAGAAGTACAATCATATACAAATCACAAAAAGTTAAAAATAGTTCAAAACTCATTATTTAACCAACAAAAAAGACTTGATTTGTGAGAGGAAGCTAAATATTTCATGGAAATTCAAATACAAAAATCTTTTTAAGCTAACTTAACTTTGATAAGCACTCGACTGCTGTTCACATTTTCCAGCCAAACACCATTTTTTTAAAGTTAAAAATTCATTCATAAGTGTTGCATAACAGAATTTTTAACAGATAGCGACACTGCTAAGAAATCCGCTGATGAAAACAGCTATTGCTGCACGTGCAACGTGTAGGTTTTGAGCGCAGTTTTAAAATCGTTAAAAAGTAAAATATTAAATCTGAATCTGAACGAAACCCATAAAAAAGCTTACCAAATTTGACATTTATTGGTGGCATTTTCCAACTACCTCAGACCACTGTAAGCTTATTTGCATGGCACATGCCAACCAGTTTGGCTTGCACCTCCCTCGACAACGACTCCTACCTCCTCATCGACACCTCAGACAATTGAAGTTGGCCACTGGGTGCGCGTGTCGTTGGCATGAGGTCATTGCCAGTTGGCGGAAAGAGTTGCAATGTGCCGATTGCCATTGTTGGGGAAGCCATGCATTGGACAGATTGACAGACGGACGATGACGACGACTGGTAACCGGAGACATCCAAGCAGCCATATTAGGGTCATACCAATTAGCGATGCAAGAAGCATATTTAAAAAAACTGACCACAACAAACTTTAATATTTTCACCTACTTCTTTTCGCAGGACATTTCCCGAGAGGCACCTCAGAATCCCAAAGAAAGCGAGGAGCAGCTGGCTGCTTTGCGAGCCCATCTCCAGACTTTGGCCAGAACAGAAGAGCAGCTACGTCAGCTCAAGGAGCGCCATCAGAACAATGAAGTGGCAACTTCGATTGCTGGGGCCGATGACGATGGCGTCCTGGAGGTTCTTGCCCTGTGGCAGAAGATATTCCAGGACACCTTCCAGGAATACCATCGCCTATCCACGCGACTTGCCCGCAGCCAAAACAGTTCCGAGGCTTTGCGATTGTGGAGGCAGTACCTCCAGCATGTCCAGTCCTTCCTATCCTGTGCCATTCCCGAGGACTACAGCAGCCTGAGGGAGCAACAGCAGTTGTGTGCCATCCATCAGAATCTGCTCATCTCCCAGCAAAGTGTGCTGTCTGAAACACCACTGGAACTGGAGCTATCGGAGCAGTACAAGGCTCTGACCAATCTGCACAATGAAACCCTGTCTAGGATCATGCAGCGAAATGGTGAGCTTGAGCGCCGAGTGAGTGGATGGAATGCCTATCGCCAGCAGCTGGCTGCCCTTTTGGATTGGCTGCGTCAACGGGAGGCAGAGCGTAATGCCCTCCAACTGCGATACATTCATCTGAAGCGAGTGCCCCACCTGAAGAACCGCCTGGATACGATGATTCAGCAACTGGATCAAGGGGAACAGCAGAGCAAGGCCTTGCAGGAGCAACAGCAGGAGTTGGCCCGGCATTGTGACGATGCTTTGGCCACCGCCATGCGCATGGAGCAGGCCAGCATTGGCCAGCGAATCAGTAATCTTCGCGCAGCTCTCAAGACCTGGCAAGGTTTCCTGCAGCGCGTTACCCAATTGTCGGAGACCTACGAGCAGCGAGTGAACCAATTGCAACAGGAATTCGGAGCAGCTCAAAAGCTTCTGGATGCCAACAGTGAATCCCTGCCCACTCAGCCAGCTGCCATTGAACAACTTCTGGGGGCATTGCGTTCCCAGAGGATCCAACTGGGTGCTCAAGTTCCCGCTCTGGAGAGTCTCACTGTGACCCAAGAGGAACTTAAGGAGTGCATCAGTCCGCATGACATGAAGACCATCCGGCAAAGAAACTGGTTGCTCTGGCAACAGCATGCTGATCTGGACTACCAGCTAGCCAACCTGATCAACTCGATCGAAGAGCGTCTTTCCCTGCTGTCCAACTACCAGATCAGATACGATCGCATCTCCCAATGGCTGCAACGTTTGGAGCAGCGTGTGGAAAAGGATGCGGATGTCACTGCCATGACCAATCCCGAACAGGCAGCCAAGCAACTGGAGCAGCAAATTAACTCCGAGCTGCAGCTGCGGGACAAGGAAAGGGAGTGGCTACTGTCCACCAGCAGGGAACTGCTCAGCCTCTATTCCGAGCCAGAAGTTCGATCTCAGGTCCAACAGCAGAGCGATGCCCTCATCGATCGCTGGCAGCGCCTCAAGTATTTGGCCAAGCAAAAGGCCACCAAGATTGGAGAACTGAAGATGACACTTCTCCGATTGGAGGAGCGCATCGCCCTGATTCGCGCCTGGCTTTTCGAAGTGGAGTCCCAACTGGATAAGCCCCTCAGCTTTGAGAGCTACACACCGAATGTGATCGAGGCCAAGCTAAAGGAGCATGAACAGATTCAGCGATCCATTGAGCACCACAGCAGCAATGTCGGTGAGGTTCTGAATCTCGTAGAGATGCTTCTCAACGACGCAGACAGCTGGCGAACGCAGGTGAACACTTCGGGACTTGCTGCCTCGGCCCAAAATCTGGAGCAGCGCTGGAAGAATGTGTGCAGTCAGTCGGCGGAACGTAAGTCCCGCATCCTGACCATTTGGAATCTTCTCCAGCAGCTCATCAAACTTACGGCCGAGCATAAGAACTGGCTGGGCAAGCAGGAAAGCCAAATTGCGGGCTATGAAAGAGATCAGAAGTCCAACGGCAAGCATAAGCTAGAGGAACGCCAAAAGGAGCTTAGAGCCAAGCTGGAGGAACTGGAAAGTCAGTCGGTTAATCTTCGCCAGCTGGAGCAGATCTATGCCAAGCTGACCATGAGTGCTGGCGTCGAGCCGGAGAACATCCAAAAGCTAACACTTCCCACCAAGGTAATGGTGAGCATGTGGCGCCAGTTGACGCCACGTTGTCATGCACTCTTGGATGCCATCGACAAGGATGCCAAACTCATGCGGGAGTTCAACAATGCCCAATTGGAGGCCACCAACTCCTTGAATGCCATACAAAAAGCTTTGGAACAATTGCCAAGCGTGGAGGATCAACAGAGTTCAAAGGCCGAGCCAAAGGCGGTGCTCCAACGATTGGAGAGTCTGGAGAAGAAGCTTCAGGATGCCCAACAGCATGTCCAGCAGGCGGATAACCTGGCCCAGGAGGCCAAATCCAGGACCAAGCAGCAACCACAAATGAAACAGCTGCTGGAACTGGTGTCCGCCTATACTACCCTTTGGCAAACGGTTCAGACCCGCGTTGTGACTATCAAGACCAGTTGGTTGACCAGAGCAGCTCAGGTAGCTGCCGCTGGGCCGGTTAACGAAGTAGCTAACGCCGCCGTTCAGGTTAACACTCTGTCCCAAAGGAAACTTCGCCAGGCTCAGCAAATGCAAAGGGAAACCTCCATCACCGCCAAGGATGCCTATATCATGGAACTTCAAACGGCCATCACGGAATGCCAGAACAATCTGGATGAACTTCAGCGCACTGTGGTGGACAAGACCCGTAAGCCAGGACCCCAGAAGATTGCCAAGCTGCTGGGCAGCGCCCAATCCTCCACCGAGCTGGTCAAGCATCTTAGCCAGCTGCTGCTAACCGAGTGCCATGCGGACAATCAGGCTGCCCAAGTGGAAACCGTGGCAGAGCTCACGTTGCGCTTCGATACACTGCAATCCCAGTGGAAGGCGCGACAGCAGCACGATCAAAATTCAAGGTAAGTTTGGTTTATTATTTATTTAAGTTTGTTGGATTGTTTTTTAAAGTCTTGCTAAGCCATATAACAAATATTAATATTATTATTCATGTTGATTGATAATCTTTTGGAGTCAAAGTGGCATATTTTAGAACTTCTCATCCGATTTGTGTCTCAACTGCTCCCAAATCAACTTATAAGAGACGAACGGCATCCTGTATAGTGTATCATATTATAACAGATGACTTGTGTTTGTAAACATTCAATTAAAAAATGTTTTTAATTCAATGGCTTAGCAAGCCCTTTTCGGTTGACCGAAATATACTTTCCTGTTGGTGTTTGGGTCTGGTTTTTCACTAACAAAACTGTTTTATTGCTTTCCATCTCGCTGTTGCCTACTTCTATCTATGTCAAAACACGCACACGCATAATCACAAAACAAACTTACCCATGCTTAACTCGAACCTGCGCATTCATGATGACACACAGCAGGTGCCACCTACCTGCATCCTACAAGTACAACTGCATTCAGTAAGTGTAACTACCTGTCGGTGTCTACCTATGCATCCGACCTCCTGCTGTTTAGGCCTCCACCTGATCCTCTGTTATCTGTGGGGCTTTCCACTAGACAAAAGCTGGCAGTGGATCACAAATGGCTGCCAGACTCCAGGGTGGAGCACAGCAAGAGGTCGGAATGTATAGGCCTAGCTGCCTAAGTTGCTGCAAGCCAACTCTATTGACTCTGGCAAGGCAGTCTTAAGCTAACAAGCATTCAGTACATATAATAATAATAATTATTATTACAAATTTGTATTAATAACTTACATTTTTACGTTTTCCTATCAACTTTAGCGAGGTCGGCCGGCTAACGTGTCCGCTCTGCACACAGCGAAACTGGCAGCAGATCGACAACGATCTGTGGCGCCTGGAGCAGTGGCTGCAGTTCGCCGAGAGCACCCAGAAGGCCCAGTCAGCACCGCCCTCGAACATCGAACTCCTTGAGGATGTCACACAGGATCATCGCGAGTTCCTTTTGGATCTGGAGAGTCACAAATCAATCATCTCCTCCCTGAATGTTGTCGGTGATCATTTGGCTACGCACACTTTGGATACCGAAAAGGCAAGGCAATTGCGATCTCGTCTAGAAGCGGATAATGAACGCTGGAACAATGTGTGCATCAATGCCACAAAATGGCAAGGTCTACTCCAGACTGCTTTGATGGGCAATAGTGAGTTCCATCAGACCATCGATGAGCTGGTGAATTGGTTGCAGAGCACAGAGCAAAACATTAAGGCTTCCGAGCCCGTGGATCTCACTGAAGAGCGCTCCGTGCTGGAGGCCAAGTTCAAGAAGTTCAAGGACTTGAGAGCAGAATTGGAAAGATGTGAACCTCGTGTGGTGAGCCTACAGGATGCCGCTGATCAGCTGCTTCGCTCAGTTGAGGGCTCCGAAGAGCAATCCCAACACACCTACGAAAGGTAAGGTGTCCAGTGGGCCAGTTCCGAGGGCGGAACGAAATAATTCGTGGGTGCCGCTAAAGCTTAGGGTTTCTATAAGGGGAGAAGGGTCTTAAAGTTAATTGGGCGGAAAACAATTCTATATTTTATATAGTTTTAGTTTGTATCTTTATTTGGTTAGTTTTGTAATGAATAATATTGAAAGTAGATAATGGTTTTCCTTATTTAATATGCTTTTTTAGTATACAACTTCTTTAAACTTAGTAGTATTAATTTCCTACCATATACCTGTGCTATTTCCCATATATAAATTATCCAATATTTCGGCCTTTATTGCTTGCCTTTTTAACATTTCAATTATTTTACCCACATTATGCACATTCCACCAAAGACTTTCGGAAACTTTCCTTTTCTAAAATTATATTCCTTCAAAATTATACTAAAACTATCCGTCAGGATAGCTAAACCTTTTGGTCTTTTCCCTCAACTAAACCTTCTGAATTCCATTGTTGGGTTTTATATCTAGTAGAACGTAACTTAGCTTTACCTTCTCAACTTTACAAGAATCAATCGTATCGATCGATCATTCGTTTTTTTGCCTCTACACAAATTTTGTGTTGCCGTTTTTGTTGCGTATATTATTTTGTGTTGTATTTTTTGGTACTCAAAATTCTTTCGTCCGCCCATTCTAACCCTTCATCCAAACATACACCGCCAAGGGCCTATGCAAATGTTTTAAATGCTCCAGAACCCTTTCCAGATTGACCGATCTCCGACTGCGTCTCCAATCCCTGCGTCGTCTATCCGGAATCTATATCGTCAAACTGGGCGCCGTCCTCGGCTACGAGGGCGACAATCTTGGCGTGCCACTGCACATGTTGTCGAGTGAGGTAAGTCGAAGTCTATCAAATTACTTTACAACTTGGTTTCCTGTTAAAAAAACATGATTTGTCCTGAAAAAAAACAAAACATTTAATTTGATTTATTGATTTGTGAGCGCACCAGAAGTAAGTGAAACCAATTGGCAGTCGAACGAGAAAATGTGAAAAAGATCTTATAACCCTTATGATTTGTATTATTTTTAATTTATTTATTTTTCTTCCTTTTCCTTTTCTTTATGGCAAATATAGCTTTTGGATAATACTACATTATCAACCTCTTCTATGCAGGCCGCCGCACCAAACACAGAAAATGCAAAGTAAATATCTATAGAAATTGATTTTAAGTTTTCGTTTCACAAATGCATCGTAGTTTTATATTCATTTTCGAGCAACCTGTGCACTTTCTAGTCTTAAACGAAAAGAGCACATAGCTTTTCCCTGAGTAGTTGCATGATTTTCATAGTTATTTTCCTATCTGTCACATTTACTAATAGATTTATTTTTCGAATCTATAGCAACATCGATGGCGATGCTGTCGATGGCGATGTCATCAATACCACGGTTCTGGCACGCGGTGCTCGATTCCTAGGCCGCGTTGCACGTGCCTCCCTGCCCATACAGGCGCTCATGCTGCTGCTTTTAGGTGTGGCCACTCTGGTGCCCCACGGTGAGGATTACACCTGTATGTTCTCGAACACCTTTGCCCGCAGCCTGGAGCCCATGTTGTCGTATCCCCACGGACCGCCGCCAACATAAAAAACTGTAAAGTCAAAAATTGGATTAGTGCAATGAACAGCGAACAAGAACAAAAACAAAAATAAGACCCCCTAAATCTAATCATAAAAATTCAAAAATCATAAAAAAAAAAAATGAAAAAAACACTGGTTGCCTTTTGTAAGCAAAATTCCTGTAAGAAACATTTAAAAGAAATGTTTTCAAATGAAATGAAATGGTAGAAAGTGTTGTACATTTGTGTAGTTTATCACATTTTGTAATTGTATGTAATTTTGTAGTGATTCGAGATAGCTAGAGTCATTAATAAAACAACCAATTTGTATATACCCTACTGAACAGAAACAGATTCGACAAGCCGAACATGAAACACAAACTGAAAATGAAAATGATATGAAGAAATGAAATCAACTAACTATTCAAACTAACGACAAGTAACGAAACAACTTTTGTAAAACGATATATACATTATACATATATATTTGCACAGCAAACAATTTATATATTCATATATACCCACGTATATGATCCCAAGAAAACTATAGAGAACCCCAAAACATTTTGTATATAAAGCTAAAACGAAATCAAAATACGCACACGAAAATTTTACTCATAACCGCACGTTTTCCCATTAGAGAGAAGGTCCTTTGGCAGAAGGGAGTTGTGATCGGCATGCTGCAAATTTCGTGGAACATTTTTGCAGGATCTGAGCACAAGTCCTTGCTGCCAGGGATTAGCTAGAGAAGTATATAGATCCCAAGACAAATCATGACCCACATAGACCAGTTGCCAGGAGATTTACTTGGTTACCAATGTCCCTAGTTTGCTGCTCCGTCTTTCTCCCAAATTCAAGGCGAGGCAATTAGCAAGGAGATATTGGTTTCCACTTAGACTCTGGCCCTTAAAGTCACCTTGCCACAGGATAACTCTAGCCAAGGCCAAGCTCTCTCCCACGGCCAAGGCAAAGAAGAGATCACCTTCAGTGTCCAGCCACAGGACACTGAGTTAACCTCTCATCCTGAAACTCCAACCCGGCAAATGGTGGCCAGACATTTCTAAGCATTCCTGATACTCATTTCCAAATTACCAATAGACATTGAAGATCCTAGCCCTCTGCTCTCACCAAAAATAATGGGAAACGTGCGTGCCACGAGCATTGAACAAAACGAAGCAAGTGTCCTATGCCGGTGCTAAACCAACCAACAAATTTTCTATATAAAGAAAAAATGTAAAATGCGTATACAAAAATGAAATGAAATTCATAAAAACAAAAGAATAAAAAAAACACTCTTTGAACAAAAAAAATCGTAAAATAAAATGCAATTTGCATATATAGAGAAGTGACGTAAGTCCATCCAGTAAAAAAATAACCTATTTTGTTGTTAATATTTTTTGATAAACCTAATTCTATTTGCCTTAAACTTATCCAACTTGTTTATTTACAACTATTTTTTATTATTTAAAGCTTGAGCAATTATTGAGAAAATACATACATTTATTTATTAGACCTTAACGATTTATTATGTATTAAATTAAGTTTGATTTAAATGTTAAATTTGTGTACTTTGCTGCTTCTATCTGGTTATAAAAACATGAGCCGTTATCAATTTATGTAATTTATGTAGCATTTTAAGATTTCCTTTCTTGTGAACAACTGTACCTTTATATGCATTATGATTATTAAACAAAAATATTAAAAATATATTTCGTGTTATATTCTATGGAATCTTTGGGAATTACAGCTTGCAAATTGTTGGGCTTCTAAGTAAAGTGATTTAGGACCATCGAGGATCGATTTCAATTTCTTTCGCTATTTCTTTAATCGGAATGAAGCTAAAGTCCGAAAACTAATCATAATGACTATTGCCTAGTATAATTGGGGGTACAAATTTGAATAATTTACTTAAGTGTTTCTAATTTGGGGACAGAAAACTATAATGGTAAAGATACGATTCATTTAGTAATCTTTTAACTATGCTTTCACCACTTAACAACTTATCTCTAGATTAGGTTAACGGTTTTAATCCATAAAATGTTTCTATCCATAATTATTTGAAAAAGTATGAACTAAAAATTTATGATTTATGAGCTATCAGCAAATATCACCCAAAAATATGCATAGTGACGAACTGCCCGCTATTTCTTTGATATGGGATTCAAATTTGGGAAATTGCAGCCAAATCAAATTACAAAAGGATCCAGATGTTACAAAATAGAATGCTTAGAAACATAACAGACTGTCCGTGGTACGTGCGAGTGGTGCCACGCAAGTACCATAGAGATCTGAAATTGTTTACTGTGGGGGAGCAAATTGGTAGTCACACGAGCAGATACAGTGACAGACTAATAAGACAGCTCAGTCTACTTACTAGGAATCTACTGCAAGCTAGACCACTGAACGTCTGAAACGGCCAGGTTTTGCCAAAACAATTTGAAGTCAATTTTCACATTTGTAAACCTTTTGAAGTAATTAGGTTTAATTTTACACTTGCGCAAAATGTGTTGTTAAGGTACTTTTAAGACTTACTATTAATTATTATATAAAAAACCAAAACCTGCAGTATCTACCAATTTGTGAGTTAGGGAGCCATCTCAAATATCACCAAAAAGATGTGCAAAAAACTTATACGATAAGATTTCAGATGTTATTTTTTGCATTAAATGAACTTACTTAATCTACCCTCTGTTGAGTATTACCCGTGTTCGCAAATCCTAAAGACATGTGGCCAATAACTGCTTCTCTTTACTTCTGGCTGCTTTTTTGGTCCTGGTCTACGTGTTCTTAACCTGGATCTTTAGCTATTGGAAGAAGAGGAGCATCCCGACATCTCCGATATGGACATTTTTGGGCAGTTTTCCAGTATTTTTACCTGGAAGCGAAATATTGCCTACGACATTGACGATATTTATGAGTACCAGCAATATAGGAAAGTGCCTAGAATTTCCAACATGAGAGATATCTAGTCTGGTTTGTAATAGGTTGCATACTTAAATGGGCAAATATTAGAAAATATTACATATTTATTATACATTATATTATATATATAGATTATATATTACATTATATAATGTGCAGCAAGTATAAAAACACCGGAAACGTGGTGGGCGTGTTAACCACTCGAGTGCCTCAGTTACACGTTATGTGTCCACAATATATACACAAGATCTACGCCACCGGATTCCGCAGCTTCCATAGCAATAGGTGGCAGTGATTCAGTGGGAAACAATCCATTCGTTCTAACTGGATATGAATGGAAGGAGAGGAGAACGGAAATCATGCCGGCATTGACCCCGAATCGGGTAAGAATTTCATTTTAAGTTTCTTATCAGAAAGAATTTAAAATTATATATTTCAACCTAAAGGTCAAGGCCGTTTATCCAGTGTCGCAGAGTGTATGCAAAAAGTTTGTGGATTACATCAGGAGACAGCAATGATATTTTCTTCATGGCCGCTTTGAAAGGTGGTATTTTTTTGGATTTTAAAGAGCTCTGAAATTGGGGAAATCTTCTAAATTTTTTTAACTGCTTAAGGAAGCTTTGTTTTTTATATATTATAATATTTTAAAATATGCTGGTATGAAAGTACCTAAATAAATAACCTAAATTAAGAATTACTAAATTTAAATAATAAAAATAAATTATTTTAAATTTAATTTCCAAAGAAACATGTTGCAGCAACATTTATTTGTACGAAGTTCGAAAACGGCTTGACAGCAGAGCTCACACGCAACATGTTGGATCGCAGCTACGCACCATGTTCGTTGGTTTCATTTCTCATCAACTTATAATCAATTCCAAGTTGCAACCAAACAAACCAAACGTGCCAGATGGTGCATTTTTATTTTTTTAATTTTATTGTTTTTAGAAAGGTTTCAATGCTAAAATAAGTTTGTTTGTAAATATTTTCATAAAAAATAACACAACCATTTCATCTTCACTATATATATAACTTATCAATTAATTTTGTACATAGTTGTAGGTTAAAGTAGGTTCAATTTGTTCAATTGAGCTGCAATCAAGTTCAGTTATTTTCCGCTTTTCCTCGCGTTCGGTTGTGCCATGTGTCCCATTTCTTGTGTTCTGCTCAGCCTAGCTGGGTTTCTAGCCCTTGTCTACGTATTCCTCACCTGGAACTTTGACTACTGGAGGAAGAGGGGCATCCTGACTGCCCCTTCATGGCCATTTGTGGGTAGTTTTCCCAGCATATTCACCAAGAAACGAAACGTTGCCTACGACATCGATGATATCTATAAGTATGTCGGATTATAGTCACTCCTTATTTGTAAGTATAAGTGTTTTGTTTTCGCAGGCAATACAAAAACACGGAAAAAGTTGTGGGTGTGTTCACCACCCGACGTCCCCAGCTGCTGGTTATGTGTCCGGAATATATTAACAAGATTTACACCAGCGATTTCCGTAGCTTCCATGACAATGAAAGGGGGAATTTCGTAAGTAGTAAAGAATCATGGAGATCTGAAATCTAAAATATATCTCCTATAATAGGTGGACAAAAAGGTGGACAAGATACTGGGCAACAATCCATTCGTCCTGAAAGGCGATGAATGGAAGGAAAGAAGAGCAGAGATCACACCAGGACTGTCACAAAATCGAGTAAGATTATTAGAAACTTAAAAAAAGACTAGGCTAGTATAATGAAGCAATCCCGATTCTTAGATAAAGGCCGTATATCCAGTGTCACAAAGTGTATGCAAAAAGTTTGTGGACTACATAAAACGCCAACAGCGAATGGCCACCTCGCAGGGATTGGATGCAATGGAGCTGTCCCTTTGCTACACCACCGAAGTGGTCTCCGACTGCGTCTTGGGCATCTCAGCCCAGAGTTTCACGGACACCCCGACTCCCCTTGTGGGAATGATCCAGCGGGTGTTCAACTCGTCCTTCAGATTCATCTTCTTCAGCATTTTAGTCAACATCTGGCCACCAATTCTGAAGTTCTACAGTTTGCCTTTCTTCAACAAGGAAGCTGAGGACTTCTTCTTCGACATCATGAGACGTTCCATCAACTTGCGGCGAGGGAAACCGGAACAGCAGCGCGACGACTACCTCAACTACATGCTGCAGTTGCAAGAGAAGAAGGGCCTAGATACAGCCGAGCTCACTGCTCATACTATGACCTTCCTCACAGACGGATTTGAGACCACTGCTCTGGTTCTATCACACACCCTGTTGTTGCTGGGACGTAATCCGGAGCAGCAGCAAAAGGTGCGGGAGGAAATTGGCAAGGCGGATTTCACTTTTGAGCAACTAACCGAGCTGCCTTATCTGGAAGCCTGCATTAATGGTGGGATTTACTGGGATCTGTACTTAACAATATTGAATATCATTATTTATATATTTTACAGAAACTCTGCGTTTGTTTTCGCCACAAACAGCAGCCCGTAAGCTGGTAACTGAACCCTACGACATAGTTACCAAGAATGGCGATACGTTGCGCCTAAGTCCCGGGGACGTGGTAATCATTCCCGTGAAAGCGATACATCATGATCCGCAGTATTATGAAAACCCGCAGGCGTTCAAGCCTGAGCGATTCCTTGAGGTCAACGGGGGTGTGAAAAAGTTCCGAGATCAGGGAGTATTTCTTCCCTTTGGCAATGGACCTCGCATCTGTCCAGGTGTGTAACTTTTTTTGGATGCTTTTAACTGAAAATCAAAGTTAACAATGATTTCTTCTTGCAGGAATACGATTTGGAATGACTCAACTCAAGGCGGCCTTAGTAGAAATCGTGCGTAACTTTGATATAAAAATTAATCCCAAGACGCGTTCCGATGATCAGCTACATGATACCTTCTTTATGGCCACTCTAAAGGGTGGAATTTTCCTAGACTTTAAAGAGCGGCAATAAAATAAGTTAAGTGGTAATTGATTTACCATACACTAGTGATAAGCAAATATTCCATTTCAAATAAAAACATTTGCATTTCATCATAACTTTATTTATTATCAATATTTTTCCTGGCGCAAGCTTCCAAAGATTAGAGGTCGAAGAAAATGTTACCAAGTTCTGATAAACAACGAGATTAAATCTATACTTTAAAATAAATTATGAGATGCTTTTATAACTTTGTTTTCTAGTTCAATGATGGCGGGCTTTATTTTATAAACAAAGTTCTATTTTTAAAACCTTCTTATCTCCTCATCTGCATTTTTTTTAAATCAAGTTTTTATCGCCATTAGCTTTCGACCTAGAAATGCACGTTCTTTGGCCCTTGATCTTGATAACGGAATCAGACCTTATCACAAAGTGCGACATAGTACGTTTTATGACGGCCATTAAATGTGGTGGTGTAGGCAATTTGATCAATTTGTTTACTGGGTGAATCCATCTAGCTCCCGCTGCCCAACCACTTGACTAACAAGTTCAATTTAAACGACAGAGATTGCCCAATTGAGTTTCAGTTTTGTTTCATCCGCGTTCGCGAGCGGTACTGCAATGGGTCTGATTTCAACGGCTCTATTCGTTATTGCGGCCTTCTTGGGCCTGATATATATCTTCCTGATCTGGAACTTTAACTATTGGAAGAAGCGAGGCATCCCATCGGCCAAATCATGGCCATTTGTTGGCAGTTTTCCCAGCGTTTTCACCCAGAAGCGGAACGTGGTCTACGACATCGATGAGATTTATGAGTACGGTTGCTATATTGTACTCGTTTACTCTCTACTGATAGCATTTATTTAGACAGTACAAAAACACTGATAGCATCGTGGGAGTTTTCCAGACCAGAATGCCACAACTCTTGGTAACAACTCCAGAGTACGCACACAAGGTTTTAGTCAGTGACTTCCGCAGCTTCCATGACAATGAGATGTCCAAGTTTGTAAGTTAAAAAAGATCTCCTTTAAAGAGGAAATCATTAGTTAACTATTCCAACAGACCAACAAAAAGAAGGACAAGATCTTGGCCAACAATCCGTTCATTCTGACTGGTGAATCCTGGAAGGAGAGACGTGCTGAGGTCACACCCGGACTGTCGGCCAACCGGGTAAGGTTAGGTTTAAAGCTTTAATTGCTTGATGATAACCTGAGGATTCTTATCACATTTCGATGATTGTTTTTAATAGAGCCTTGAGCCCCCTATCTACCGAAGTACTTTAATCGCTTATCACTTTTGCCTACCCTAAAGGTTAAAGCTGCCTACCCGGTCTCGCAACGCGTATGTAAAAAGTTTGTCGATTACATCAAACGGCAGCTACTGATGGCCTCCTCAGATGGCCTTAATGCCAAGGATCTCTGCTTGTGTTATACCACCGAAGTGGTATCCGATTGCGTCTTAGGAATCTCAGCACAGAGTTTCACGGATAATCCCACTCCACTGGTCGGAATGATTAAACGCGTCTTCGAGCAGTCCTTTGGTTTCATTTTTTATACAGTGATTGCCAATCTATGGCCACCAATCCGAAACTTCTATAGCGTTGGTCTCTTTGCCAAGGATGTGGAGGAGTTCTTTTACGATATCATGAGGAAGTGCATCCAAATGAGGAAGGATAATCCTGGTCAGCAGAGAGATGACTTCCTTAACTACATGTTGCAGTTGCAAGAAAAAAAGGGACTCGACGCCGTGGAGTTGACCTCACATACCATGACTTTTCTCACGGACGGATTCGAGACCACTGCGCAAGTTCTAACCCACGTTCTTCTTTTGCTGGGCCGCAATCCTGAGGAGCAGAGGAAGTTAAGGGAAGAAATTGGAACCGCTGAGCTGACTTTCGAGGAGTTGAGTGAACTACCCTTCATCGAGGCCTGTGTTAATGGTGAGCTCTGGATTAAAGTTAGGTAATTGTTCTTACTAAAAACGTGCTCTTAATACCAGAAACTCTACGCCTTTTCCCACCTCTACTGGCTGCCCGTAAGATTGTAACCGAGCCTTACGAGTTTGTCAACAAAAATGGAGTGAGTGTGAAAGTTTACCCGGGAGATGTGGTCATCATTCCATCCAACGCCATTCAATACGATTCTCAATACTACGAAGATCCGCAGTCTTTCAAGCCTCAGCGTTTCCTGGTCGATGGTGGAGCCAAGAAGTACAGAGATCAGGGTATCTTCTTTGGTTTCGGCGATGGTCCTCGCATTTGTCCAGGTGGGTAATCTAGCTGTAAGCATAAAAAAAACACTTTAAAAACCATCTATGATTGCAGGCATGAGGTTTGCAGTCACCCAAATTAAGGCCGCTCTAGTGGAAATCGTAAGGAACTTTGACATCAAGGTTAATCCCAAAACACGCACGGATAATACCTTCGATGATACCTATTTTATGGCTGCCTTAAAGGGAGGAGTTTGGCTTAACTTTGTGGAGCGGAAATAGTTTTTTAATATGAAAAAAAAAGCATCTCATCTTGAAAAATGTATTTTATACTGAAAACTAGAGATTATAGTTCAGTTAAACTTCTGCAACAATTTTTTTTTTTTTTAACACTTTTAATACTTAAATTTTGTAACTAGACATTGACCACGCTTTTAGTCCCGACTAAGAGCTAATTGCACGAGGGGCAGCACCTTAATGGAGGACAGATCCGCCAGAATGGCTTCGATGCTGTCCAACGAGGCCACCTGCATGATGCTCTCCTTTCTAAAGCTCAGGATTATAATGGCAAACAGTGGCAGGATTTCCAGGCTATCAAAGCCGAGAATCTGAAGGGAAAATTAGAAACATTCTTTCAAAACAGAAATGGGTTGTTATTTACCAAGTCCCAGAGGACCAGCAGCTGGTCCGGAGGTAAATGTCCGGAAAATGCTCGCATTAGCCATTTGAAGACAACCCGCAAACTGCAGAAATAAATAAATTAGATATTTAGGAATATATTAGAAAGTTTCTACAATCCTAACTTACGGTTGAATCTGAAGCTCTCGAAAATGTGACCACAACTGCGGCTCGTAGGTCTGCAGGAGTTTCTCGAAGAGCAGACATAGGCTGACAATTCCCTGCGGATGCGTGTTTATGGTGGTCAGGCGATGGCAGTAACGGATGTAAAAGGCCCGGAATGTATAGTACAGATTCACTGGCGAATCATACAGATAACAAAAGGGAGCGGCAAACATGCAAATACCGTGGAAAGGAACCACGCCCGATGGCGGGCCTTCATAAGTCTTGCCCTTCACCGGAAAAGCCTCATACTCCACACAGCCACCGATGTCCGTATCCCGGGAGAAGCAGAGTAACACCTGATACAGCACATCCTCGAACACAAAGTACTGGTCATCATTAGAGGCCGTCAATTGGATGTCCTTGAAGACCAGCTTATCAACAATGTGATCCGTGGTCCAGACAGCATTTCGCAGCTTTTGCCAGTAATCAATGTCCTGTGGGTAAACGTCATTTTAATAGGAGATAGATCCCAAAATCCGCCTAATTATATTACATAGTCATGAAGCTTGCTGTCTAATACTGATGCCCATAGTGCTCCTCTATAAGGAGCAGGGGTGCAACCTTTCTTCAAGAACTGCTGGCACATGGGTGCATGTCTCCCCTCCAGAATCCTCTGACATTGAACCGTGAGATCGGGCACTCCCAAGTAGCTATCACTTCGCAGGAGATCAGCATAATGGGCACGCAGCTCAAACAAGTTCTTGACGGGCAAGGCAATGTGTGAGAACTCCCATTGGGGAATTTGACTGGTAAGAAGAACAACGATTTAATACTTAATTCATTTTATATGTGACATACTCAAAGCTTACTCTGTATTTTCGGTGGTTTTGGCAGGTCCTTTTAGCGAGAGCAGCACCTCCAACAGGTCCTTTGGTGCATAGACAGGCCTGTAGTTGGCCAGATCTAGGGATTATCTTTTAGAAAGATACAGAACTTAAAATCCGGGTGTTACCCACCCATATTGTAGTTGCTCAGCTCGTTCCACTTGGCCATGAAGTCCTCTCGATCGGCACTGATCCTTGGCTGTCCATGCAGGGGAACCTTTAGCTCTGTGCACATAGCATTCAAACTCTTTCTAACCCTGCGATCCCACAGGACTCCGGCCCTTTTCAGATAGCCAAGGGGATCACTAACGGTGGGTTTCTATGGGAAAAATGTAAGAAATATAATTGAAATAAAGTCTTAAGATATATTCTCTATACTAAAGTCCATATAGATAATGAGCTCGTTGTTGGCTCAACATTTGAGCTACTCTCGGTTTCCTTAGGTTGGGCTAACATTTTGTTTCTTTTTTGCGAATGTTGAAATTAAAATGATCTTTTTTTATAAAAAGAGAAAGACGGATTTGATAGAAAAGTCACTGAACAGCAAAAAGCTAATCCCCTTTTTTGTTACTGATTTCTTTAAGCCAAGATTTTGTACCCACCGATGTTTGCTTGTTGGGGAGTGTCTTGTCATCCGTTTTGGTTAAACGACTCCTGACCAAATTGTAGACAATATTACGGATCTCCGTCTCCAGGCCGGCGCTCTTGATGGCGTCCTCAAGGGTATTGCGCATATCGTGGGTATCCACATTGGGATTACAGACCAACTTCTGCAGCTCCTTGTATATCGGCTCGTAGCTCTTGGTGTTCTTGATAGCCGCTATTACCTTGGCGGTCATATGATGGATGCTAGCATCCTGCAGCTCCTCCATTACGATCGCTTTACGACCGTTCTTCGTTTAGGTCTACCAACTAACTAACCAACTAACTTTTCGAAAACCGTTCTGATTAGCCCCAACTTGGTTGCTACCATCAGAGTCGTTTGACTTTTATCGATCAAACTCCGTCGCCTGCTTTGATTTGGAGACGATTCGATTCGAGTTGCACATTCTCGGCTGTCGTCGCTTCTTGGCGACGGAATGCAAACACTTGTTTGCCTTCTACTTTCCCGTTAGTTTCGTTTAGTTTGCCGCCCCTCGCAACCGAAAAATTCCATTATGTTTCGTTTCAAATGAAAAGCTAAAAGACGCGTGAAATTGCTTTTCATATACTTTTAGTTTCATGCACACACACACAAACACTCACACATACTGCACCTGAGTGGCAGAAAGTTTTTCTTTTTCTTGGCATCTGTCACCTGGCCAAACGAGTTGTTGACATGATTGTTGGTGCTGCTCCTCCTGTTGATTGCTAAGGTGGCCCAAACTCACCTGGTCATGTCTGTATGTCAAAAATATTTCAACTTAGAATTAGGTTTAAAAATAAGTTTTTCAAATGATTTACTTTGAAATACAGAAAAAATAGAAAATATAGATTATTTTTCTTGGTAAATAAATATTAAAAGTGTTAAGAATACTACAAAAGTACCTTGATGCATGTAGTTTGAAATAAAAAACAAAATCTACAGAAAAAAAGGAACTGTGTTTATGAATTTTTCAAAGTTTTTTAAATTTGTATATTTCAGAGGTACACAAATTTATTTGTATTTTCACTTTTTTTGTGATGATTTATTGCCTAAGCCTTTCCTTCAAATAACTTTTCTATAATATCATCGTTCATGTAAGTACGACCCTTCAGTTCGCGGTTGAGATGGCTATAGTCATGCCCCTTGGCATAGGGCGGAGAATTATTGGTGTCCATGAAGTACCTTCCCCTGGCCCTGGAAAACAAATAATTTATTAACAAAAAACCGTGAAAAAGGGTTAATAATCATACTCTGGCTCAACATTGATGCCCATCAACTGTATATCCTTCTTGGGAACACACAGACCAGAGGCGTAGCTTTTAAAATTTGGACAGTAGAAGCCATAAAATCCGGTTGGTGAGGCGATGGATTCCCCATAATAATCCGCAGCTCGATTATGGTAGCAGTAATGGGTATCCACTTAAAGGTTAACAAAAAAAAACTTTAAAATAAGTTCAAAACTACAACAATTAGGAGATCTCACTCTCATTAACGGGTCCGCAGTTGGGCTGTGTCACACCCATGTTCAGGTAAAAGTCCACGTGGCCAACTGGATCTAGCAAGCCAAGCATCATCACATCTGTGTGTATGACATCCACGAACTTGGCATCAGAGGGATCGAGTTTTTGGGCTGTATCGTTGACTAGGTAAAGTGGCTTGGCCGGATCGAGAGCCGTGATATGTTCCAACTTGTTGTTGGATAAAAAGTTGCCAGCAAACCCTGCCACATGGGCACCCAAACCAAAACCAATCAGATGAATATCCTCACTCTGTACAAGTTCGTTGTCCAGGAGCATGGTCAGTAAATGGGCAATGCATTGGCCAACGTATTTGGCATTGTGTACAGCCTCTGAGTAGCAGGGTTCATAGGCCAACTTTTGATAGTCCAAGGATATCACATTATCCTCTAGATCAAGGAGTCGATGACGTAACTGGGCGTTGGGAGACAAGCTGCGATTGCCATTAAAGCCATGGATCAGTAACCTTAGTGGCTTGAGGGGCAGAAAATCTTTTTTGCGTATAGTAAATAAGGAGAGCAACTTCCCCTGTGGATTCGATTTGCTGTTTGTTTTTAGATGATTATATAATTAGAGCCTACAAAATACTCTTTTATTCCTCTTACGTGTAGAGCCAAAACGAAATGTTGGCATTGGGACAGGCATTATCATGCAGGGCAAAGCAGTTCGTCTCCTCATCCTCAAAGGCAGCAACCAAGATTGGACTTAGATAGCCTGAGAAAAGGAGTTAAGAGATGATTATATTTCAGTAAGGTATTTGATAGTACCCATCAAAATCGACAAAGACCACAGGCAATTCATCTTTCCACGATTCCTTCGAAGCCACGACTAATTTTAGATTTTACTTTAAGTACTTTTAGTGCCATAAACTAATTTAATTAATTTCGTTTCGTTCAACCGGAAAAAGAACCGAAAACTTTTATAATTGCAAAAGTTGCGGATATTGGTGCCCAAATAGGGCGTTTTAAATACAAATTTATTCTCATTTTTAAATAAAAATTAAAGTGAAATTTTTTTTGATTATAAGCTAGTTATATCAGTATGATAATGAATAATTTTGTATACAGAAAATATAAATTAAATAAATTTAAAACAAAAAGGTCACCGAACATTTTGAGATTGGAAAGCCGAAGGGCTTGCATTTTTGTATATAAATTAGTCTTCTTTAAAACTCTATTATAACTTTTTTAGCATAAATTCTTTAAAAAAATCTTATTCGTTTTAAATTAACACCTAAGTCCCCCCGCTGCATTAAGTTCGCTCCTGGTAAATCCAATTTGCAGTGGTAATTACGTCGTAAATCTAGCCTTAAATTTCATGCCACCAAACTGTCAGCGTCCGAATTAGAACTTATGCCACGAGTGTGGCCAACACTCGTGCTATTTATACAAGGAAAAACACACACATTTTGGCCATTGAGAATTATGCAAAAACAATCGAAATGTCGGTGTGTGAGTGCACCCTAACCCCTTCTTGCCTTCTCACTGTACCATTCCGACACCTTCCTGGGACATTCCAAAAGTGTTTCACGTTTTGTCATAAATAATAAAACTCAAATGACCATCAAAGCCCCTACTGCCTGCCTTTGCCAAAACAAAAAAGATAAAATAAAAATGCCTTCGCCGGAAGGTTACCCACCCACCCATACCGTAACCATCCGAATCCGCATACGAATCCAAATCCGAACCCCTGCCCAAAGACCCACTACTCTCCTCCGAGTGGCCTGTCCATCTCTCTTGATGTCCATTTGCCAGCCTGAATGCCTGTTTGTTTGTTTTAAACCAAAAAAAAAGGGAAAAACAAAATCTAAAACCAAATCAACATTTTTGGGATGTGGAGTAGGAGGTGGATCGGCTGGGTGTGTGGTTAACCGCAGAACTAGTGGCTGCTATGGGTAATGGGTAATAGGTTGCCAGCAAGTAGCCAGCAAATTCGCAAAGAGCCTGTGGAATCGGCTGTGGACCAGCCAGCGCCATAGGCATCTGGCCCACACTCATGATGATATGGACAAAAATTGCTATAAAGTACTAAAAATACAATTACCGTGAGAAAATCTCGCTGATTTTGTGACTGATTGTGAAGACGTTTATAGTCGATTTTTAGTGACTGACTGAGTGACCGACGGACCAGGGCACATATACACATTCAAAGATATGGATGCGAGGGTGTAGCAATGTATGTTTATCTGTATGTACGTACTATATCTGTATACTGTATCTGATGTATCTGCTGCTCTTTTTGCATAATTGTGGCGTGCGCTGTGCGCTCGTTTTTCCGGCTGCCAGCGCCAAAGATGATGGAGATGACGTCGCCGTTCTGCCGCCGACCTTAAGGCATCAATTCCCCCAACCCACCCATCACCCATCATTCCAATAACCCATCTAACAGGCAGTGCACCTGTAACACTTTGATCTGATTTAGATCAGCAGCGTCTGGCCAGAATCAGTCTCCGCATCCGCCTCCATCTCCACCACTACCATCACCATAACGATCAGTTCACATTCCAATGGCTGTTAATAAAGTGCTTTGCCGAAAAGCCAAACCAACAATAACCGATGGATGGGATGCTCTGCTCCTGCTCTGCCGACGTGGTGTACAACGCTGCGTATGACTGACGCTTCCACTAAACCGAAATTTGTTGTTTATAAATAATGATCTTGGCCAGGCGATCGGTTTAGTGCGCGCCCGCAGGCCAACGCAGTTGGAACGCATTGGAGATTGGAATACTCGCTCGCTCGCAAATTGTCGCTTGGCCAAATACAGATACAAAATGGTATCTATCGGGTGTTCTTTTTCATCTTCTCCTTGTTCTGTGGGGCGGGCGATATTGTGCAATCGTTTATGATGTGATGAGGCTAATGAGGCTAATTTTTTGGGTAACCGTAGGAGGACGACGAGAAAATGGACATCATGCGCAAGGCATTCCAAATGTTCGACACACAAAAGACGGGCTTCATCGAGACCCTGCGCCTGAAGACGATCCTCAATAGCATGGGTCAGATGTTCGAGGAGAGTGAACTGCAGGCTCTGATCGACGACAACGATCCAGAGGATACCGGTAAGGTGAACTTCGATGGCTTTTGCAACATCGCCGCTCATTTCCTGGAGGAGGAGGATGCCGAGGCCATACAGAAGGAGCTAAAGGAAGCCTTCCGTCTGTACGATCGCGAGGGAAATGGTTACATCACCACCTCAACGCTCAAGGAAATTCTTGCCGCCCTCGACGACAAGCTCTCCTCCAGCGATCTTGATGGCATTATTGCTGAAATTGATACTGATGGCTCCGGTACCGTGGACTTTGATGGTTAGTTAAGATAGTTATGAAAAGAAAATAAGTGATTTTGAACTAATTTTTGAAATTTTCATCTGCAGAATTCATGGAGATGATGGCGGGCGAGTAGAAGAATCGTTTGTGTGCTGATAAAACCAATGGAAAAACAAGCTTTTTTGGGTTTAATAATAATTTTTTATTATTTTTAAATAAATTAACTAAACGCTTTAATACAAACTTTAGTTCTTGTGGTCTGCGCGCAGTAATAATGAAACAGAAAAAAAACTAAAACATACATATTCCATATTTAGTTTATATAGTTTACTTTTTGCTCTTACTGGCTAGTCTGTCTAACGCTAGCTTAAACAAGGTTACTCGATAAGAACGATAAGAGATAAGTTAAACGGTTTACAGATAAAGATACATATATAGTATTTACAGAATCGCTTATAACGATAATATATAATATATATACTATATATCTGTATGGTTAGCGGCCTATAAACATCTTTGCTATTTACACAAAACAAAAGAGCCGACACAAGAGCACTTCTCGAGATACGCAACTGCACAGTTCTATATATCATTCTGGGATATACGATATATATATATATAGTATCTACCTAAATGGTAACGAAGGGAGTCACTGTACTGCCTGTTGGCTCCTGTCTTTACACTCTGTCTTAAGGCAACTAATTCCATGGATTTTACATAAGGCAGCATTTACTTGCACAAACTCGGCAAAGTTTTCACTTAAACATTAGATACAAACATAACACATAAATATATATACAGTATATATATATATATATATATATATTATATATATGTTGTATATGCAGAGGCTCAAGCCTCTGGGGTCGACAAATAGTAGGGGGATCTTAATTTTAAAAATTTAAAGCATACAAAAGCTGGCACAAGAAATTAAAGTATGTTACATGTAAATTTCGACTCTGATTTTTTTTGTTCTCATAGTTATGTACATCCAACATGAATATGTTATGTCTCATCCAAAATACATACTCCCTATATATTTCTCAAATAGTTAAAGCATTTTTCTAACCAAAGATTTTGCAAGGGGCCTTAGCAACTAGCTCCTCTCAGCTTATGAACTAGCTCTTAATCTAATCTCTAGCTTACAATCAGTGCGGTGATTAAAGTAATCGTTTAATAGGCACCTCTGAAGGATCCTCTGCTTTGCTCCGCTCAAGTACAGGCAACTTAAGATTACCTAACCTAACTAGGCAGTTCCCAGACTGAAGTCTGGAATCAGGCTTTCAACGGAAAGTTGAACGAAAACAGGAAAAAAACAGAAAAACTAAATGCAGCTTAGGTCAAACCTAAAACAAGACTATGGACAGCGTCGGCCTAGACAATCTTTGATGGGCACATCGATTAGGCAGTCGGTTTCCAGCCGCCCCAGCGTCTTCTTCACACGCAGGGCTGTCAGCCGGACGGTGGGATTCGGATGCCAGCACTCCAGCATGATCTTGGAGACGGTGGCCAGTACATCATCTTCTTGCCAGCGTGATGGAATCGGCGGCCGGAAGCCCTTTACGCACACCACAGCGTGCATGTCCTCGAACGTTGGATCCGAGGGCACTACATCGTGATAGGGCAGGGCGTAATCCTCGCAGGTCGTCGTCTTGGTTCCCGATATGGGTGTGTAACAGCGACGGGCCATTTCCCACAGGACCAAACCAACGGAATACATATCCGCCCGCTTGAACTCCTCGAACTGCTTGGGATCCAGCTGCTGACTCAAGACCTCTGGAGCCATATAGCGACGTGTGCCGACACGTGGATTCTGGGCAATATGAATGACATCCAGTTCCGAGTTGTATTTAACCGCCAGTCCAAAATCCGCGATAGCACACTGTCCATTACGCTTCACTAGTATATTCTTGCTCTTGATATCGCGATGTGCAATAGCCGGTTTGCCAGGTGTTCCAAAGATCTCGTCGTGCAGATGGGCCAATCCGGAAGCCAAAGTGAAGGCAAGCAATTGCAACTTCTGGGGATTAATCACCGACATGGACAGGTAATCATGAAGGCTGCCCATCTCATGATAGTCCGTGATCAGTAGCATCTGTGTCCAGCTGCCATTGCCCTTAATATCAGCGGCGATAAAGCCCAGGATGTTGTCGTGGCGCATCAGAACGGTCTGATAGATCTCCGTTTCGCGGAACCAGGAAGCCTCTTCGGTAGTGAAGAAAGTCTTGACGGCCACCCGCTCATCCCGCCACTTGGCCAGCCAGACCTCGCCATAACGTCCCTTGCCCACCAGCCGCACCATCTGAATCTGCTTGGCAATGGTTCTCTGTACCAGCAATGGTAATCCCGATCCGGAGCCCGAACTTTGTTCCACCAATTGTGACAATGGCGATAGCTGAGAGTTGCACATGGAGTTGATGAGACGTGGTTGCTTGCGCAGCTTCTCACGTCGCTTGTAGGTGAGGCATAAGCTGGCCAGGATTAGCATGAACACGGACAGGGAGATAATGATGGAGGCAAAGACGGCGAGCGTGTGTACAGATTCGCTGCTCACGGGCAAATCTGGCGCTGGTGTGGTCAACTTGGGTGTGTAGGTGGGGTACAGGTCGCGGTTGCAGAAGTCCTCCTTGTCGCAGCAGACAATGTTCTTGCCATGCAGGTGAGGTACAGCGGCTACTTTGCACTGTAAAATATATAAATATTTATCATTAATTACAAATACTTATTTCAGATTTTAACAGAAAACTCACCATAAGAAAGCCGCCGTTGTCTTCTGGTGGCATGCAACCGAATGTGCGCTCCTCCTCGTACGTTCCGGTCGTCTCATCGTAAAGCTGTTGGACAGCACTAAAGCAACTGCCACCGGGTCTGGTCTCGCAGGTTCCATTGCTGACATTATCCGGACAACTGCCGTCGCAGTAGCAGGTCAGAGAGCGGGCTAAAATGGCAAAAAGAAGATCATTAATATCATTAAGGTTAAAATACTGTAAAAATTTTATTAACTATTAAGAGTACCTATCAATCTCATCACTTTTTATCCTTCTAACTATGTTCTTCAGAATTTAATCACTACTAAGCCACCTACGGCCTGTCTTGATGATATCCAATTGCAATCTATAAAAGCTTGGACAAGAAATGGCCGGAAATGCACTTAAAAGTTGATTAGGCTGGCCTAATCCCCGCCATTAAGCCAATCAATGGCAATCTTTCTTCGGGATTAAGGATGCTGGTAAGCAGTTAACTTTGTTGCTTGGAAGTACAAGCTTAATTATTGATCATAATGATGAATATAATGAATCTGCCTGTTACTAACTTATAGCACTAATTATAATCTCTTCAGTCTCCTTAATTATCTTAATCTTTTGGGAAAATAATGAAGTCACTACCAACTAGACTGTCTTTCCGTTACTATTAACTTTCATAATGCTCCAAACTGTTTTTTAGATTACACCATCTGTCATCTATCAGCATTCTTCAAATGCTTTCTAATGTTTAAAAATAACTACTAATCTACTTAAAATCTCATTTGTTACCATTAAGGAAATAATAGACAACCATAAAACCCAACTTTAATCATAGACACTCCTCTAAATCACTCAAACCATTGTGTTATCCTGCCTTAGCGATTATAAACGCCAAAAAAAAAAAAAAAAAAAAAGCAAACCGCAAGCGGGAACTGTTGCATGAAAATGCGTTTGAGCATGAAGAGTGGGCCGTGGCTGCCAGTTACAAGTAGCAAGTAGCAAGTAGCTAGTAACGGTAACTCGGGCAATTGATTCAGGTCGCTGGCAAATCTGCAACTAATTACAAGCTCGTTGCAGCTCAGCTGCTGTTTCAGCTCGGTAGCTCGTTGGCTGGCTGTTGACTGACTTTTCCACAGCCACTTGACCAAGCCATGCCAAGAGTACATGAGCATAGAGTTAGAGCTGGACCGTTATGGTGTGGGCGTTGTGGCCATTTGGGCGCTAGTTTTACGGCCATTTGCCGCCTGCGACAGCCATCGAGAAAAGCATTAAGTGCGTTTTTCACCCGGGGAGACAGCCGTTAGATGAATGAGTTACGGTTGAGTGGGTGGCTTTCCCATGGATCGTTGGATCGTTGGATTGCTGGCGTGCCCCGACCTGCTCAATACTGTTTCCCATTTAATTGCATTGCCAGGCAGGCGCATGCTGTATGCAGTTCAGTTTCATTCATAAAAACGCCTTTAATGCCAAACTGAATGTGCCATATTTTTTATGGTTCGTGGCTGGCCAAAAGGTGATTTGTTTACCCACAGACTGTGCAAGATATTTAGCATATTTTTAGACATTTTTATCGACCATTTATAAATCGTAAAGTCCGAAAACGGATGTGTGTCATGAATCTGCTGGATAAATCAGTTCCACACCTCCCGTACTTTTGCTGACTAGCTTTTGATGGTGGGATTTGTTTTCCAATTCTCATTATTGTTTATTGGCTAGCAAATTCTGAGAAAACAAAACTCTCGGATTCCATTCGCTTATTTACGCTCAAACGAGCCACGTTACAAGACCCCAGCCATCCATCAAAGCCACAACATTCACACGAAACGAGATCGCAGTTAAGAGCTATTAATGGTAATGCCTTAAAATGCTCTAAAAGATACACACAATTCGCTTTGATTAACGATCCGAATTCCTAGAGAGTATTTTTTCGGCTCAACAGGTCGCGTGTTGTCAAGGCTGCTAGAGCGGAAAAAACAACAAAAACTAAAAAACAAGTGACACATGCCCAATGGAAACTGCATGCCATTCACAGCTTGCAGTTTTTCAAATGCAGATACAAATTCTATAGAGAAAGAGAGAGAAAAAAAACAAATCCACAAATTGGCGGATGTTGCTTGCATTTGGCTGGCCACGCCCATTGCCATGGCGAGATAATAATTTAATTACAATTTAATAGCCAGCGACAGCTGCTGTTTGACCGCTGTCGCCACGCGTTTCCCTCGCGGTTTTTATCGCGCCAATTGTATCTGATGTCGTTTGGCATGCAAAACGTGCAGATATATATATATATATATATATATATATAAACTCAATTGTTTGAATTTCATTGAAAAACTATGTACCAGTTTGTTTCAGCCAGCCAAGTTTTAGTTCTACGCTGCCAAGTTTTATTCTCAAAGACCTGTTGCTCATCTTGACTTTCAGGGGGGAAGAAAAATCACAGAGAACCCAGGACCGAGAACGATGACCACGTAGCACGGTAGCCTGTTGCGGTGCAGACAAATTATGAATTTCTTACCAGACCAGACCAGACCAACTAAAAAAAAGGCCAACCAAATTATGAAACGAACCGCGGACAACCAAGTGGCATCCGCCGGGTAGGAAGAGCAGAGGGGTTAACCCGGCTAAGGAAGGAGACTACGTCGCGCTTCGAAATCAAATTGTTGCCTCTTTCGGTTAGCTGTTTTCTTCAGCTCGAGGGGGCAAGGCAATGTGGCGGCTCCAAGTTGGCGCCAAGTGCACGCGCTTGCCACTCAGCAAAACCCGAAAAGTGAAAAGGAAGAAAAAAAAACTGAATCTGGCTAGCAGGCAGGCCCAGAACAAAGCAATCTCCAGGTTGGCCTTGTGTGTGGTGTGTGCTTGTGTGTGTTTGTGTTTGTTAGCTGGTTGCAATAAACAACCAATTTTATGTGAAACTCTTCAAACACGAAAGGGAAGTCAAACAGGAACAGGCCCTATATGGTCGGCATTCGAAGGCACAAAGATCCAGCAACCTCATAAAATAATATTTCCAATCATAAATGATTTGGCAAAAAAAAAAAAAAAGGAAATACTGATTCCAATCATAATTGACATTGTTCCAAACATGCCTTTAAAGATATTTCATGTTTTAGTTTATGAGATAACCTATTTAAGGAGATATATGGCAAAAAGAAGGAGGATGGTAGGAATTATTAGCTTAGCTTGAGATCTCTCACTATTAAGATAGTTTACTTTCAAGAACTTTAAAACTAAAAGTTTCTAATTTGGAATGCACAAAAACATTTCAAAGCAATGAGGAAGGGTTGTGATCTCAAGCTGTAGACTTTGGCCATTTAAACGGGCACTGTGGGTGGAGCAGAAGGCCCATTAAAAGTGCAACGCAGATATACTTTTTATATATTTTTAGCCCGGGCCAGCCAAGTTGATGCGATGTTTGCGGCACGATCTCGACAGAGAGGCGGCAGGCGACCCACGCCCACAGCCCACAGCCCATAGCTCACGGCTCTCGAAGATTGTTGGATAGATCGGATCATCATCATGGTGACTATGGGGACTGATGATAAACGCTTGGGTGGTGGTTGGGAAACATAGCAACACCGAGGAAAACTGCACCCATGTGAGAGAGCGAGCGTTGGCAGCGGAAATCGTTAGCTGAATCATGCCATAAAATATTCCCCACATGCCGCCACAAAACAGTGCGTTGCAAAACTATAAAGCCCAAGTCAATTGACAGAACTTTGATCATCCACGTAACATTGATCTCTTTTGCCTGGGCCATAACTTTTACTACCCACTGTTAATGGCTCTGAAGCTGCGGCAGCTGTGCAAAGTCGAGAGTCCAATTAAAATTGCAATCCATATACAGTAATTACGGGTCAATGTTAATCTCTTTTGCTGATTTGTTCTCCAAATTGGGTATTTCGAACGAAAAAGGAGTTAGAAACGAATCTAATCGGCTTTGGTTGCTCTGATCTAAAATCTCATTCTACTTCTAAGTGAGATTTCTGATATTTAAACAGTTTATAGTAGTAAATAACTAGAACTTATCAAATAAGGTCAGTTAAAGCAAACTAAGTCAGTTATCGAATTGGGTTAGTTGTAGATAAAGCTAATCTGTTAATCATTTTCAATTAAAGATACAACACGTTCTGCTCACTAGCTTGTCAAGTTTTTTACTAGGCGCTATTAGCAAGATGAATTTGCGGAATTTTGGATTGCTGTATCAAATCAGTTTAAAAAATCTATAAAAACCCAAAACATGTTGGAAATATATATCTCAAATAGTTGTCTTAGGTTCTTGTTTACTCGAATTTCCATCTAGTTCGTTTTTAAAGACGCTCAACTGTTTGAAAAACAGAAAGTGCTTACGCAGAGTCATGTGATCGTGGAAGATACACAAATCTATCTACTACTCGTAGTACTCACAACGCACACCTGATGGCCACCGTGCTGGAGTGAGCTCATCAATGGAATGGCTCGTGCATCATCGGCTCCCTAATTCTAAACCAAACAAAGGCAGTGCTAGCTGCAATAGCAAAAAAAACACAAAAAACAAAAGCCTGTGACGTCTGAAGAGATACTTAGCCAGGACGCGAACCATGTCGGTGGTGGCATAAGAAAAGCTAAATACTCTTTCAACATTTTTTTTAATTTTCCGCTCTTTTTTCACTTTTTGTATATCAGTAATCACTTTTCTTGTTTTGGAAAACTTAAAGCAGACTTTATTTCTATTTTTCATTTCCTAGAATGCAAATTTCCCCCTTAATCTCCCTAACTGAAAGGGCATTTCCTCGCCACCTTTTGAAATACCAAATTCCAATCCATGGCATTTGTGCTTTTCTGCACGTTTTCCATAGATATTTTCCTTGGTGGCGGGGTTCGAAGGCCTATACAGACTGTGGGCGTCTGTTTTCATTTCCATGCCTTGTTTTCCTTGCTATACATTTTATATAATAATGTTAAGTTTTATTGTTCAACGTAGGCGCAGCGCGGCATGTTGTATTCCCCGGTATTTATTATAAATTTTCGAAAAAAGTGGGCGGCATTTTCCATAATTTCTGTCGGTCCTAATGAATTGGCTGGTTGGCATTTCTGATTTTTCCATCTTAATGCCAGCGGTCTCCTGCCAAAAACGGATTTATTTATATTGGCAGATTTATTCGCCCCGCTACTGGTCCCCTGAGAGATAGCAAGAGACAGAGACTACTTGTGA